AAAATTGAAATTCCAAAGATTAAAAATTGAAAAAAATCGAAAAAGTGTAACACCGAAAAAACGAAGCATTTTTAATTTTTCAATTTCTCACTATTTAGTTTTTCAATTTTTCGATCAATGTTACATTTTTACACTTTTTTCTTCTTCTTTCCAATTTTGTGATTCAGAAAAAACGAAAAAGTGCAAAATGAAAATTTGTAAATTCGCAAGAAACATTAAAAATGTATAGGAAATGAAAAAACGAAAAATTGTGAAATAAAATCGAGAAAATTAAAATTAAAAAATGAAGAAATGAAAAACAAAAATCAAGAACTTGAAAAATGGAGTAAACGAAAAAAAGAAAAATTGTGATATTAAAAAATTGGTCGAAGGTAAATAAATCCTGATTTTTTGAAAAAATATAACATTTAATTTTGCAATTTTTTTTATGATATAAGCTCAAATAAAAATATGTATGTAATGTTAAAATAAATGCAAAGAAGCATGCCACGCATTTGTTTCAAGTGAGTTTTTCCATTGCAAAATTTTGTGTTGACGTCATCAACATTTTTCCAAGGATATTAATAACAACAGTACTGTATTCCCAATTTTTTTGGAAAATGGAATGAGTCGTTCTTAAGTAATTCTAAAAACTATAAGTGCATTGATAAAGCAGAAGTATTGATATGATATTTTGCATATTTTGGAGAGGATTTTTTTTGGCAAAATTTTGAAATGACATCATCAATTTTTTGGAAGGAGATAAACGAATAAATTTTGATTAACGATTTATCACACTTACGATAACCTCAAAACGTTTCAAAGTTTTTTTTTCAAAAATCTAGATGTGTAGGCTGAAACTTCGACACGAATTCATAAATTAAATAAACACAAATTTACTACTGTAAATTTTAGAGTGACATCATCAAATTGTTGGTAGGGATAATTACCCGATTTTCGAGCTTACGCTCAGGAAGTAAAAATATACACACAATACCTATATATTTTAATACAGAATGGATGACTATTTGAGAAGGTTATAAAAACTAATGTAAAGAGTGTGTTAAAGTTCTGAAGTTAAGCTTGCTAAACCAGTAAATCCGAGCTGAGTTATTGTAGGCTTTGTGTAATATGGTAATCATTATTCAAGTTAAGTTTAAGTTTATGAAATTAAACGACATTGTACATCACATACATATTTAACCTGTCAAAAGAGCAGTTCTCAACTCTTGTACGTCTACACAATTTATGCTTCAATTTCGTTATTATTTAACCAGATAGTGAGGTAACGCAGGATAAAGATACTTTTCGATCTCACTTTATTTTTTTAATTACAGACCATTGACTCAAAATCAAATTAAACACTGTATGATATTTAAATAAGAAACTATACAAGAATCAGTAAGATTTAAAACGAATATTTAAATTTTAAGTTGGATGAGCAAACATGCACATACCAGCTACAAAGCTCCGAGTACCTGCTATGCATATTTAATTAATGCCCGAGATACGTTCATAAGCCTTAGTGACACCGACTGACACATAAATAATTAACGAAATTAGTGTCAAGAATAAAAAGAAATAGATATGTTGACAATAATAACCACATGAATGCCGATGATATCTACTTTATGCTAATAACCGTTGGTAAAAGAACCTACTTATGGAAAGCTCGTGTTTGCCCATACATGTAGGTATAAATGCAGGCATTAATAATTATTATCGGAGCTATTGGAAAGTTGATTTTTGAGTTCCTATTTACAACTTATCATTCATACAGTAGGCGACATTGAACTTTCTAATCAGTCATGCTTTTTGTTCTAGTACACGTTAGAAAAAATTTTCTTGTCATGTATACACGGCTCTGGGTATATATAAGTCTTCTTTTATTGACTTTCTCATTACTCATTAAAGTTGCAGAAATTTCTATGAAACGCATTACAGTTTTTGTAAGGCGCATATTCCAATGTCGAAAGGCAATTAAGGTGTACTTTTTAGTTTTATTTTCAAGGAAATTGTTATCATTGTTTATAGTAGGTACTTGTATTTTATTAACCTGCTTTCAAAGTAAAGAATTTTACCTTGCAAGAACGTTACACTTTCTATCTTTAGTGTAAAATCAGATCAAACTTGCTCTTTAACATAGAATCGTGATTACTACATCTATGCAAAAATGAGCACAGGAAACTGCCGGTAATTAGTGATTAGAGCTAAGTACGCTACAGATTTTTTATTTCAGTACGTTTATGTGTAACATTACGAAACATCAAACCATAAAATTCTATTATCAGACTTTGAAAAATTTTCTTTTATTCTTTGTTCAGAATGAAATGAGAAATAAATCATTTATTGTAGCAATTTAAATTCACCAAACTCAATAGACAAATTTACATAATTATAAGCATTCTTTGTTAAATTATCTACTGTCAAACGTCCCACCTCCAAGTATTTATAATTATACTTTTTAAAAATACCGTTAGTGTTTTTGGAATTAATAAACGTAACAAAAATAGTAACATAGTCGACCAATGAACTTTAAAATTTTCGTCATTGTTATTATTAAACGTAAAACTTTTCGCTCCGTAAATCATCTGGTAAATGACATGAAAGTTTGCTCAGTGTTAATCATTTATTTTTTCAAATTGCTATAGAAAAACTTAAAAAGTTGGTGTGCGTGCGTGACTTCACAATAGTTTTTCATTTTTTTAATTAATGTTTATATAGCCCAGAGTGTAGTCATACACTATTTCAACAGTTCCTTTTATCAGAACAACCTTTTCCATCTCACTGGCTTGATCAATTTTGTGGTTATTATGTACTTCCTATAATTTTACACGCAAATATAACCAGAACAATGCTATTATGTACAGTTTTGTTAAAGGCAGCATAGTTCTTAAAATCAGCCATGCCACCACATTAAACAACAAGATTACTGTAACAAACAACTTCTGTTAAAAACAGTGACTTATCATTTTAACTAGTCATTTGTCCATTCAAAACTACGGATTGCTTAAACTTTTGCTCAGATAAGATATGATTACTCAGTAATTTTATAGTTCGTAAAGTTCTAGGACTAGTTTTATGAAATTATACATTACAATATTTTTCATTTTTAATTACCTACATTTCGACGCTCCGTTCCAAATCACTCGTTAACTGTTAAATTTTGTGGCTAAATGACTTAAAATGCATTTATAATTATTGTTCCCTGCATAATGTGCAACAAATGCCTATTATAATCTGTTAAACCATGATGCAATACAATAAACAATTTCAGTTTTTGATGTTCATTATATTCATTTAGATGTCATTTAGCGTGTTTGCCAAATTGAAAATTTTAAATATTATCGAAAATAAAACGAATTAGAGTTGGCTCTGAGTCAAGCTGTGTCCGTACACAACAAAGGCAAATACTGTGAGGTGACGAAAGTTAAACACGTGCAGCAGAAATTCATGTATTCATATTATGTCAACACCCAGTGACAAAAGGTAATTATTTAAAGGTTATGTCAAATTGATGACAGTAGTACCACCCAACGCTTAGAAGACAATGCCAACTCTAATTCATTTTATTTTTGTCAGCACGATATTTCTTTAAACAAAAATGAGTAAAAACTATGTAACATACAATATAAGAGAATGCTAATATAAACACAAAAAAGAATGTTTATAGTTTCCCAAGACGACAAAATATCTCTTCTTGTCTTGAATATCAAATGCGTTTTTAATAACTTGTTTCACAAGAATGTAAGTTATATTTAAGAGTTATTTGACTTTATTTGATTTATTTGTACATGCTGCAAATGCATGTACCTACAATGTGTAAATGTAGACACAGAAGAAACATATTATTAAAATGCCATAAACACTTAAAAAAAAAATAAAATGGTACTTGTTTATGAGTTTTTTGATAAAGTGTTAGTCAAGTTATAAAATCAGAAAACTACAGATGTTTTGTGGACGAGTTACATAAGTTAGATGGAAACAAAATGACGTGGTAGAAATGACTTATGTTGTTTAACAATGACTTGTGCTTCTTCATTGTGTTGTCACGTGATTTATTAATTTTCCTTTTTAAACAAGACACTTCTTAACGAATGCTTTCATTGTATGCACACTTCGTAGCTGAAAAGATGAAACATGAAGAAAAGTAAGTGCTTTAATAATGTAATCATTGAAAAGACATACTTGATCCAAAATCCAAGAATTTTTTTGATATAATTAAATCAAAGTTAGCGATGTATGTAACACATATGATGTGTTCACAAAATATGACACAAATTCGACAACTAAACAGTGCAATATGACGAAAAACTTTCACAAGTTAAATTTATAACATGTTAGGAACTAATTTTAATCTCTTGCTGTTGCAATTAAAATTATGATGTCTACAACATTTTTTAATGGCAAGCATATTTTTATTAAATGAAACAAAATTTGTAAATTAAAGAAATCAAAACATGTAAATAAAAGTTAAATTTTGACGAAATCGATCGAACATTTCAATGCATTTTTCTTACGTATTATATTTCAACGACAACTTTTAACTGCCTTTTGCTGGTGTTAAAATGTCATGGATACTTTTTCAAATATAAAAAACACGAAAGTTGATTTTTATGTATTACGTTTCACCACAACTATAAAAAAATTGCAAGCGTCATAAGTCATATAGATTCATATAGATATTTTTGCGTTTTACATTTAGATATGTTGAATAGAGACAGTTAAAAATCATGCTGGCTAATTTCGTAACAGATAACAGACAGTTTTTTTTTTTTTTTTTGACACAATGTATAAATACTACATTTAGTTATACAATTTGAGTAATTATTCAGCTATTATCGTACAAAAAATGCGTACAGTGTACTAGAAACAGCTTTACCATTTTACTTTATAATGGAACATAAACATTTATTTGCTTTTAATTTATTAAATGCGTGTGCTATTTTCGAAAATTTATGTATGGTCAAAGTTCCAATCTTTCGAACCAGATGGCAAATACAACATGAATTTTTACTTACTTCAGCTTTTCCAGAAATTTATGTCAATCCGAGCGCAGTCTTTAAAAAACTAACAAAAAGACACAATCACATTATACACAACACAGCACGACCAATAAACAGAAACATTATTTTGATCCCGGAACAGCCGTTCGTGTAATAAGATTTCATACAGTTTAGTTTATGCGAGGTTGAAGCACGTGTACCGTTCGAATCGAATAAAACGTAACAAATTCATCCGCGCCAGTTTGTATCTCTTCAGCAACTGCTCGGAGTACCTCGACCAAGAATTACACCGTATAGACTGACCCCGTTCATTCTTGCCGCTAGCGCTTTTAGATATCAGGCGAAATTCTTCTACTTACTACGTATCAACTTTCTTTTATCATTTGAACATTTATATGCGACTATTTAATTGTAGCATTTGTTATGGCAAGTGAACGAAAAAGAAATTTGAAGTTGGTGATGAAAAATTAATAGTATGAATATACTCGTACCTGTTACTTCGTGTGTATTTAAATTTATTTAAATGTTTATGGGTTTTGCATTTTTTTTTTTAAATTACTACAAGTTGGTGGATGTATGTATAATTTCTAGATTGAAAGTATATTTTATTATTAACAGTGGTTTTAATTTTAAACCGACAAAACACCTTTTTTGAGGATTAGTCTTTACAAACCTATACTGAGATTTTGACAAAATTTTGGAAAAATTTCGTTTACTATCCAGGCGTGGTTTGCATTCCATTTATCCTGAGAGGAAAATACAGCAGATATTTTTGTATAAAAATAATCACTTTTATGTTTGTTCAAAATACTTGCCTGAAAGTAGTTGGTTCTTTCTTTTTTCATTACTTACTATTTAAATAATCTTGTTCAGTACCATATTTAGATTTTATAAATATTAAAATTAGTCATAATACTCATAATTAATAGAATTTTAGTAAAAAAAGTCCCATTATAACATAACACAGATTTACAGAACAAAAATATATAGTAGTCCCACTCAATATAAAATGATTTTTATAATTTCAATTTACTTAAAATATCCCAATGGTTTAGCTTTGTTTAAAATAGCAGATTATAGTATTAATTTAGAATTATTTAGGAATTATTAGAATTTATAAATAAATCTAACTCGCTTAACTCTCTGAAATTGCATCATGAATAAATTCCATTTTTAATATGAAAAAATGTCTAGATACTAGGTAGATACATTTTTCATCATTTTGTCTTTTGTTTTCAATTGTGTATACATATAGCAGATATCTTTTAGGTAAAATCAGTTTAGTCATAATTAAATACATTGTACTCAAAAAGTGCTTCGTTATCTTAAAAAAAATAGCCCAGAATCTCGTGAATCTAAAACTAGAGCCAAAATTACTTAATGACCAGCGAATAAATTAAGTTCATTTCTTTTTTATTTCAGTTCACGCATAAAAAACTCTCATGCTCTAACTTTGTTAGAGAATTTTCGAAAAAAATTCCAGAGATGAAGGGAACAGAGAAATTGTAAAATTATTTCAAAATCAAAAATCCACTAACACTGGAATTTATTCGAAAACAAAACTGACAACGTTGCTAATGTCAGTTTTATTAGTGATTTATTCTAATGTGAAATAATTTAACGTTATGTTCATTTTCATTTTCATCGACCTTTTTTTGTCCCATTTTAAACTTCAAAAAATTGACAATCCAGAATGACAAGAAGTTCGCAAACGTTACAGTGACCATGATACAATTTTTTATTCATATCATGGTAGTGCTAATCTTAGAATATTGAATAATTAAACTATACAGGTGATTGTTAGAATGGTTAGAATGAATCTGACAAGAGTGACTAAATTTTTCACTATTTTACTTCCTGTGCGGCTGGCTACTTTCATATTTCTGGACATTGCATGAACCCGAAGGACGAAAAAAGTGGTCTCCCATATCCGTCTGTTTATTTGTCGTCTGTTGTATTTTTATGAGACAGATAAGGTCGATTTATAAACTTGTCGCTGACGTTGCTGTTCGCCGTTGACGTTGCCGTTGTAAGATAAATACGCAGCGAAGTTATGCGTCGTTTATATCATCCGTTGACGTTGCCGTTGAAAGTTGGCACGCCGTTGCATCGATTTTGCAATTAGGCTCCGCCCCTAGGTCTGACAACGAATGAAAAATTCATCACAATTGAGCTTATATTTAGCCTTTTTTTCTTAATATACGTAGCTATCGTTTCACAACAAGAACTTAGAACATGGTTAAATATGTATGCATAATTGCAAAATCGATATTTCCTTATACAATTTTTCCATTTTAAATATGTTTTAAGTTACGTGTTGTGAAAAGAAGTCTACACATATTAAAACAAAAAGTCAAAATGTAAGCCCGCCCACCCGCCCTATCTCTATTCTGATCATTTTTTTTTGTTCGCCGTGAACCGAGAGGGCGGAGCTTAACTGCAAAATACTTATTTCTTTACAAGACCTCACAAACATGTTTTTTAATATTTTGTTGTTCAAAGAATACTATGTATATTAAGAAAAAAAAGCCAAAATATACACCCCGCCCACCCACCCCCATCTCAATTGTGATTATTTTTTTATTCTTAGAAACTTAAAACACGTTTAAAATGGTAAATTTTGTAAGGAAATATGGATTTTGCAATTAGGCTCCGCCCCTAGGTCTGCCAATGACTAAAGATTTCATTACTATTTAGATCAGGGCAGGCATGAGTGGGGCTTAATCTTTGGCTTTAATTTTTTCTTCATATATATAATATTCTTTGAATAACACTGTACTCAAAAACATGACTCGCATGGTAATTTCTTGTAGAGAAATAATAACGATTTTGCAATTAAATTCCGCTCCTTTGGCTCTCGACGATTAAAAAAAATCATCACAATTGAGATAAGGTGGGTGGGCGGGGCTTATATTTTGCTTTTTTTCTTAATGTACGTAGTCACATATGGATCTTGCAATTAAGTCCTGCCCCTAGAACTGACAACGAATGAAAAGTTCGTCACAATTGAGAACAGGGATCGGGGTGGGTATGGGTGAGGCCTAATTTTTGGCTTTATATTTTTCTTAATATACATAGTATCTTTTGATGAACACGGTGCTCAAAAACATGTTTTTAATTTCTCGTAGCGAAATAAGGATTTTGCAGTTAAGCTGTACCTTCTTGGTTCACGACGAATAAAAAAAATCATCACATAGGGCGGGTGGGCGGGGTTACATTTTGAGTTTTTTTTTATTAATATGTGTAGACTTATTTTATGTATGTGGTAAAACGCTAACCAAAATTTATCTGATCATCCCCACCAACAATGAAGACGTCATCTCCAAAATTTAGAACAGTAAATGTTATTTAAATTTTGTATACAATACTTCTACATTTATGGCTTATGAATCCGTGTTGACTTTTTACTCTAGACATCCAGATTTAAAAAAAAAACAATAGAATGTATAGCAAAATTTTGCAATTTAATTTTGAAACTGCCGAAGTATGATAAATCTTTAAGCAAAATTTATACATTTATCCCTTCCCAAAAAAACTAACGACGTAATTTCAAAATTTTGCCGAATAAATCCCATTTACCATATGCAAAATATTATTTATGGTTTATCAGATCAGATTTAAAAAAAAAAACAATAGAATGTATAGCAAAATTTTGCAATTTAATTTTGAAACTGCCGAAGTATGATAAATCTTTAAGCAAAATTTATACATTTATCCCTTCCCAAAAAAAACTAACGACGTAATTTCAAAATTTTGCCGAATAAATCCCATTTACCATATGCAAAATATTATTTATGGTTTATCAGTACATATGGAAGAAATTTGGGTATACAGTACTGTTGATGACATCATCACAAAATATTGTTATGGAAAAACTCATTTGAAACATACACTTAGCCTGTTTCTTTGCCTGTAACTTTAACAACCCACACATATCTTTATTTTAAGTTATAGGGGTTATTATAAAAAAAATAAATTCGCAAAATTAACAGGTTGTGGATTTTTGATTTTGGAATCGGTTATGAATATGATGATAATTTTTTGACAAAAAAATTCAAAAAATTAAGGTTTTATAAGGGATTTTCAAAACAAATTTGTTTCTGAAAAAAAAAAAATAAACAGTAAAACAGAAAATAAACCTCTATAAAGCTATGAAATTAATTTTTAAAACAATGATGACGGCAACACCAACGCGTTCCTTGTTCAGTTTCACATTTACGGTCAAATAACTGTCAAATCAAGTGTCAAACAGCTGCACTTCTAACGTAATTAATTTAAAAATAAATTTTATCGCCTACTAGAGGTTTTTTTTTCGATCATATGATGTAGGCAACCAATCAAAGCGAAATGTTGCCACATCTTTTGCAAAGACTGCTAGCACATTACTTACTGAAGTATCTAGGAACAAAAATATTATTACTATCATTCGAAATATTATTATTGTTTTTGGCATGCTAGACACTAGTTGGGGATATTGTATTAAAAAGAAATTAATTAAGATGGGTACCTTTCCGGTATGTGATTGACCAGGTGGTTAATACACCACAAAATTCAAATTTTAAATAAGTTATATCTTTAGATATATCTTAATAGTAAATACGAAAAAAAGATTTAAAGGATGTTCACACAATCCGTGTTTTGCCACAAAATTTTTGAGTCAGTATTGACTACAATTTTTTTTTAATCATCTATTGCAAAAACTTGGCAATAAACATTTTATTATGTAAACTGAGAGCTTGCGACCCATTTACTTTGTATCTATACATATTTTAATAGTCGTGAAAATCAAAGAACAATCATTTTATTGTGGCGTATTCACTAAAACAATTTACTTTTGATTATATTTAAATTCGAACACTGTAGAACCTGTGGCGTCATCTATAATTTGCTTACATACTTACTTAAGCCACATCACAGAAACCGTGGTGACCTGGGTGCCGATAAAACCTCTGATAGAAATAAACATACACATTACCTCCAGCTATCTCCCTTCTTTTTTCTATCACCGTTGTTTTTAATATGCATTACACGTGTTGTGGTTGACCGGCATTGACCGGTACCTGTGTAAACAAAAACATGTGATTGAAAATACTTTTTTGTTTTAATTTGAATCTTTTATTGTAATCTTGCGTTTTGTAATATATGTTTACTTAAATTTGATACAAATAAGACTGATAACTATAGTTAATAAATATTAACAGGGATACTAAAAATAAAAAACGTAAACTCGTTACACAAACAACGTTTTAATATTTAAAACAAGCTCATACATAATTCCAATGTATACATGACTATGGGAGCAGTAATATATTTCACGGGAATAATCTTCAGTTTGATAATCATGAATCTCATAGCAACACTACTTAAAAGATATTTGTTCACATCAGTTCCATTAAAACAGAACAACCCCCAGTACAAATTATTTAAAGAAATTCCCACTTTGAAGTCATATCCTCTAATAGGACATTCCTACCTGTTTTTTCCTGGAGGTGAGTACTACTAAATTTGTTGATAACTGTTTGTAATTTATTTCTCTGTTACAGCTAAGTACAAATCAGAACGTCTGACAGAGGCATTTGTAGACATCAGCAGAACATTAGGTCCGATTTTCAGACTACAATTAGGTGCCACTGACATGGTAGTTACTCTTAATCCAGATGATTCTCGGACGTTATTTCAAAATGAAGGCCGCACGCCTAAGAGACCGGCATTTGCAGCACTAGTTCATTATAGAACAAAAGCTTTTAATAGCGTGGGTGTGGTCCCAGGAAATGGGGAAGAATGGTACAAAATGAGGAAGGGTGTAACCCCTCTGTTACAACACCAAGTTATCAATCCATACAAAAAACAACAACAAGAAATTGCTAAAATTTTCACTGACTATGTGAAACTTCATAGAGGGGAAAATTTTGTACTACAAGATATTTATTCACATTTGTTAAAATTTACAATTGAGGGTAATTGTAAAAATTGTAAAATTTTTTGAAATTACACTACAATTTCAGCCATTTCTGTGGTGTCTCCTGGTCATCATTTTCACTGCCTGTTTAATGATAATGAAGAAACACAAACAATTATTGACGCTAGTATCAATTTCATGGATGGATTGCACAGAAGTTTGATGGAGCCACCATTGTGGAAAATATGGAAAACTGCAGGTTACAAAAAATTAGAAACGTCTCATAACACGATTTACAAGTTAGCAAAATATTAAACAAAAATTACATAATTACTGTAAACTAAAATTGCAGAATATTAAGATCACATCTTGAAGATATAGAAAAACAGTATCACAAAGATCCTGAGAAACTAAAAGAGATGCATCCCTATATGTACTCTCTTTTCAGTAATGATCAAATTTCATTGGAAGATAAGATCATGTTAGCTATTGAAATATTTTTGGGTGGGATAGATGCAACAGCTACAACCATTGCTTTCACTTGTCATTATTTGTCTCAAGATAGGGACGTTCAGGAAATTGCAAGATCAAGTCTGTCAGAAGGGACAGACTTTCTCAAAGCTTGCATTAAAGAAACTTTGAGATTATCACCCACAGCTGGTGGGAATTCAAGATATTTAATTAATGATACTATAATGAGCGGCTATTTTGTGCCAAAAGAAGTAAGTTGCTTTCTTTAAAATAAAAGCGTACTTAGTTTGAACTTTTTAGACTTTAGTTTTATCACTTCACTCAGGGCTCTCTAAAGATAATAATATTTTTAATGAAGCAGAGAAATATTATCCTCAGAGATTTATGAAAGACACTAGGGAGAATTTCCATAGATTTGCCAGTTTGCCGTTTGGGCATGGTCCAAGGATGTGTCCAGGAAAGCGGGTGGCTGAAAATGAAATGGTTATTTTGTTAGCTGAGGTAAGTACTGTTCATTGTGTAGTTGGTAACACTGTAATTAATTTCTCCTAAAATAAGTGTACAATTGACTTGACTGAATCTAGAGAAAAATAAAACTACTCAAAAAATCATACTTTATACAGTTTTATATAAATAAATTATAGGTTATTTTAGTACTTGTCATTTTTGACACATTTCACTCAAAGTTGGTTTTACACACAATTAAACATAATTACACTGGTAAATTTTATGACAAGTCTAATAAAACTGATTCTAATTTTACGACTTTTTTGCTAGATTTTAAAGAACTTCGTGTTGGAGCCGGCTGGAAGTGACAACGTCGGAATGGTTTTTAGGATGAATCGAATACCTGACAGGCCAATAAACATAAAATTCGTAAATACAAATCACTAAATATTTTATTATTTCATTGTACAACAATACATGTTTTTTTCAAAATTACACTAGTATTAGTTCCATTTACATTTCCGTATTTACATTTTTAAAAGTATATTTTTGATATTGTTTATAATTTTGTACAATAAAAATCTGATTAAAGCTTATATGACGTAGCGTCATACATGTTTTTTTTTAGATTTGATATTCCTTTTAGTGATAACGTTAAGATTCTATTGTCGATGTTTTAATTTACAATTTTTTTAAGAATAAGGCAAACATCTAGACAATGTAATGTTACATTCTAAATAAATAGTACGTAAAATTAACACAAGTGTGTTTATATGTACTATACATAAATATATAAAAGATAAATTATTAAACTGCGTTTGAGTAATAAACTTCTTGACATATATCTCTGCTATTAAGAATTATAATCTATGTAAGTAGATAGTTTGCACAAAATTTGGGAATGTTATCGGATAATCCTGGCCACAGTAAGACGCTGAATCGAAGACAATAGCCGGTCAGATTTATCCAGTATACAACAATCGTTTGAAAATAAAACAACACAGAACTATTGTGAGCACTACAAAAGTTCGACATACTATACAAAACATGAGGTAAAATAATGGTCCAACAGTGAAAACTAATGACATGAATAAAGACATAACAAAAATATTTACGATTACACGTAAATAAAATCACAGAGCCTTTCCGCACGCTGCTACAATATAAAAAAAGAAAACAATATTCGCAAAAATGTCTCATAAAATTTAATTTTTAAGAATAATAAAATTCAATGTACATGTTAACAAACGGTTACAAGTGTCTTTGGCAAATAAAAACGATCACTATAACTTTCCCGAAACAGCCGTAAACCCGCCGATTACAGCCAGGGCGGCCTCGTCATGGATTCGTACGGCTGCCTCATGCTCAGCGCGGGGTGGTAACCGGGCGGGTACGGCCCTGGCGGGCCCAGCAGTCCCTGGTTCAAAACGCCCGCTTGCAGGTAGTGCTGGTAGAGCGGCGAGCTGGCGTCCATTAGCGGCGCCTGCGCAGACGGCATGAAGTGGTAACCGGGGGGCGTGGCCTGGCGCGCGCCGATGAAGGGGTAACCGGGGGCCTGGCGCGCCGACGACTGATGCGCCGCCACGCGCGTCTGCTTGTCGGGCGCCTCGGGGGTGGAGCGGTGGTGGGCGGCGGTGGCCGCCGCGATGTAGTAATTGGGGGCGGCTCGGAAGTCCTCCAAGAAATTGGGATATGCATCTTTGTCGCCGTACAGGCCCGAGCCTATGCCCAGGGCTGACGGCGATGGTCCGAAGTTGAAGGCGCTGCCCGGCACGACGCTGGTAGTCTTTAGGGATATTGCACTTGGTTCCATGGGGGAGTTCGATTTCAAACCCGCGTATGACTGGAAGCCCTGATTGTTGGATGGCGCCGGAGATTCGGCGGCAGAGACAACTTGCGCTGGAATATGGAAATGTCGATGTACAGGAGAGATTTTGGGGGATTAATTGGTCATCACGATTATTTGCATGGAGGGTTTCGGATTAGAAGTGTAATTATTTTCGCAACAAGATTAACAGGATGAGGTTATACCGAGATTTGTATGTTTTGATAAACTGCGAAAAATGGCTTTTTTTGTGTTCCATTGAAAAATTTGTTTGGTAATTACAAATAATGATGTAGATATAGTAAAGTTTGTTTATTAAAGTTGTGAACTGTCAAAGTGTCACAATATTGGTTCCATTGATGAAAAATTAATAAGGATTTAAAAAATATATACTGGCAGCAATGTAATGAATGATAATTATTGACCAACAGCACCCCATTCAAGTTACAAAATTAGTTGCAAAATTTTGAACTACACTACCAACATAACACACATTGTACTTAGTTAAGGTAAAGGACAATCTCAAATTTCAGCTTCAATTTCACACTTTACAATATTTTGTATACGCGCTGATGGCTCAGAGTTTTACGACCCTTCTTCCATATTGAAATAAAATTCAATATTTTTTAAATAAAAACTAAACTGGGAATTCGTTTTCTAAAACACTATTCAAATATTTTGCTTTAAAAAAATGGTAAATGTTTCAGAGAATTTAATTGAAATACAGTCGAGGTTAGAAAATCTTGGAGATCATTTTTCTGTCATTTTGAAAATTTTGATGTAGTCAATGCTTCATTGTCACTTTGACGTTTGAAATTTAAAAGATCTGTCATGTCGCATCCAGTGTCAGCATACCTGCAGTATCAAAAATGACAAAACTAAAAAAATAAAGTTGCAATACCTAAAGGTGTTTCATATTTTGTGACATTGGAGTAACATTCACGTCCAAGTTTTTCTGGCTACGACTGTACACTATTTTATTCACGATCAGTTAGTAACATACAGCTTTTCTAACCCCTTAAAGGTTGGAAAGTGCACGATTCCACGGATATACATACTTTTCAAAGGGTCGGAAAAACCCGAAAGAAGTCAAGAGTGAACGTAAACGGTCAGAAATTAAACCATTTGCGACCTCTGGGGGCACCATTGTCGATTTAAACTAAATACAAATGTCAAATTAAAGTATCTAGCACATGGTTCTAGAATTAATTTAATAAAATGTCAATCCTGCAGCGCCTACTTAGTGTTAATATTTTATAGAAATAAACTATAATACAAAATAATAAAAATTGATTTAGAGCGTTAGTTGGTAAACCTGAACACAATAAATTAAATTATTAAGTTGTTAAAAATATTAGTTGCCAGATTTGAAGTTTCAGACTCCAAATTTCAAAACGCAGTGGCGTCTTTTTTAGTTGACAGAGTTGAAGTTTCAAATTTTAGATTTGTAATTTTTCCACATACGATTGCGTTTCTTAATATGCCCCTAACTGTGCATCGAATCACTTTCTTAAGTTTAAGGATTGCGACATAACCTTACACAAATCTGTCATAAAGTTAACAAACTTAACGGCATAAACAGGAAGTACCAACTCTCTCAATCAATTTTGACTGTGATTTTGATGACTCCTTATAACGGAGATGATTTTTATTTTTATAATGTTGCTTATTTTATTAAACGATTGTGAATAGAAGTTTTTTCATTATGGTATCTAATTATAACAATAAAATGAGTTTAAACGCCTCAGCTGCGTTTAAAGTGGTTAAAACTCTTAAAATTCTATTACTTCTACCTATTACTTTATTTTTTCATAACATTTCATGACATCAAGAGTATGAAAAAATGGGTCTTCCGTTTCCGTCTGTCTGTCCTTTGTGTTGATATTTATTAGGGCACTAATCTCCAAAACTGTAGATGGTACCGACTGATTGTTTTGCTTTCTGATTTGGTCACCCAAGAATTTATTGACAGAACAAATTCGGCCGAACACTGAGTCGTCGTAACTTGACACAGAAAACTGAACAAAGCACAATTTAGGTTACGTAAAAATGCGAGATTGTGGACAACGCTAAACAAAATTTGTCGAAACATCCCCACCAACAAATTGATGACGGCACCTTAAAATTTTACTGCCGCACTTGTGACTTATGAATCCGCCTTGATTTGTTATGATCTTTTTTTCAAATTTTAAAGAGAAAACTGTTCAAGAATTCGTAATGCGATTTGAATTATTCAATTTCTTCTGGCCCTATAAGCAAATTTTCAGACAGCACATTCAATCCCTTTAGTATGGAGAGAAGAATACACATATGTATTAAATGGTGATTTCCGAATTTAAAAAAAAAACTTTTTTCTCAAACCTTCAGACTCAATTCGTTTAGTGTGGAAATACGAATATACAGGACGGTACCATTTCCAAATTAAAAGTGTTTTTTTTTCGAATTTAAAAGAAGATAACTTCACAAGCATTCACGTTCCAGCTCGGAGTAATCGAGTGCTTAAAGTTTTCTGATCGTAATAGGGAATTTTGAGGTCAGATACCCGATCCGTTTAGTATAGGACGGTACTATTTCGAAATTAAAACACAGTTCACTGATTCAGTTGGTTGAGGGTTCGATTCTCTCACGGGACACTTTTTTTAAGTTAATGTATGCTAATTACTCATATCATGTCATGGTTGACATGTTATTTGGGTTCTTCTTTTTCTAATTTTGTTTAGATTCGTCCAGATAATGCTAACATGGTTGGAGAACGTGTCCAAAAATTTTCTACCTTTTCGGTTTTTGTGGAGAATCATAAGCTCGATGATGTTATTACAGGTGTTTATAATTTAAAAGTTTTTGTGTATTTTTAAGTACCAATTTCACATCTATATGTAGTTTTGGAAATTTCATTCTACCCTATAAAATTTTATTGGCAATAACGAGACAGACAGTAGTACAATAGTAAGAGATATTTACAACTTAAAGTTGTCGCGTGCAGGTAATCCCCAGATGTTAGAAAGCAGAATAATCCAAATCCGGACAGGGACCACCGTTACTCAAGGACCATAATTTTATGAGTACAACTACCTGCTAAATGTTCTCCTACAAATTCGGGTGAACTGGAGTCAGCCGTAAATATTCCTTACCATTGTACTACTGTCCGTCTCGTTATTGTCAATAAAATTTTATTGGGTAGAATGAACTTTCCAAAACTGTAACTTCCCTTAATAATCATCAAATTTAATCCTACATCTTTTATTATTATTTTTTTACAATCAACCTTATAAAATATTCGTAACATGCCATGCTATCTGTTTGAAGTAAGATTTTCTTAATCAAATTTTGTGACGACGTCATTAATTTTTAGTGGGGCAAATATATCAATTTTGGTACGTACAGTGTAACATTACTAACAAGAGTACTGTGTACACATAATTTCGGCATAATTAGGTAAACCGTTGTTGATTTAATTAATAAAATAAATTTGTTGTTTCACTATGTTTTTGAGACATCTGTATAAATTTAAAAAATATGGGTAATTATTTAATTACATATTTCAAGCGAGAAATTTTGAGCGACGTCATCAAGTTTTTATAAGGGATGAATAGGTGAATCCTGATTGGCCCGATAACACTACAGCGTGTGCAACATTTCAGAGTAATGGTTTTCGTAGTTTCTCAAATTATAAATTTCGTTGTACAATTTTGAATTTTTTTACAGTAATTTAATAAATAACAGGCATAAAAACATTATTTTAAGTATGATCCACTTGACAAATTTCGAGATATTTTTTTATATTCTAGGAGAGGTACAAACCGTGTTGGGAATAAAACGTTATCATACCTTGCAAATGTTGAAAGCGGATTCGTACACTATAAGTATATTAGTATATTTTTGCGTAACATTCAAATCATTTTAAAATACCATTCACTGAAATGACGCCATCAAATTGTTGGTGGGGATGATTAGCCAAATTTTGGTTAACATTAAATCATCTACATGATATTTCTAATATACATACAAAATTTCACAACAATCGGTCCAGCAGTTCCGGAGATTACATGCCTAATAAAAATGGACACACTCAGATTGACAAACAGACAAATAGACAGACAGGCAGACGGAAACGGAAGACTACTTTTTTCGTACTATAGGGGTCATGAAACGTCGAGAAAATATAAAAGCGGCCGTTCGTCCGATGGACTCGACTTACGCTCGGGAAGTAAAAATTCAGTAATAATGGCTGATGAATCTTTAACCTGTTTTAAAAGTAAATTGTTATTTTATGCTCCACAAAATAGAATATGATATAATCCAACCAAAAGTTTGCCACAAAAAAGTACAAAATATAGAAAAAGAAAAGAATAATTAATGACTGTTAAATTTGAAGAAACTACGTCAATAATTAGATTAAATAAAACTAGTCTACCCTGAACTTTTTAAATCAATTTGGAAGTAAGTTTAACACAGAAACTAATTTCATAAAATCAAACCGCTGAGAACCCGAGCTTTTATGATAGAGGTATAACTCAACCGTGCATATTTTACACTGAATGTCGTCAATTCTAGACAAACCAAATTTATGAGTACCAAATTTTGATTAAATACACTTGAATAAAAACTAAGAGATTGATAATAAATAAAAATGTCAACAACAATACTACTTAAACCTAGTCTACTACTTCATTTTTTCAAAAAATCTAGACACCTTCGAATTTTCAGCAGACCAATTAATTTTAATGATCTTTTATGATTACTCTGCCACAGGGTTGGTAATTTTTTTTTCAAATTTTCACCTATTTGGAATTAAAACTCCAAAGATAGCACCAAAAAATACGAAAAATTATAAAATTTGATTTCGAGGATTTAATTTTTTTTGTATGATAACCCCCTCAAGTTAGAAAATCGAGGTGAATTCATAAACCACAAGTTGGGGAATATGTTATTTTTTTAAATTTAAATGGCATTTACTGTGCACAATTTTTAAGAGACGTCATCAACGCTTAACCATCTATACGAAAAATACAAAGAAAAATTCAGAACAATCCGTCCAATAGTCGGAGAATATTTGTCTAATAATATCGACACTGATGAAAAACGACAGATAAATAGACAGACAAACGGAAATGGCAGACCGATTTTTTTCACAATCTAGGAGTCATGAAACGTCGCGAAAACATGCATTTACGCTCGAGAAGTAAAAAATCAAAAGAAAATTAGCGTTTTATTTTGTCGGAAATATTTTATTCTAGTCGTTATTCATTTTATTTTTATTTAAGCTGCATTAAAAATGCCGTAATATGAATTATATTTTCGTAATTTGAAAACGAAAACAAGAATCGAATGATATAAATCCATCATTATGAGTTTGACAACTGAAGAAATTATACTTAACGAAATATGTACGTACTTGTACTTAACAAAATTTTGCCAGTACCAACTTGGACATGCGCACTACTCTGTAATAATTATAACCGTGCTAACCAACGTTCGGTTTTCAAAGTGACTTTACTAAGTAATTTTATTTTCACAAGTTGGTATGGATGAAAAGTTGACGAGAAGCTAGTATCAACTTTGCCAGCAATATTTGGCAATTTGGGATAAAACTAAAAAATTGTGAAACTAGGGATACGAAAAGTACGTTCGCTGCTTTGTTAAGTCATCACGCTGTATTGCCGTAAATCAATCCCTCAATAAGAATTAAACTGGCAGTAACAATAGCTTTACTTAAATGATTCAATCATAATAATAAAAAAAAAAACTCACCAGTTTTAGCACTCTTCCGTTTCTTCGACTTCTTCTCCACACTCTGCTGTGCAACATTCGCACTCTTGACTTCGTTCGTCATCACGGGACTCTGAAGTTCCGCCATTTGCCTATTGTACATGGGCGACGACGGCGTCTGTATATTCTGATTATACGACTGTATGCCCATATTCGGTTGGTTGAAAATAGGCAAACCAGAAGCACTAGTACTAATAGGCTTGTTAAACATATGAGGCCCTCCTAACCCTTTATCACCGTAATACTGACTCGCTGACGACTGCAAACCACTCAACATTCTCTCGTCGTTATTATAACGATCAACAATGTGCGACAAATTTGCTATATTGCCCCTTAAACCTAAAGGTTGGTCCATGTCAAGATGCGTATTATACGTAGGTCTAGGTATTGACACTTCATTAGATTTATACGAACTTTGTACATCTAAGGGTTGTGGTTGAGCTAAACGATTAGTATTTGAATGTGCCGAAGTATTTGTGTAATTAGAATGTGCTTGTTGAGGGTTCGAAGCGGGAGGGTTCATCTCCATACCCTTGTAACCCATATGGGGACTGGAGTTGGAGTAATGCAAAGGAACGTCCGAAGTTTGCTGACTTTGCTGGTTCGAAACGGGTTGCTGGTTACTCGAAGGAGGTCTAGCGTAGGCGAGTTCTTGTCTGTTGTACTGTTGCATACTTCGAGAGAAGTTTACTTCTTGTCCAGTGTAACCCATATTAGTATATTTACTAATGTCGATTTTCCTATCCATTGTAGGAGTTGAAGCTAAACTTCTTGAAGGTATATTCAAGGGGTAATTGGGATCGTTACCGTAGCTGTTGCCGTATGGATTAGCAGGAGTCGAGTAATTTATGACAGGAGAAGCCAACTGCTGCTGCTGAATTGGTGAAACCGTACTTTGTGATTTAAACGACTCGACGTTCGTCTGAACGGTCAAAGGTTTAGGATCTGGAATATTTTGATGGATGTAGTGTTTCATAGCCTCCTCGTTCCTCGCATTCTGCATGTTCATAGATTCACTAGGTTGGACATTCTGGTTGTCTTGGACGTTGCGACCAATTTCTGACTCATATCGCATCTGACTCGACTCCGTTTCATTATACGCACGTTTTTTCACTGGAAACATGGCAGTCTGAGCCAATTTATCGTTAACTTTACTTTGGCTTTGATCTTCTTGTCGGAATGTTTCTACAGGTGAGTGTTGAGGATGTGAAGGCGAAGGAATATTGTTAGCGGGTGAAGCTACGTTGAAGTTTTGTGAACTCTTAGCTTGATATTGGTCGGTTAGAGATTTATTCGTATCGTAATACGAAGACGAATTTACATTTTCGGGGTTATATGGAGGAGTTGGGTTCGTGTTGCTGTAATTGGGAGTGTGGGAGTAATACGGTGAATTGGGGTAAGAGTAGGCCATGTTTTGAGTGGTATTGGGAGTGTACACATGTTCGGAACCTTGAGTGTAAGGGGACTGCGGGTTATCTCTAGGACTGCAGGACTTGTCTGGGCTGCTCTTGTTCGAGACGATGTCTTGATAAAAACCTACTCTGATTTGACCATTGAATGGAGGATATGGAGCTGCTTTGGGTGATAACTCCGGTCGTGGAGACGCCATTATTGGAGAAGCTCCAGACGGAGATCTATGAAGCGGGGAAGGATAAGGAGCGGGGTAAGCACCCAACCTTTCATCAATGCCCACTCTAGGCGAATCCATATCTTGACTAAAAGAAGAACGTTCCGACATGCTACTTCCAGTACTGATTTTCCTTTGTCTTGGTACAGGCTGACCATGAGCAGCCACAGGACTATCAGTACTAGGAGACAAATCAGGAACTGGAACTTTATTCGGAACGTCTTCTTTAGATTTGAGATCAGATTTGAAATCTTCAGATTTGTCATTTTCTTTTCCGTCGAGTTTCGAATCGTTCTTCTTCTGAGACGACTGTACTTTAGGAGCACCAAAAGCTTTAAACCAGGCACTTAAATTTGGTGTGGCTCCACTCATCATACTCGACTCTTCACTAACCGGAGATTCTTTCTTCTCGCAATCCGTCTTGGGCTTCACCTCTGCTTCCTCTTTCAACTCACTATTAGTAGAAGCCTGAAACGAAAACTTTTCTTTGTCTTTACTCTCTTCCAACTCCTCCGTCTTCGTATTATCATCCACGAACTTATGCCTTCCGAAACTGTCCAAAACCGATCCGAGACTCAATTTCGGAGCATTATCGTCAGTTTTCACAATCAGCGAATTTTTTGTGTCCTTATTTTTCGACAACGGTCCCAAAGGAAACAGTTCGTCAGTCTGCTTCGCACTCTGAACGCTCGAAATCAAATTGCCTTTGCTTTTCCCCGGCTGCAGACGATCTATAGTCCTTTGCACTTCCCGTCGTTTCAGAAACTTCGAAGGATCTCTATTAAACGTACGTCTTTTAATGTCTTTCCCCACCCCGTCTTTCTTCGGGCCAAACTTCTCGATTTTCTTCCTCGGGTCGTTGTCCACCCTGTTCGACACATCGAAATCGTCCACGGCAGGATACGACGGCGAGTTGCTGGCCGAACTGAACTCGGAAAATTTCGGCGTATCGTCCAACCACTTATTGATGTCCTTCAGCGTCTGCTCAGTGGCGATGGTCAACGCCTCGATCGATGCGTTCTTGATCGTCGAATTTTTCGAATTGTTCTTCTTCTTTTTGTTCTCGGACGTGTGCGAACTCTCCATCGTGCTGTTGCTGTCTTCAAAGTCGAACTCTTTCTTTGTATGGCTCCGGCTCACTTTATCTTTTTTGTTTCTGGTTTTATCATCTTTCTCTTTTCGGGATTTTTCTTTGGGGGCGTCTAAATCGAATTGAAACTCATCGTCGTTCAGCTTGTTTGATATTTCACTTTTAGCTTTTAGTTTCTCGATGGTTTCCCTAAGTTTGTTGTGTTTATCTTTTGGTTTTGATGGTAGTGTGGCAGGTTTGTCGTTTTGTTTCTTTGACTGGGTATCACATGAGTTCGTATCGTCTTGATCAAAAAGCTCCTTGAATTTGTCTTGCTTCTGCTTCTGCTTACCTTTGAGAGAGATTAAATTTTGTTACAATTTAACCTGTGATTTATGAATGAAAATGTCTAAAATAAATTACCTTGGTTCTTAAATCTTAAGAACACATTTTTTACAGCAAACTGGTAAGTTGTTTCTGATACTTTTTACACAATATCTTGACACTTAAATTCATTTAATCGTTAACAATGATCACGTCAGTAAATAAGCTTTGTTGTTAAAATATACAACGTATTTTCTTATGAAACTGATTAAAGAAAGACGTTAATATTTTACTTCTAGCTGTCACAAACAATGAATGACAGTAAAAACACAGAATAATTTTAATACTTTTTTCACGGAAATATTTAGTTTTTACAAGCAAATAAAGAGAATTAACAAAACATCACAATAAAATAATTAAGAAAATATTTGAAATTCTTTTTTCAACACAGACATTGGATTTTTAAAATTTTTCAATGTGGAGCTGCATAGTATTTTTAAATTGATTAAATTTTTGAAAGCTTTATTTAAACATAATTCAGAAGTTTTAACATACATTAATTTCATGAGTTAAAAATCTGCAACTCTGAAGAAATTACAAATTAAACAATAATTGAAAGTAGTGACTTTTATTACAGCTTACCTTTGGCAGCTGAGTGGTTCTCGACGTCCCTATCACTATCAGAGGGTTTCAGCTTGTGTTTCTTGGGGAAAAAATCGAATCTATTATCAGGGCTAGAAGGGGCACTTGAAGGTGGAGGACTACTACTATAGCTTCCAAGAAACGAATTTCTAGAAACACTTCTACTAGGGCTTCTACTTCTCGCTGGGCTCGAGTATTTCTCTTTTTTATGCTTATTGTTGGTTCTTAAATTCTTTTTCTCTTTTTTTTCTTCTTTCACATTCTTCTTACTCTCTTCCTTACTCTTATCTTTCTTAGACACCTTATTAGACTTCTTCCCACTTTTATCTTTCTTATTTGCCGTCACTTTCTTTCCTTCATTAACATCTAACGACGAATCGTAAGAGAGACTTCTTTTGTCAAGAGATTCTTCAGAGAGGGAATGCTCCCTCTTTTTATCAGTCTTAGCCGCCAAAGCTGGTTTCCGCTTTGACGCCTTTGATTGACTTTCTGGCTTAGCATTCTTCTTGGGTTCTTTTACATCGGCATCCGAGTTCAAAAACTCAACTGCTATTTCATCGTCCGACGACGATATTTGATCCAAAAATTTCTCCGTTGCTATTTCAAACGCTTGCGATAATTTACCAACCATTATACTATATTCTAAAAATTGACAATTAAAACACACACACACGCGTACTTCAATTGAATAAATACCATTCTCTGCACCATTGTACAAACGGCAGTTATCCACAATTAACTGAAAATCGTCCCTAAACTTGGCAAAATTTTTATAGTAACCCGCATCAAGCCGCTCTTCCATTCTCTGCAAATCCATTGGCTTTCTAATAACAGAATAATAATTGGGGGCATACTCCTCATCAACGGGGTCCGCAAACGGCCAAGCATCCTCCTGACACTTAATATAATCTAGGATTTTATACATCCCTGTAATAAGATCTTCATCTGTTTGGCCAAACCTGCAAATGTGGGTTGTTAATGTCTTTTTCAATTTTTATTAATGCGGAATTACCACATAGAGGGCAAGGAAAGTGGAGAGGTAACATGCATGGAAGAACACAATCACAAGTTGGATTGTATCTACGATTGTCACTTTATTTTTTATTTGTGGGTGATAAAAAAACTTACACTTCTGAAGTTTTAAGTTTCTTCTTGTGTGAATCGGCAACTGTTTTAATTACTATTTGTCCTGTGGCGGCAGCTAGTGAGTTGTTGGTCTGGCGCCCGACCGTGGTCGTGGTTGACGAGGTTGAAGATTTTGAATTATCCTCATTTGGTTTCTTCCTTTTGGAGCTTTTGGGGCCTGCATCTACAAGAAATAAAATGCATAGCTTTATAAAGGCCGAAAATACTTCGTAAACACTATTTTTTAGTCATTTTATGATGCTACAGTGATATTAATAATTCATTTATCAGTTACCAATGTAAAGGTTCAAGTATAAATACACGCAGATAACGTATAAAGCTAAATAGACACAATACTTTCAACATAATGTACATCTGTACATATAAAAACGTACAACACACAGACAATTATGTATGTAAATTCGATCAGTTACAAGTAGGTAATTCTACTTTTAGTAAAATTCAAAAAGCGAGTTCTTATTTAAATCTAAAGATAACAGTTAAGAGTTATTGAAAAAGGTGTCCTCTGATAAAAAATTATCAGAGCTCTTCCAAATTTAATTAGCTTGTTTTACTGAAGTTTAAAAAAAAGTTGGTAACAACAACAGGAAAAACTATTTTAAAAAAATATCGTCCTAACTCCCTGTGATGACGCACTGTATTTATCTCGGTGTAAGCATCCTCTGACATGAAAAAATACTTTGTTCACAGCTATATAAAATAGTTATTTTGTAATCTCTACAAAATACGAAATGCCCTATCTCAATTCAACAATTAAAACTCACTATCTGTACAGGAAATAAATTAAATACTAGAGTTTTATAAAACAAAAAATTGGTCGAAAGTTAGTTCGACAGAACTTCCCCCGCTTCTGCAGTACAGTCCAATAAATACTGCTTCTCTGAAAAATTATTAAATTTAATTGGCGGAATTTTACTTTTTCGTGATAACCTTTATAGAGTAAAAACAATATAAAAGGTACTAGTCACAATGTAATAGAAAAAAAAAAAGTTTCACCTTCTTAAAAAAAGACAGTTGGGAACCCCGTGAAGATTTAATATTCTCAAAAAAAGATACTTGGGGCCCCCCAGAAGGTTTCAAATTCAATTTCTGGATTTTGCAATTTTTCGTTTCAGTTTTTTATTTTCTTTATTTTTACAATTTTTCAATGTTCCGATTTTATAATTTTTTGTTTTTTCAATTTTTCATTTCGTTAGTTTTTCAGTTTGCATTTTTTCAATTTTTTGTTTTTTTTTTTTCTTTAATTTTAAGATATCTCTTCGAGTTTTCATTTTTAAATTTTCCAGTTTTCCGATTTCCCAACTTTCGGAGGTTTCAATTTTTAGATTTTGCAGTTTTTCGATTTGAAATTTCACGAGTTTTCAATTTTTAGATTTTTCAGTTTTTCATTTCTTCAGTTTTTCCAGAAAAACGAGAACTACAAGCTATTCTACGTGACTTACATTAGAAGTACAGTCCAAAATTATTGAATAATAGATTGACTTTATGTTTTTTATTATAATATCTCTTGTTCTTTGCGGCAAAAAATTGTTGAAAGAAAACTATGCATATAAAGAATAAAAAACAACAACAAAGATTAAGCCCCACCCACCCGTCCTGATCTCAATTGTGATGAGTTTTTTTTAATTGTAACATATTATTTCTCTAGAAAATACTACCCTGTTAAAAACATATTTCATATGGTAATTTCTTGTAGAGAAATGAGGATTTTGCAACTAAACTTCGCCCTTCGGCTCACGATGAATAAAGCATTAATCACAATTGAGAAAGGGTGGGTGGGCGGGGCTTATATTCTGTCCATTTTTTTCTTAATATACAAAATATTCTTTTCCCAACAAGAAACTGAAAACATGTTTAACTATCCTGTTGTTGAAAGCAAATTCTATATATTAAAAAAAAAACAAAGATTAATCTCAATTGTGATGAATTTTTCATTCGTTGTTAGACCGAGGGGCGGAGCGTAATTGCAAAATACATATTTCTCTACTGATTTGAATGAGTTTGTCTTCTCAAAACAAAGAACTAAAATTATTAATTAAACCACAATCGAGCAAAATGTTATGAACATTATAATTCTTATTTTATCATTATTATATAAAGACGTACGTTTTCTCACATTCACGAGAAAATGGGGTAACTGACACGTTTTTAATTTGACCAATAAAAAATTTGTGATGACGCCATCAATATGAATAATACTAGTCACAGCACAAAAGAAAAATTATCATAGCGCATTACCAGTGTAAGAAAAAAAGGAAAGTGTTAAGTTCGGCATCGAACCCACGACACAATGTCGCCGGTTCGCCGAGTAAGCTGCTGAGTCACTGAGCCCTGAACCACGAGCTCATAATATCTCGTTATTAACGTTATTATACCGTGCAATTGTTTTTGCGAAAATCTGCACGTTAAGCGGAAAAACTAGGAGTATACTTTTGTACAACATTCAACTCATTTTAAAATATGGTCCATTGAGATGACGTCATCAAATTGTTGGCGGGGATGATTAACCAAATTTTGGCTAGCATTTCACCATCTACATGATATTTCTAACATATATACAAAATTTGACAACAATCGATCCAGCAGTTTTGGAGATTACATGTCAGACAGACAGACAGACCGACAGAAACGGGAGACTACTTTTTTCGTACTAAAGGAGTCCATGAAACGTCGAGAAAACATAAAAGTGGCAATTCGTCCGATGCACTCGATTACTATACTTCCTTAGCTTACGATCGGTAAGTAAAAAGACAGTTGGGGCTCCCGAGAAGGTTTCATATTCTTAAAAAATACATTTGGTGTCTCCGAGAGGGTTTTACATTTTTAAGACAGTGGGACCCCCCGAGGTTTCACATTAAAAAAACAATTAGGGTTCCCGAGAAGGTTTTACTTTTTTAAGAAAGATAATTGGGACCCCCCGAAGGTTTCATATTCTTAAAAAATACACTTAGTGCCCCGAGGCTTTACATTTTTAAAAAAGACATTTAGGGCTCCCGAGAAGGTTGTACATTTTTTAAAAAAGACAGTTAGGACCACCGGGAAGGTTTTACGTATTTAAAAAAGACAAGAAGGTTCCATATTCCTAGAACAAGACATTTGGCATAAGTGATGTCATAATCAGAGATAATACACAAAGCAAGAGAAAAAAAAAAAAGTAAAAAGAACTCGTCACGACTAGACCACGACTGAGATGCCCTACGCCAATGGTAAACTGACAAACAGACAGGCAGACAGACGGAAAGAGGAGACTACTCTTTTCGTACTCTAGGGGTCATGAAACGTCAAGAAAATATAAAAATGGCCATTCATCGTATGGACTCGATTACTATACTTCCTCAGCTTAAGCTTGGGAAGTAAAAACATTTGGAGGTATCATAAAACTGATTATTATTGATTCCTTAAAATCATAAAGTAATACAAAAATTACTTCAGGTTTAATAATAAAGTTGGGAGCACTGTTTAAAAGAATTTTCAAGTAGAATAATTTATTGTTATGGAATTTAGAAACTAATCAGAATTTCCCTTCTAAAAAGCAAAAGCTGTCATTTCCGGCGAAACAGGATGTTTCACACTCAAATTTGCGGACTTACGTAGACCTTTTGTTGTGTGATATCTTTACACTACAGGTAGTAGTTTAGATGAGTGAATCAGTCATCTGAAGCGAAATTCTTGCATGTTAAAGTGATACAATATAAACTCTATTTCAAGCATCAACCAAAAAAACAGAGTATTTGAATTTAAAGAAGCAATGTAATCAATTAAATCAGAAAAAATTTGCTACAATTTATACGATCAATACCTTTTTTGAAAATTTTTTAACAACTTCCGAACAACAAAATGAATTAAATTTTCTAACAACGCTAAATTTCAGTTTTTTCAGGATAATAATTATAGAAAATAATAAAAATATCATGCGATCGAAATTAAATTAAATACTAGTTGGCGTTGTCTGTCAAGTTTTGGGTGGTACTACTGTATCCTTGACGTAAATGAATGTCAACATAAGACTTTTCACTTTAATTAATCACTTTTTATCACGAATGTTAACATTGTCTCAGATTTGTCTAAAAAGTCGACGGGGGAACGTGGTCTTAACCAAATCTACTGCACGTGTTTACTTTTTGACACTGACAGAATAGTGGGATGTGTTAGTATTCAGTAGTGCCACCTATATCCAACTGGTCTCACAGCCACCTTTATTATGTTTATTTTATTTTCAATCGCACACTAACTCAACAAATATAAATTTATTATTATTAATTGCTTTGAAAATGTGCGTTTTTTTCTAATTTACTATTAATCTGAAGTCTGTGGATGACGAATCCAATAAAATGACAACGGTAAAATAATCAATAAAATGAAATTACACACAGATAACCAAATTCGTATCAATTGAAGCTTTCAAGATTCTAATAGCGAGAAATAAAAAATCGGCACCCTGAACAACATAAATTAAATTGTTTTTTTTTAAATGATAACGCGTTAAAAAATATATCTTAAACTAATCATTAACGAACGAAATGTTTTGCAAGATGTTTGAAAATCGATTTTAATGATACTAAAAACTGAAGCACTCTCAACATTTTTTTTTAATACAGGTAATAAAAAATAAAGAGCTTTCATAAAAAGAATATTAAACGCCGTGGTGAATTGGCCTACCTTTGCTATTAGATGAGCTTGTTGATAATTTCCTCTGTCTCCCTTTTGACTTCTTTTGGCGTGCTTTAGCCCCACCCATTTCATACCGTCCTTCCGACTGCTCACTTTGGCTGTCCTCACTTTGTTCCTTGATCCTACTTCTTCTCTCATACGCTTCGCGCCTTTTTGTTTCCAATTCACGTTTTTTCTGTTGTTCTCCTTCGTCCACACTGACTTCTTGAGGTAAATCACAGACTTCTTCTACGTTTTCCTGGAATCTCCACTTAAATAAACACTTCACGTTATTAGAAAACAATTACTTTACGCAACCGCCTAGACGTCCGTCTGGGTTGATTCTCCAATAAGCGTTTCCGGGCCAGCCTTTCTTTTTCGCGAAACAACCTAGGTAATTCTGGTAAAAAATTCTCACTTAAAGTATGATGTAACTGTCTTTCACACTTAGCAGTTGAGTGTTGGAACTTTTTGTTAAGTTGAAACCAGTCGTCCTCTGTGAAACAAATAACCTGCCAGACGGACTTCTTCTTGTTATTCTTGGTCTTGAAGTCTTCCCGGTACAACCTAGTACCATAGAAATACCAATAAGCTGAGTCGTTACTGTCATAACCCAGAGGTTCAACTCTTAAACTATCCGCTTCCAAATTCTTTAATTGATCGAGGACGTCGTCAGCGTCTAAACGAAAATCACAGAGCGCATGTAGAATGTCCACTTTAGTCCGCAAAGGTAACAACTGAAAATCTACGTCCGTGTTAAACGGGTTGTACTGATCATGTTCCTGGCATTTCTGACGAAAAAGACGTCTCAGGAACATCTGATAGTTGAACGTCGAGATTTCATTGTTTGGGAGGCACCCACTTAGTAGACGCACGATGAGTTCCTGGAGCCACGAATTTTCTTCTGTTCCATCATTAAGAAGGGCTTCTTCCAAGTCCTGCGAAACATTGTTAACGTAAGTTAAATAATCGGAACAAAGTGTGTTGTTGTTGCGAGTTACCTCAATATCGAAATCCAAAAGGTTAAATGCTGTACGAAACAATGAACAAAAGTGAGCAATGCTTGGGACTTCCCACCATGATTGTATGTCTGAAACAGCGATAAAGTATAAGAAAAACGCATTAACAAACACAAACTCGTTCGATTCTTGCATATCAACAGAGTAAACACACCTAGGATGCCAATGAAAGTTGGAAACATAACCTATACGATGATCAATACATGTAACGGCGTTAATTCACATTAATATCAACAAAACTCCCCGAAAACCCATGAACTTGCGAATTTACGGCACGAATCGTTCGTAATTAACAACATTTATCGCACTTTAGGCCCTTGGGTGTCAAAAAGAATGCCATTTCTTCACAAGCTTTGATAGGCTTCCCCCAAATCTGCGTACTAGTGCAACCTCTAGCGTCTATTTCTACGTCACTTTACGTCGTCACACTCACAGCAATTTCTAACAATTAAAAAGTTATTTGGGAAATTGCTGAAAATTGTTCCAAACAAACACACTCCCACCGCATCGCGTTCAATTTCTGACAACTGTCAATCACACTTTGAAAATTCGTCTTTTGAAAAACCGGAAGTTATTAGAATAGTGCTGCTTTTACCGCTTCTTATTGTATTTGACATTGACCAATCACAACGCGGCATTTTAAATAGGTGAACGTCCTTTGTTTTGTTCGACGATTTTGACAGCATCAGATGTGTTTTTTGACAATATTTTCATAACGTGTCAAAGGAGGTGCGTGTTTATCGATGTTTATTGTTAAAGAAAAGGCTTTTTGTAATGTATGTGATAGAAATACCGAATTTAAGTGAACAAATTGAACTACTTGAATTTTTCAAGGTAACTTTTTAATAAAGTTAAATTTTTGAGAAACTTACCCTGTTTTCCAAACCTAGTCGGCCATGTCCAAACGTACCCTTTCAAAAAAAGTCAACATTTCAAGGAAAATATCCCGCTTTTGAAGAATACGGTTTCAAAATTAGGAATTTTGCTTTGTGTTAAACACTTTTTCCTCTTGGGCCCCTTCAACACACATCGTTTTTTTATCAAATTATCCGTTTTTCAAGGTACCTTTGTTGAAAGTTAAAATTCGCCTTTTTGGCTTGTTTTTTGTTGGGCCTATGGTTGGGCCACTTCAGCACAAAAATGAATACGGTTTCGTCCAAACAGGTTATGAAATTAAGGCAAACCTATTTTTACTAGTAGGGTCCATTTAGAACACAACCCGTTTTTAATGATTTTAGCCTGGTTTTCAAGGTAACTTTTGAAAAGTTAAATTTTTTTTAAGAATTTGCCCGGTTTTTCGAAGTCAGCCTTTTCTAAAAAAGTCAAAGTTTTAAGGAATATATCCTGCTTTATCAAACGTGAATACGGAATTACAAAAAAATAGTGAGCAATCTTTTGCATTCGAAGATGATTACTTTACAGAATTTAAAAAAAAAACCTAAATTTAAAATAATAGAAACAAAACTGAATACACCAAAAAATGGAAAAAACAAAGTTTACTATAAAATTATGTTATAAATGTTGATTGTACATTTAATGTAGAAGTAGTTAATATGCCTAGAGGTGCCACTAATGCGAAAAGATTGTTAAATATAGCAGAAGACTCAAGAACAAAGAAAAGTATAACACAAATAAAAATAAAGATAGATTATGTTGGCAAGAGCCGTTATTGTTGCATTAACTTATCATACAAACATTATGCTCGGTAAAGAATATAACGATAATAAATTAAAATATACAAGAATGGGAAGAAATTTACAAACAACTTTAGCTCCAGAGCTATGTAATCAGCTTGGAGAATATAATAAAATTTATTTTACTTTAGATGATATTCCAAATATAGAAAAAGTATTAAATATTCAAATAAAAGTCGTATCAGCGGAATGCTTTAATTCCATAATATATTCGGGGCCTGAAAAAGATGTAAAAATATATTTATATAAAAATGGAAATCATTTTGATACAATCAATAGTATGACAGCTTTCTATGGTCAATATTATTATTGTGAAAAATGTGATTAAACCATGTCAAGACAAAGATAAACATAAATGCAAAACGAAGGATAAAACATGCATAATGTGTTTTAAATCTAATCATAAAGAAGACTCAGCAAAAAGAATATATTGTGAAAAATCCAATAGATACTGTTTTAATCAAGAATGTTTACAAAATCATTCTGAAGTTTGTGAAAAATTTTACAAATGCTTAAATTGTAATAAAATACTCAAAACACGTGATAAAATGTTCGATGAAGGTAACAAAATAATTGAAAAAGGAAATAACAAGTTTAATATGTTTACCAGCAACAGAGACTTTAAATATGTTGTATAGACCGGCTATCACCCTACATTCTAGTGTATTTTGTTGAAGCAGTTGCGTGCACATGAAACGCCGCCATTGCTGGTCTCTTTCTGTCAACCTAGACCCAACTTAAGGGGACTCGCTAGAGGAGTTGTAACTTTTTTTTGGTTTTTTGTTTGAAAAAATGATATTAATATAGATGTATCATACATCAAACTGCAGCTTTTTTCATATTCTAGACCATAGAGACCAGTTCAATCAATTAAAAAAAATTGACTGAGAAATATCGTAAAAAAGCACTATTCTATGTTTTCTTTTCAAGTTTTTTGAGTCATAACCATCATAGAATCGCTTGAAAATTCGCACATGGACAAAGCATCACTTTTTACAGGCCGCAGAGTCATTAAATGTTTGTTAGTGGTACAATTTGTTTAAATAATAATGTGTTTATTAAAATCAAAATATACCACAAATTAATGCAAAATACGTCGAATAATTTTAACAGGAATATCAGAGGAAAATTAATGATATATTGCTTAGCAGAGTTTTGAACAAAAACTAACAATTATTGAAAAAAATGGGTATCAATTCCACAGAATTTGAGCCGTTAGTTCAGGACTTTGCCGATAGGAGCGCCACTACAATTTACGGAAGCGACTTTCCAAGTAAAACCCATTTTTTTCAGTAATTGTTAGTTTTTGTTAAAAACTCTGCTAAGCAATATATCATTAAAATATTTTTTTTAATTAACCGGAACTATCTCAATTCTGTTTTGGAGTTTTCGTTAACAGAAGTACCAACGTCTGTTTGTTCGGTGCTGAGTGTGGATTATTATTTGTTGTTTTTTGTTTATTGGACCTAGCTTCTAGCATATAATGCCAATCGTATCGCGTTTGTTACGATAGTATTTAATAAATTAAGTTAACTTTGAACAAAAAAGCCACTGAGCTGTGCTGTACGATGGTGTCGTAATTCGAAACAAAGGAGTAGTTGTCAAGAAGGTATTTCATTTCATCGGCAACACCTTACTATTCCAAATAAACTTGTTAAGATTCGTGTTTTTATGCGTTTGAAATTGTTGAGAATTTAAATTTGGCGCAAGTTTGGTACTAAGCAATATGGCGACTGCCGGCTTCAAGTTTTAGGCCACATAGCCGGTCTATACATATTTAAAGTCTCTGGTCGTAGATCCCTCAAGGTTGTCACGTGACTTGGTGTCCGAAAATTCCGATAGAGTGCGTAGTGATTTCGTTAGTAAACATGTCAGAAATATGTAAATAGTGTGGTATATAGTTAACAGAAATATTTCGCAACCATGTCTTCGTCAAGAAACGATTTCCCTCTGGAAGCCCTAAATATACATGGGCCAAACTTCCTTAAACATGCTTTAACAAGTTGTACTGATCCTCTCAAGGCTATTGAAGAATTTCAGGTGAGTTTAAATTAGGTTATGATTGAGTTATTGCAGTGGCGGTTATATTTATTTTTAGGTAACAAATGGTATTCTTCTACCTTCATTGCGTCCGATGCTTCCATTACTTGACTTACATGGAGTGAGAAGATTAGATTTTCACATGTCCGTTGTTGAGGTAAATTATTTCATTATGAATTAGCGTAACTGTGGGTGATTGGTTGCAGTTCTAAACATTCTCTGTGAAGCTACAAATAAACTTGACAATGCAGTTATTTCACACTAAGTTTCAGTGATACCATTGGAAATCATTTATTGCATGCTTAGTAGTTGCTTGCAGACATTAGTAAAATTTAGCCTTTCGACAAATGTGATGTGTGAATAAGATTTTGCCACATTGTAATTTGTAAAAATGTTTAAGCACATAGACTATCCAAGCGTTAAATGGCTGATAATAAATTTAACATGCAGAGTATAATTACGTGGCCACGTTTAAAGAAAATATTTCAAAATTAGTTTCTCGTTTGAAAAGCTAATATAGAATGGAGAATCTGGTGTCTGATTTAACATTACACTTCAGTAACCAGTGATTAAGTGTAATTATAATTCATGATATTCATTTACCACAAAAACAATTCCTAATTTTTTCAAGGTTGGGCATTCCAAATTATCTCAGTCCATCAAGTCACAGATTATTTCAAGTCTTTAAGTTATTTTCACTTACAATGTGGTAATTACTTTTAGAATATTTTGTATTCTTTTATAGCATTGGCAAATGTTTATTAACATGTGCACTGAATTGATAGAAAAATAATTCTGTTCGTGTTGTAGGTTTATCTACAGAGTATCTATAAATGATTCATACATCCAGCAGTCATTGTATTTTTTTTTTATTAAACAATTTTTGCGCTTGCAAAAAACTATGTTTTAGATACAGTTCCATTTTTACAATCAAAATTTAAATAAGTCACAAAAAATGTTGAAAGCGACCTCTATCTTGTTATAAACCTAATAATTTTACAGAGGTATGGCGATGAGTGCATCATTTATAGACACTTTGTGTAAATATAAATAATATTAGATATTTTTATTATGTTAATCCATCATTTTGCAGTTGGTGTGCAATTATTTCGCGTGTCACGAGGTTTAATACTGGTTTACTATTTAAAATAACATATTTCATTTATGAAGTAATCACACTGAATATTTCTTGTGTGTGAAAAAAAAATGGGATAAGTTTTTACATTTTCCACTGGAAATTACTTGACTAATTCTGAGAGTATTGTTATTTGACAAAATTATCTTAAGGGTTTCTAAATGATTTTTTTTTGTGATATGTGCAATAGTCATTTTCACGTAACTCAGTCCTCAATGTTTTCATCATTTTATTATATTTATATACATATTTATTTATTTATTTGTTCACAATTTCATGTTGTTAATGATCCATATGATATGATCGAAAAAAAAAGAGTCGTCTAGTAGGCTATGAAATTTATTTAAAAAAATATATATATATTTTTATGAAGAGCTGCATTGCCAACATCATTGTTTTAAAAATAAATTGCATGACCCCTGAGAAGACTTTGTTTGATCATATGATACTTTATTAATTTACTTGCAAAGTCCTAAATAAACCTCAAATTTAGATTTTTTTACATGATCTGGACTTTCTGTTGTTTTTTCATAATTTCTTATTGTTAAAAATACATCGTCATCAACAAGTAGTGTTTGAGTTGGCAATAGTGGTAACCAATTCTGAGAGAATTTTCTAGCACTGCTATTGTCAATCCTGATTCAAGTTTTTGGCGCTATGTTATTTTTAAAGTCGAATTTGTCGCTGACGTTGCTGTTCGCCGTTGACGTTGCCGTTGTAAGATAAATACGCAGCGAAGATGTGCGTCTTTTATATCATCCGTTGAAAGTTGGCACGCCGTTGGGGTGACGTTCGAGATTACCAATTTTTAACTTTACGCCGTTACGTTGCCGTTGACGTTGGGTTTCCAACCAATCAAATTGCGGTAGGGTGCAGTGCTGCCAACCTGAAGGAAAATCCCCTGAAGTAGGGGGGACATTTTTCTGGTTGACAGCACTAATTCCACGAAAATCAAATTTTGATAGAGATAATGAAGTCCACTAATATTAAGTCATTTATTTAATCACCTGTTTACCTAAACCCTCATATTTTAAATAGCTGCCATAATTTTCTATACTGTAGCTTTCTGTCAGTACTTATGCATTGTTAAAGATAATTCTCGACGTTTAAATCAACTAGATTTATTGCTGTTCGTTTCAAAAACAGATTAGGTATTATAACTACAAGGGCTTGCATTTTCCCCTTTTTTCTTAAATATGTGTAGTCTTCTTTTCACAACAAGAAAGGTAAAACATGTTTAAAATGGTAAATTTTTGTAGGGAAGTATCGATTTTGGAATTAGGCTCCGCCCCTCGCTCTGACAACGAATGAAAAATTGATCACAATTGAGCTTGGGATGGATATGGGTGGGGCTTAATTTTTGGTTTATTTTTTTCTTAAAATATATAGTATTCTTTGAACAGCACGACACTCAAAAACATGTTTTTTATTTCTTGTAGAGAAATATACATAGCCATCTTCTCACAACAAGAAACTTAGAACATGGCTAAAATGGTACATTTTTGCAAGGAAATATGGATTTTGCAATTACGGGGCGGAACCTAATTGCAAAATTGATATTTCCTTATGCAAATTTTCCATTTTAAACATGTTTTAAGTTTCATGTTGTGAAAAGAAGTCTACACATATTAAAACAAAAAGGCAAAATCTAAGCCCGCCCACCCTCCCTATCTCAATTGTGATGATTTTTTTTATTCGTCGTGAACCAAGGGGGCGGACCTTAACTGCAAAATACCTATTTCCTTACAAGGAATTAAAAACATGTTTTTGAGTATTGAGTTGTTCACAGAATACAATGTATATTTAGGAAAAATCCAAAATATAAACCCCGCCCACCCACCCCATCTCAATTGTGATGATTCTTAGAAACTTAAAACCTTAGATCATATAATTATTTATTTATTATATGAGCTAAGCTTAAAACACGTTTAAAATTGTAAATTTTTGTAACAAAATATGGATTTCGCAATTAGACTCCACCCCTAGGTCTGCCAACTGAAAACTTAATTACTATTTAGATCAGGGCAGGATACTCAAAAACATGTCTTACGTGGTAATTTCTTGTAGAGAAATAATAAGGATTTTGCAATTAAATTCCGCTCCTTTGGCTCTCGACGTTAAAAAAAATCATCACAACTGAGATAAGGTGGATGGGTGGGGCTTATATTTTGCCTTTTTTCTTAATATACGTAATCGTCTTTTTAGAACAAGAAACTTAAAACATGTTTGAAATGGTGAATTCTTGTAGACAAATATGGATCTTGCAATTAAGCCCCGCCTGTCGATCTGACAACGAATGAAAAATTCATCACAATTGACAATTGAGATCGGGGCAGGTATGGGTCGGGCCTAATCTTTGGCTCCATTATTTTCTTAATACGTATGTATACATAATATTCTTAGAACAATACGATACTCAAAAACATGTTTTTAATTTCTCGTAGAGAAATAAGGATTTTGCAGTTAAACTCCCCCCCCCCCTGGCTCACGACGAATAAAAAAAATCATCACAATTGAGATAGGGTGGGGTTACATTTTGCCTTAAAGAAACTTAAAACATGTCTAAAATGGTAAATTTTTGTAGTAATCAACTTAAATCCTCAACTTCAACGTCAACAGCAAGTTTATAAATCCCACTTTAAGCTCTCAAGAAAGTTTCGTAATGATAATTCTGTAACAGTCAATAACAAATTTTGGCGTCGATTAAATGTCATTATCAACCATGACAATTTTGACAACAGGAAATAAGGTGGAGTGACAGATCTACCAATTTTAAGCAAAATTCATTGATATCAATTGAAACCATGGAGATCTTACCTTCATGATTTAAACAGTACCTGTGATTACGTATACCATATGATCGAAAAAAAGTCCCGGAGTAGACCATGAAATTTATTTTTAAAATAATGGTGTTGGCAACACCAACGCGTTCCTTGTTCATTTTGACAGTTGCAGTCATACAAAAGTCAAATAGCTGCAATGTCAACTTCATTTTTTTCAAAATCAATTTCATGGCCTTCTAAAGTACATATTTTTAGTTGTATATTATTTGAAAACAACGCTTTGTGGAACTCAACATAACTTTTGTTGCATTTGAAATGTGTAAAAATATGGAAGGCGCATCATTTAAAACAATCAAAATAAGATACAATGTAGAATATCCTGTATATGATTATAATAATTATTGATGTGGATTTGTGGCGAAATTAATAATATAATCTAATCAATGTATATCATTACTTGGTCTTAGTACCCGTAATGATAGAAGTCTTGCCTGAATGCCGGTCATTTCCGGGTCAGTGGTGGGTCTTATATCGTCTATGTATGTTTTATATACTTCTGAATCTAGATAAATTAAAAAATCAACCTTGGTAACAAAACGTGGAAAAGATTTGTATTTTCACTTAAAAAAATCAAATTATAAATTAAACTGCCAAATTAAGGCAAGTCCTTTGCGACTTATTGAATACATTCTCAGAATATAATATCTCCGTTATTTACAAACTTATTGTTACGAAATTTTAAATATAACATGTCCACACTTTCCACGCAGGGGCAGTTCGTTGAGAAAACAGTTTCCTATAATCTTTTTTAATTTTGTGAAATTTTTACATCACGTATCTTAAAAATCAAAACCTCATTGTATTCATAATAATTATAATGATGCCTCTATCCCACTTGTAATACATATAAAAAAAATTATATAGTTTTGTAGGCTGAAAATAATGATTAAAAGCACGTTCCATTAATAATTGAAATTAAAAAAAGATTGTAGTAAATTGTTTTTTTTTAACTACCCCCGCGTTATATAGTGGACATATTTAAAATTTCACAAGTTTCTTATGCGTCGAACGTGAGCTCGCCTTAAGTAAAATTTTCAGTAAACATATTAATGTTTATACTAACTGAAAAATATTTTTAATTGTTTTATAGGAACTTCGAGAAAAACTTATAACCCACATCAACGAAATCGGTAAACAAGAAGGTCGTGAAAGAGACAGAAAATTAAGAGAGCTGCTAGTTAAAAGTTTCCCCGTTGTTAAAGTGAAAGCTCTGAGACCAATAGTAATGGCAATTTTAAAAAACACCCCCCTAATTGACGATAATTACTTAAAAGTATTAGTAAGAGACCGAGAACTGTATAATGACACCGACACAGAAGTAAAGCGACAAATTTGGAAAGACAACCAATCGTTATTCGGCGACGAAGTTTCACCATTACTCAGTCAATACATCAGCGAAAAAGAAAACGTCTTATTCGACCATACGAACCTGAGCACGCAATTCTTCGGACCTTCACCCAAAGTGAGAAGACAAGGCGAAGTAGTACAAAAATTAGCCCACATGATAGGAAACAGCGTGAAACTGTACGACATGGTTTTACAATTCTTACGTACTCTATTTCTTCGGACCCGTAACGTTCATTACTGCACCCTGAGGGCTGAGTTGTTGATGGCGTTACACGATTTGGAAGTCCAGGACATAATTTCGATAGATCCGTGTCATAAATTTACGTGGTGCCTTGATGCTTGTATTCGAGAAAAGAATGTGGATATTAAACGGTCGCGGGAGCTGCAGGGATTTTTGGATAACGTTAAAAGGGGCCAAGAACAAGTTTTAGGTGATTTGTCGATGACTTTATGTGATCCGTACGCTATAAATTTTTTGGCGACGTCGGCCATAAAGATTCTGCACCATCTTATATACGTGGAGGGGATGCCAAGAGTAAGTATACGTTGATTAAGCATACAAGAGCATTTTGCGAAGCAGTAAATTACATTCTTTTTTATTTTATTTTTAATTTGTTGGTGGGTTAAAATTAAGATGTGCCCTTGGAATGATCAAAAACTTGGTAACGTTGCCAACATAATTTTTTTAACATTAAATTTCAGGATAACACAATTTTGATTCTTCTTTTGCGAATGCTGGCGTTGGGATTAAGTGCGTGGGTTATGATCGACTCTCAGGACTTCAAGGAACCAAAATTGGACAGCCAAGTTGTCACAAAATTTCTCCCGGCTTTAATGTCTTTGATGGTGGATGACCAAGTTCGACAATTGTCTAGCAAGCTGCCCCCAGACGAAAGAGAAGCGGCAATTACTGTTATTGAACACTCAGGGCCCCTTCCAGACGCTGTGGAGGCCTACATCCAAGATAGTTCCGTAGCCAGTATTTTAGCTATGTATTACACACTTAACGTAGCGCGGCTTAAAGACAGAGTAGGATTATTAAGAATTTTGACGGTGTTGGCCAACTGTAAGGACGACAGGGCTTTTGAAGATCCGTTTTTGCATTCTCTTGTAAGTATTCACGCTAGATTTAAAAATGAAACTAAAAACCTGTTTAGGTTGCTTTCCTTATCCACAACCCCGACGAGTTTCAAGCGGAAGATTTCTGTACGGCTCTTTTTGACGAGTTTTTTTTTGCTGGGTTGTCAAGAGAGAATGTAACCAGGCATTTGTTAAAATTGCTCTGGTATGTACATTCCCGGTTGCCGGCCAGTCGTTTGCATACGCTCATGAAAGCGCTACAACCTACTCACCAACACAGCGAAAAGGTTCATAGTTTATATGAAGTACTTCAAACGAAAATAAATTCGCAAGAAGAAACGACTGTACCCCTTGAAATGGATATTGATCTCAACTCACCCTTGATGAGTGTGCCAACGCCTGCTCCATACCACCAAACGTTATAGAATGATTAAATTTGTTATAGTTTTTTTAGAATATTATTTATAATTTCCTTTGTTTTTTAATAAAGAGCTATACTATTTAGCTTTTACATTCTGAAGCAGCCTGATTCACAAGAGGTAAAATAAATTTGCGTGTCAATTTAATATTACCTTGACTAAAACAAACAACGCTTTCGTTTTTTGTAACAACTTCTGTTAGCATTAAGTCTGAACCTGCAATCTGTTGACTGTTTTTCAAAATATTAATTAAGGTATTTTTGAAGTGCGAGTCTGTGGAAAAAATCGCGACATCTCTTCTAACACCTTTGCTGGCATCAATTCCTATGACAACTGCGCTTGCGCTTTTGTTTTCAGTTATAAAAGTTGTAAGTGCGTTGTATGCATCTTCACGTTTTAAATAGTCCTCCACTAGCATTGGTAACCCAGGTATTGGGATACCTTTCACTATTTTTAGGTCTCTGTACAGCAAGTCTTTAGTAGTAAGGGTTGAACTGTCATTGTGAACTTTCCACAATAAATCAAAGAGGTCTTTTCTGTTTGGAGATGTTTTAAGAATGTCTTCTAGACGTTGCGCTACAGTCAAGTCTTCATCAAAAGTTTTACCATGTTCTTTGTTAAGACCAATTGTATCATAAATAATAGTTGCTAAAAAATATATGCAATGTTAGTGACAATTATCAGGATTGTCTGAAATTGTTACCATATAATAGATGACTCAATTCACTAAATAATATTGAAGGATTGCAACTTAAAATTTCATTTGCCACTAGAGTGGCACAGGAACCCACTATTTTAATCACCGTTTTTTCAATGTGCTCTCCTTGGCAAATTTCTTCCTCATTGATGGGTCGATGATCAAAAATCTGGACAACTGTTTTTTCAAGGACTTTGTCATGACTTGACAATACATGGTGGTCCACAAGACTTGTAAATAGTTTTCCTGTTTTTAATAAATTTGCGTAATCTATTTGATCTCTAGAAAAAATCAGAATTGGCTTAGGAAACTTTGCACTTTGGCTTCAGTCAACTTAAAAATGAGAAGGTTGGGGTCAATTCCATATTTTTTCAACAAATAGCAGGTTTCTGTCCGTAGGGGGAAATATTTTGCTTCGACGTTCATGATTGGTATAACTAGTGACGTACATTTCTGGTAATGTATTAAATAAGCTAGTGCTAATGCTGATACTGTAGAGTCTAGATCACAGGATTCATTTCCTAGTACTAAATGAATGGAATTGTATGATGTGAATTCCTACAACAGCTTTATTTAGTCTTCATTTTCTGTTTTTGGTAGATTCATACACGGGCTTGTTTAGCTTTTTGAAGAAATGTTTGAAATTGTTCCATTTATGCTTTGATAATAATCGGATGAGCTTCAGTTTTAGAAGATTGAGGTTATGCTCATAGGTTATGTTTAGAATACTCGACAGGCAAGTTTGAATTAGGCGCCATTTGTTGACCTAAATGCAACCAGCATTTCGTCCTAACATCTACCTCACCTGTGATGCGTAATAAAAGGGATAGATCTTCAATATATTTAAGGAATTTAATATCTTTTAACAGAGGTTAGGAGGTGTAATCAATTTGGTCTGTAAATACATAGAATTATTCTGTTGTTTCTCTTGTTAATATGGGCAGTTTTAACTGAAATTTGCTTTTTTTTTAAAGAACGTGAATAAAATTCAATGCTCTTCCGTTGGTTGTAGGTAAATATATCGTGTAGAAATAACTATACGTGTATACTTTTTATTGGCAGAAATCCTTTTATTTTTCTTCTTTCTATGTACGTAACTTATTAGGACATTTACTAATAAACTTTTTGCTAAAGAAAGATGGAAGTAACTGTATTGTCGGTATCCGGTAGCGTGGGGTATTAGACTGCTCGTGCTCCTCACTGCGGGTTTCCATAATCCTTAAACACTTTGATAGAATAAATGGACAAGAATAAAAATTTCTTGGTTTGATTACAGAAAATTTTGAATTTGAAACGAGAACGTTTTGACATAATATTTTAAACCAAACTGTAGAGTAATTTTTTTTAACAATAATGCATCTTTATTTAATAAATTTATTACGGGTAGATTTTACATGGGAATATTTTTTTATAAACAGATCAACCTGGTCCAGTGCGCAATCAATCAAAAAAACTAACGAATATTGACAAATTGAAACTGAGACAGGACGAAACTTCGGAATGAAATATACCTATAAAAAATAACATAACATTTGTGTTTGTTCAAATGATGAAACATATTCAAGGTTATTTTATTGTTTTCTTATGTTGTTTTTTAATTTTTATGTTTTCCTTCATTGACTTCACATTCATAATTTATTTATAAGAAAGCTTATGATTCAGTCATTCATGTGCTCTTCTCAAATATTCAATGGAATTTTGGAAAACCACCCTTCAAATAACCTTAAATGATGAACAATTCAATAAGATCCAATAATGATCAGAAGAGGAATCTTTCCAGGCGATTCCCTCAGTGCGCTATGGTTCTGTTTGGCAATAAATTCTCTTTTTTAAACATGTTTTAAGTTTCTTGTTATAAAAAGAAGACTAATAAAAATATATTAAAAAAAAGCAAAATATAAGCCCCACCCACCCACCCTATTTTAATTGTGATGAATTTTTTTATTCGTCGTGAGCCGGGGGGTGGAGCTCAATTGTGAAATACATATTTCTCTGTAAAATTTTACCATTTTAAACATGATTTAAGTTTCTTATTATAAAAAGAAAATTATGTATACTGAAAAAAAAAAAAAACAAAACATAAGCCTTGTCCACCTGTCCTATTTCAGTTGTGACGTTTTCTTATCCGTCGTGAGCCGAGGGGGCGATCTTATTGCAAAATTCATATTTCTCGATAAAAATTTACCATTTCAAACATGTTTTCAATTTCGTGTTATGAAAAGAAGACAAATAGATTAAAAAAAGGGCACCGCCCACCCGCCCTATCTTAATTGTGATGGCTTTTTTTAATCGTCGTGAGCCGGGGGGTGGAGCTAAAATAATTGCAAAATACATATTTATCTGTAAAAATTTACCATTTTAAACATGGTTTAAGCTTCTTATTATAAAAAGAAGACTACGTATACTGAAAAAAAAACAAAAACATAAGTTTCGCCCACTCGTGCTATCATACTTGTGACGTCTTCTTATTCAACGTGAGCCGGAGGGCGGATCTTATTGCAAAATCCATATTTATCGTTAAAAATTTACCATTTTAAACATGTTTTCAGTTACTTGTTATGAAAAGAAGACAAACAGATTAAAAAAAAAAGGCAAAATATACTAGGTTTTTCCACATATGTAGCTGATGACTGCAAATCCGAATGTTCTAAATTCTTCAAAAGGTTATTTAAGGTTATCGTAAGCCTGGTGAAAGGTTAATTAAATTTTATGCGTTTATCCACTTCCCAAAAATTAATAACCTCTTGTGGTAACCAAATTTGAATCAAATTTTCGCGCTAAAGTTAATTAACAGCGGTGCGAAATCACATTAGAATAACTTGAATTTGAAAGAAAAAAAATTCAATCAAAAAAATCGTTAAACATAGGCAATCAAATATGCACGTAGCGCTTGGGGTAGTTCTGCATGTTTAGTTAGAGGGCGGCTTGGTAGCGACAGAGGGCACCATGGCGGAGCGTCAGTCTGGATGTGTTTCTGTGAGTGTAATCACGTGGTAAGGTAGTTTTGGTTAGTTGGTTTGGTAGTTAATAAAAATGCCTTTGTTTAACGGCAATCAATCGTAACACCAATGACGTCACAGTTTCCCCAACTCGCGCGGCTAATTCTTGCGGTCTTTTATTCGGAAAAAAGTGCGGACTTTCGTTCCACGCGGACCATGTGATCTAGATTTGTTTTGTTGTTTGTAAATTCGCCAATCAAGTTAGTTTTCTTTTTATCGTCAACTAGTGCTAACACAAATTTAACGATCAGGATTATTTAAATAAACCACTTGCTAGATTTCATGAAATTCACTTATTAGTCAGGATAATAATTCTTTGTTTAACAAATTACGAATAGGTTTCTGGATACATATACGTAAGTGTTACATTATAACACTTCTTAATTCTTCACACAAAATTGCTAATAGTTCATTTACGGCAGTTAAATTAACAAAATTCATACCGCGAACTGACGGGGGGTTAAAATAATTTCTTCCCTTAGGCGGTTATCATCGTTATTATCATAGTTATCAGGATTACATCACCGGGGAATGCCCTCACAACGCTAAAGATTGATTACTTCATCGAGGCAGGTCCTCGCAACGATATAGATTGACTACATCACCGGGTCATGCCCTCACAACGCTACAGATTGATTACTTCATCGAGGCATGTCCTCGCAACGCTAGAGATTAATAACACCATCGAGGTATTCCCTCGCAACAATAAAAAATTACATCACCGAGACGCTTTTTCCTCGCAACGATGGCCTAGTTTCGGACGGCATGTCCGTCGTGGAGATGTGTGATGTGCTGTTTGGGTAGGCTTGGCGATAGATAGAATCACCGTCGAGGGGGAAGAATAGCCTCGACCGGTAGCCCCAAACTCCGCTTGTGCTAGAACGCCTCAGGGGTACTTTTGTTGTACTCCTGTTAACTCCCGTAATAACTTGTGTATTTGCATCCAGTAGTATTCAAATATTTGCATTGATAACATAAACGTAGGGTTTTTGTACTTGTTTGGTTTTCATATGTGTATGTCTGTCAATTCGCGAGTGTCTTCTCTTTTATATTTTAAAGGTGTTTCATTTGAAATGTAATATGTCGTGAATAGATGATAGGGGGTTTTTGGGGCTGAGGAGTGAATACTCGCAGCTTCTTTGCTCCTAAGAGGGGTGCCATTTTAGCCCCTGCCAAAAATGTTGCCTATTATTTCTTGCGCTCTCGACTCACACGCAGTATATGCTCACTTGTATGAAAGAAAAAAAAAAAAACACACACACACACACAACGTAGGTTTCCATTTTGTTAGACGATCACAGCCAAGGCCAAATTTTGAATTTTTGAATTTTTTCGCGGGGCTTTCAAACTTTTTCAAGGTCAATTTAAGGCGGGAAGTTTGGGTTATCACACTCTTTATAAAATTTTGCCACATAAATGTTATTTAAATTTTATAAAATAACATCCACCTGCACGTGTGGTTTAGAAATCCGTATTGAGTTCTTACCCTAGAGATCCAGATTTTTGGAAAACAACTTGAAATTTTGTAATAATGTTTACGCTCTTGCATTGCAGTTGTGGTTTATGAGTTCGAGTTCAGTTTTTGCCCTTGACATACTTAAGGTAATCAGAAAAAAAAATATAATAAAAAACCCTGTTCGTCTCTATAAAACAAATTTGTTTTAGACAGAGTATTCGTAAAAAATACAACATGTAAACTTAAAATTACTGGACATGTGGCTTTTATTATTAAATACTTCTTTTCTGGGATCAGTAGTGATCTTAGCTGCTGATATGTGTTAAAGAATGGCTATGTAATTTGTTAGTAACAACCCAAAATATTACAATGAATTTGTAGTAGCGTTGCCTTAAAAAAAAAACAGGAAATGAAATTTGACCCAAAGTGAATTGAAAATTTAATTTGTCAATTTATGTCAATTCTTGTCTATTTGACAATAATAGTATCTGTTAAAAAGTAATTGACATTTCTGACACATAATAAGAACATAAGTGACAGTTTTTTACCTAAATTTTAAGCCGTTTCAAACTATGAAAAATCATGGCCGACTAGTATAAAGATTATGGCCTGTCCAAGAGGTACGATACGTGCTGCCATCTATTAATAATTGCATTTAATAATTTTAATTTGACTTGACATTATGGGACTTCAAAACGTGTAATGGTGGTTTGTTTCGGTATGAATGCTTTTGTTCATTTCAAAAAGTGTTAATAATGTGTTTGTCGTTTTTGAATTATTAATAGATGGCAGCACGTATGGTACCTTTGGCCATGGCCGACTAGTATAAAAATATATATTGACTGTTCTGTGGTATAAAGATTATGGCCTGTCCAAGAGGTACGATACGTGTTGCCATCTATTAATAATTACACTTAATAATTTAGCAAAATTTTAATTTGACTTGACATTATGGGACTTCAAAACGTGTAATGGTGGTTTGTTTCAGTATGAATGCCTTTGTGCCTTTCAAAAGGTGTTAATAATTCTTTTGTCGTTTTTGAATTATTAATAGATGGCAGCACGTAATGTACCTTTGACATTCCTTTGGACAGGCCATAATCTTTATACTAGTCGGCCATGCTTTGGCATTCCTTTGGACAGGCCATAATCTTTATACTAGTCGGCCATGGAAAAATAAATAAAATCTGACAGAACCATTTCTGACATTTTCCGTTTTTTTTAATTCTTAATCTACCACGGACCAGAAATATTAACTATTATCTAACTCCAAATCTAACAGTTTCTAATATGTATAATATTAATAATCGATATAATAGCATTCATTCTTCCGGACGACTTGTATAAAATCGAATTTGTTGTAAAAAGGAAAAAATTGTTATATCTCCACTACCTACTGAGTTTCCTTAACTAATAAGTGAACAAAATTTCAGAGAAGTTTTTATGTAGTTTGTAAGATAGCTTTGGCAACTTTGGGGTGACGTCATCACTTCTTTTAGGGGATGTATACAAAGTTTTGCTATTATTTGAAGTAATCGATTTCGCAGTTTCAACGTTTATTTGAACGATAATAGTTATTTACATTATGAGTGCGGTAGGTAACATTTTGCAGGTTGAGGTCCTAATTTGCCACCCGACGCGAAGCGGAGGGTGGCATGGGACCGAAACCTGCAAAATGCCTAACGCACGAAAATTGTATTAAATTTTTTCGCCGACATTGATTTTATTTTAAAAAATATTTGTTTTTAAAAATATTTTTCGAAATGGAAATAATGAAGTGACAGCTTATAGACTTGACGTTTACTGAAGGAATCTATAATACCGGCAGCCACGAGATGGCGCCATGTGATTTTTTTTTTAATAATTCATTTTTTCTAATTCAAAAGGTTTGATCCAACAAAACATGATGTAAAGTAGTATTCTAGTATGTTTTCTTTTATTATTTATACAGAACTTTTTTTATTAGAGCTTCTAGAGGCTAATGCATGTTGAATTACTTTGGCACCCAAAGGCGGTAAAGCAACGGTAAATTGATATTTGGTGCGTAAAGTCATTGCTACGCGGCATGTCAAAGGTGTATGAATGTTTTATTTACATGTCAGGAGGCGAAAAAAACTATTACAACTGTTTTTTTTATTTTTTAATGTCACACATTCTTTGGTGCTTATAATAACAATTCACATTATTGATTTAAAATTAGGCAAAACGTTAACATTTAATGTTTCCAAAAGTGAATGTAGAAGTGAAAAAAACAACTTTGTTTGCAGTTAATTTAGTGAAATATCAACTTCTGGAAACCTCAATCTTTAAAAATCAATAGTTTATTTTTGCTTATAATTAGGTAAACCGGCGACGATTTCGCCCTCAATGCCGCATTCATCATGTCCTCGAAGAATTTTGAAATACCCATTATCACCCCAATCCGAATTCCAAGAATTTGCAATTAACCAGTAAGGAGTACCATTTTCGACACCCCAACCCAAAATCCTAATGGCATGGCCACCCAATTCTTCGCCTTTTACATGCTGGTAAACACCTGTGAAACAATTAATTAAAATATAAAACACACAATTAAAATAATTGGTACCGCTTTTGTAACTGAGCAAGTCTGCATAAACTAGGAAAGCTCCTTCCACTGGTCCATTAGTCATAATTTCTTTCTGAATTTGCTCCACAGCACTTGGAACAGAGTAAGATTCCTTTCCATAATGTAAATCAGTCTTGTATGGTACTTTGTAACTGTCTTCACATCTTTGCACACATTTTGGAGTGCCTCCACCTTCACTGCAAGGAGGGCGTGTACCATTCACATGATGTTCACATGGAGGAATCTCATATGGTCGACAACCTTGATTTGACCCATAACTTCCCCCAGAAACCAGTCCGTTTTTAACCCAATAGTGCCACGCAGCTCCCGGGAATCCCCCATTGCACCCCATTCCACAAGTTGCACAACATGACACCAAATCATCAGCTGAGAACCTAAAGTTGACGTCGCCTTTCGAGTGGATGCAGACTCTGTCTGACATGGCCTCGACCGCTCCGAACGCCTAAAATCGCATATTGTGCATGTTTTTCAATTTTTTTTGTAAAGTTTACCCAACATGACCCACACGATCCTTGATCTCTAATCTCGCGAATTGTTGGACAATTAGGCCATTGTTTACGAGCGTCAAAATCTGTGGGGAGTTTGACACCATCCAATTGATGAGTTTTGACTGAAGGCATGTGGTATTTGCTGTGGGGATGGACACCCATTAAGCCACGGATGTATGACATTGAGATGTTTTCGGCGAAGTTTGGTCCCGCCTTCCATGTTGTTTGTTCATTGTTTATTGAATCGATGAATTCTTGGGAGAACGGGTTCACAGCCAAAGTTGTTGCTAGTGTCGCACAAATCACAACCAACGGTAATAAGGTGTTCATTGTAAGAATTGTAGAACGATCTGCTGGAACAAAGACTTATAAATTAGTGCGTAGAAAATGTGTTCGTTATCGCTGACCCTTTTGTATCTGTTTGAGCAATTCATGATAAATAAACATAGTTCAGTGATTTACTTACAGTTTATGTTGTTTTTGTTCTCTATCAAGCAGAAATTAAGCAACTGCGAACTATTTCGGTGTACAATATTTACACAATAATTAGCATTGTATCTCCAGTATCTATCTTTATTGACTTTACTTGTCAAAGTGACAGGTATTTCTAAATAATTAAAAATTAGCCGGTAACTGGCAACACTGTAAACAGTCTTGTCAACAAATAACAATTTCTAGGATCGTAGGTGCTGCCCTCTACGGTTGGTTTAAAAAAAAACGGGAAATCGCAGAAAAACTTCTGTCAGATTTTATTAATTTTTCATAGTTTGGAACGGCTTTTTAGAATTTAGGTTAAAAAACTGCCACTTAATGTCTTTGCCATTTCTATTGAAACACCATCTGTTGATTTTGCTTAAAATTTAGCAATTGGTAACAGCTTTCGGTTGATTGACAACGGATTTTAGTTACAAAATTATGTGAATATGAACGTTGCCAAATTTACGATTAACAAATGGTGTTTCAATAGAAATGGCAAAGACTTTATTAAGTGTCAGAAATGTCAGTTACTTTTTAACAGATACTATTGTCAAATAGACAAGAATTGACATAAATTCCCAAATTCAATTTTCAATTCACATTAGGTCAAATTTCATTTCCCGTTATTTATTTTTGAAGCCAATCACATGTGACGTGTGATTGGTGATTCCACAGGTTATTCATGTCATGAGAGTTCTGTCACAGCATAGATATCAATCAGTAGAGACGGCTCGCCGTTTTTCGTGACCCGTTTTCGTGGGTGGTCGTTCGCATTATGACCGAATGAGGGCGCCCAACTGACGTCTAAAATATTTGAAATTTGGCAGTTTTGTTACAATATTTTTGCCAGTTTTGCTTGTTTAAGACTGCTTTTCCGGTAGAATTGTACAAATAGTATAAAAATGTAATTTTCACAATAAAAGGTAAAATCTTTGTCCGATGAATTTTCATATCGGATCCCTGTTGTGCGCCTTATTCTCTCCCTCGTGTTTGAAATTCTTGGAAAAGATAGTAAACGTAACACATTTTTTGTTTAAAAAGTCGTCACAAACGAACAACAACGGTGGTTATGAATAAAATAAAAACTGTAACAAATCATCGTGTTTATAAATTAAATATGGACTTTTCTTTTTTCTTATTGCGATTCACGATTATACGATTTGAGCAAACTAGACAGTTTCCAATAAATTGCCTACACCCCTACACGAATCAATTTTTGAAATTGTAAATGAAGTGATACTTTTTAAATTGGGTGGCGACATCTAGGAATAGTTTAGGCAACGACCACCCATGACGGCTTAAAATTCGGGTCAGAAAGAACAAAGGCGCCGACACGAGCTGTCTCTACTGATTGTTATCTATGCTGTGGTTCTGTGCCTAAAAAATTCAAGACGCAACCAGAAATACAATTTCAAAACCATCTTTGATATACAGTATAACCTCTATGTATAATCCGAACCCACGATTATTCGAACTTCCAGTAATTCGAAGAGAGGCTAGTTGAAGTCGGTATCTCTTTAATCCGAACAAAAACTCTGCAATCCGAACTGAACTTGAAAACATGCGCTTACTTGCAAAAATGACGCAAGATCTTCTTTCTGTACGTGTTGTATTGAATTTTTGAAATTTTTAAAAATGGTGATGTTTCAATGCTCTGAATTAATTAACTAATTCTGCAAAAAGGTTGGAGTTATCGAAGAAATGAGGCCGAAAGTGACTTCTGCGCCCCGAAATCAACAATAAAAAGTATTTAGTTAAATTTAGAAAATCGTCGAAATGGATCGAAATTTGCTAGTACTGGCTAAATAACCTACCCTCTAATAAGAAAATAAAATGCGGGTGGGCCAGGCTAGTATTTGCCAAAATAAGACTCATTTTGCCCCACCCACCCACCCTTTATTTTCTTAGAAGAGTGGGTCATCTGCCAAAATCAGTCTAATTTTAACAAGTACTAGCCACATCGACCCACCCTTATTTTCTTAAAGGATATGTCATTTGCAAAAATCAGTCTCATACTTGCCAAGATATTTTCTTAGAAGAGTAGGTCATTGACCAAAATGAGTCTTATTTTGGCAAATACTAGCCCGGCCCACCCGCCTTTTATTTTCATAGAGGGTAGGTTATTTGGCAAGTGCTAACCCCACCTACCCACCCTTTGTTTTCTTAGAGAGTAGATCATTTTCCAAAATCAGTCTTATCGTAGCGAGTACTACTAAATTTTTCTGTTTTTCGATTTTTCAATTTCTCGCTTTTTAAATTTTAATTTTTTTAATTCGTCTTTCGATTTTTGATTTCTCTGCGCAACTGAAAAAAACCTTCGATTTTTTAATTTTACAATTTTGGCAGTTTCCCGATTTCTCAATTATTTGAATTTTAAAAATATTTTTATTTTTTTAAATTTTCGATTTTTGATTTTTTGTCACCGAGATTTTGGAAGGGAGTAAAAACTAATTTTGATCAGAGATTACCATGTTTACCGTAACCATAGTCACTGCCGTAACTTTAAAACATCTGAAAATTTTGTTTCTAATTTTCAGTTTTTGGATTTTTCGATTCTTCACAATATCGGTTTGAATGAATTTGTTCTTTTAGTTAAAAAATCGAAAAATGACAAATCGTGAAAAGGAAAAATTTTAACCTGAGAACTTGAACAATTAAAATAAAAAAATTCCAAAATTGGAAAGTTAAAACTTGAAAAATCAAAATATTGGAATTAAAAACTGCAAAATTGTCAAACAAATTATTATCAAATGAAATATTCAAAAGTTGAAAAATCTAAAAACAAAAAAAAATGAAAACTGGAATTTCGAATTCGGTTTTTTAAGATTTGTTTTCTTTTTCAATTTTTCGATATTTCAGTTTTTGAATTTCCGATTAATACAGTTGTACAATTTTTTGATTTTTTAGTGTTTTTATTTTTAGCAAGTACTAGCCCCACCCACCCAGCCTTTATTTTCTTAGGAGAATGAGTCATCTGCCAAAATCAGTCTTATCTTGGCAAGTACTAGGCCCCCACCCACCCTCCCTTATTTTCTTAGAGGATGTCATTTGCCAAAATCAGTCTCATCTTGACAAGCACTACCCCGCCCACCCACCCTTTATTTTCTTAGAAGTGTGGGTCATCTGCCAAAATTAATCTTTTCTTGACAAATACTAGCCCCACCCACCCACCCTTATTTTCTTAGAGGATATGTCATTTGCAAAAATCAGTCTCATACTTGCCAAGATAAGATTGATTTTGGCAGATGACCTACTCTTTTCTTAGAAGAGTAGGTCATTTGTCAAAATAAGTCTTATTTTGGCAAGTGTGTACTATCATAGTGTAAAATTTCATTTTTGAAAAAGTTGTCTAAAAATTCTAAATAAATTCAGAGTGTTGATTCCAAAAATATAGCATGTTTATGGTAACGGAGCAATATTTTCGCAAAATTCGGTGTGAAATTCGGATTTTTTGAAATTTTTGAAAATTGCGATATTTCAATGGACGATTCTGGAAAAATGGTTTAAGTTATCCAAGAAATGAAGCCAGAAGTGACTTCTGCGGTCACAAATCTACATGGAAGTAAGTATTTAGTTAAATTTCGAAAATCATCGAGGATACTTTATTTCTGTTTAATAAAATTAAGGTTTATTTCTTGAAATTTGTTTTCAGCAGTGTATGAAGTTGTTATTCAATTCCCCGATTATCGAGGTTATACTGTACATGATAAACAAACCACTACCACATTATAAATTTTACTATCGAAATTGAAAAAATGAAAAATTTTAAGAATATTGCGATAACTTAAACATCCCGCGAAAATTTGGCATGTCGGCAATTTTTGAATTCAAGCCGCAAAGACATTACTAAACTGTAAGAGAATAATCAGACCTGAAACAAACTATTAAACCTACAAGAAAATATTAAAGCTCTCCCGTTTTTCGAGTCCACGAGCAACCGCAACATTTCAAGACCCTTTTTTCTCAAAATGGACTAGCGTTTAGATTAGTTTAAATGCCATAAATAAACTATTAACAACCTCTAGTGAGAATTAAGAAATGTGCTATAACGTAAAAAGTACTTAAGTAAAAGCAAAGAGTGAAGTCTGAGCAACTGAATTTCTTAACATGTGAAATTCAATTCAACTCATGACTATTAAATTATGTTAAAGCGAGGAACAATTGAAAAAAGAAAACTATCACTAATAATAATTAATTACAAGTCACGCATTAAAAGCAAAACGTGTCTATTTTCCCATGAATTAATTAGTACTACCAATTTAAAGAGATTGACACTCACTAATTGCCTAGAGGAGCTACCTTTAACTGAAGTTGCACATGTTTGTCTATGTTTAACGATTTTCTTAACTTATTTTTCAAATTCACATTATTTAAATGCGGTTTCGCGGTATTGTTTTTTCTCTCAACGCGAAATTTAAATTCAAACTGGGACACCACAGGATGTAACCAAATTTTGGATGTGGATGGACACACAACAGGACTTTTAATTAACTAAACTTTGGTTCTCATCTTCTGATCATCACCTTATAATTTTTTTACAATTTTTAGCTTCATAAATTATTTTCTCTATTTCAGACTAAAAATATTCTATGTAAAATACATACAAGTAAAATTTTATTAGTAATAACTTAATAATGAAACAGATGCAGATCATTGGCACGAAAAATTATACCTCTCGATTACATACGCCTACTGTGGCCGGGAAAACCATCCAGAACCCTACTTAGTTTATTTTCAAAGACATATAGAAGAAATAAATAGTTTTATTAAAAAATACAATAATATTTTCGTGGTTTAAACATTTGTTTGACGTCGAACTATAAAAAATATTTAAAACTTAAAATCTGTAGACACGTCAACTTTGCAAGTTAAACTATTCAATCCGTTGACGTAAGAATAAGTATTAATTTATAGTATACGTAGTTTAAACATTGTCATTATGTTGCTCTGTCCTTTTGACTTCAGGGAAATTAAAGATATCGTTGTTGAAACAATAAAAAATAGTTAGACTCTTTCCGAAAAAACGAAAATATATTTAAACCGATCCATATACCCTGTAAACAGTTGGACAATTTGAAACCATATTACTAAAATAGGTGCCAAAAGATCCCACTTAAAGCATATTTTTTTAACAAACATTGGACGGCTAAAATTTTGGTTCCCAAAAGTGAAAAAACTAAGTAAACCACTTTGATCGTTTTTGATAAGTCCATTACAGAAATCGCAACTTTTGGAAACCTCAATCGCCAAAAGTATTTAATCTGTTGATATTTTATTTCTATTATAAGGCACACCAGCAACGACTTGGGCCTCAATGCCGCATTCATTCACCCCGCGAAGAATTTTGAAAAATCCTTTAAGGTCACCCCAATCTGTATTCCAAGAATTTGCGACTAACCAGTAGGGAGTATTGCTTTCGACACCCCAACCCAAAATCTTAACGGCATGAGGTCCAGTACTTTTACCCTTTACGTGCTTGTAAACACCTGCAAAAAGTTTATTCAAATAAATAATAAATAAATAAAATAAATAGTACCGCTTTTGTAACTAACAAAGTCTTCATAACCCATGAAAGTTGCTTCTACTGGTCCATTAGTCATAATTTCTATCTGAATTGCCTCTACACTATTTCCGATTTTGTAAATCTCCTGTCCGAAATGTCGATCCGCCTTGTATCGAACTTCATAACCGTCTTCACATTTTTTTACACACGCAGGAGTGTCACTGGTTTGATTACAAGAAGGAGGATGTGTTGTATTTACTTTGTGATCACATGGGGGAATTTGATATGGTCGGCAACCCTTATGTGACCCATAATTTTCTCCAGAGACTATCCCCGTAGTAACCCAATAGTTCCATGCAGATCCAGTGAGTCCCCCTTTGCATCCCTTTCCACAACTTGTACAACATGAAATTAAATCTTCAGCTGAAAACCTAAAGATGTTATCTCCTTTTGAGTGGATGCATACCCTGTCAGACATGGCTTCTACCGCTCCGAACGCCTAAAATAGTCATTTTGGAGTTATTTTTCTAACGCTTTTTTTATCAAGTTTACCCAGCATGACCCGCATGATCCTTGATCTCTAATCTCCCCAATCGTCGGGCAGTAAGGCCATTCTTTACGCGCGTCGAATTCTTCAGGAATATCGATACCATCCAAATTAATGGTTTTGAGTGAGGGCATGTGGTATATGTTATAGGGATCCACACCCATTAAACCACGAATGAATGACATTGAGGTGTTTTCGTGAAAATTTTGGCCCGCCTTCCACATGGTTTGCGCATTGTTTATTGAATCGATGAATTCTTGAGACAGAGGGTTTATACTTAAAGTCGTTGCCGCTGTTCCAAAAATCACAACTACTTGTAACCAGATGTTCATTGTAAACATAATTGTAAAAATCTACAAGAAAGGTATATTGTTTTATCCGTCGATATGTGTTTCTTATCATGATTTATTTTTTATTAGTGTAAGAAAATTGTGTGATAAAATAAAAATAATTCACTGATTTACTCACAATTTGTGTTGTTAATCTCAGTACACTAAAATTAAGTAGTTGACGACTGGTTTCACTGCGTACAATATTTACATAATAATTCCCGTTCTATCTCCAACACTTATCTTTAGTTTTTTGATCAAAATAATACAAGTAATTCTATATAATTAATAATTAGATGATAATCGGCAACACTGCAATAAAATATTTTAAGCGACAATTTGAAGGTGCCGCCGTCTGTGTGGCATACGATTACATAACAAAGGCCTTGGCCTGTGCTACCAGGATAAATCCAACGTTGCCGATAAAGTCTGTCAAATTTAAAACTTTTCAAATTTAATTTAAATTTCAGCACTTTCTGTATTTGAAACTGGCTTTAAGCTGTTTTTATGTTTCAGTGGGGTGTTTGTGATTTATAGTAATGGAAATATGTAGCTGATGCTACTTCAGATTTGGAAGCAACTTTAACATAGTTAATACCTCTATATTCAACTTTATTCATATAAATTTTCGTGAATTTTACAAATGCTCTGAATATAACTATAATTTACTTATTCGTCTTGCTAAAACCTGTTAATGATCATTTCAAGATTTATGGTGGTTTAGTAACGTAACTCTTTTTAGAATTGTTTATAAACCATATCTAAAAAAAAAGTAAGTGGATCAATTTATTTTATTAAAACAAAAATGAGTTACCTAGTTTTCTTTTGATACATTTTGTTCCCACCAAAAATTTTGTACAGTTGCATTACAAGAATACGGGTGGGTGGGAGGGGTCACTTTGAAGTTTTTTAAGCCGGCCAGTTGACAAAATAAAGTTCAATTTTCATCTCACAGTAAATAAAATAAGTCAATGAAATTCAAAAGTGTAGGTGGGTAGGATCAGTTTTACATTTTTTATGCAGATTTCATTATTTATCGATATAAAATCCACTTTTCGTCCAATAAAATGACAAGAAAGCGGGTGGGTAGGCGGAGCCACTTTGAATTTTTTAAGTGTAGATTAGAGCAGTTGACAAAATAAAGTTCACTCTTCATCTCACAGTAAATAAAATAAACTAATGAAATTCAAAAGTGAAGGTGGGTGGGGCTACTATTTTTTTTATGCAGCTTCCACTATTTATTAATATAAGATCCAATTTTCGTCCAATAAAATAAGTGACCAAAAATAACACGGGTGAGTGGGCGGAGCCACCTTGAAGTTTTTAATAAGTTTTTAAGCGCAATAAAATAAGTGACCAAAAATAACACGGGTGGGTGGGCGGGGCCACCTTGAAGTTTTTTCTTTAAGTTTTTAAGCGCACATTCGACCAGTTGACAAAACAAAATTCACTTTGCAGTTTTTTAAGCCTACTTTCGACCAGTTTATCTCACAGCAAATAAATTAAGCCAATGAAATTTAAAAACGGAAGTGGGCGGCGTTAGTTCTACATTTTTTATGCAGATTTCATTACCTATGGAAATAAAATCCACTTTTCGCCCAAAAAATAATGATTGACAAGAAAACGGGTGAGTGGGCGGAGCCACTTTGAAGTTTTTTAAGCCTACTTTCGATAAGTTGACAAAGTAAAGTTCAATCTTCATCTCACAGTAAATAAAATAAACCAATTAAATTCTAGAGGTTAAGGTGGGTGGACTTACTATTGTTTTATGCAGATTTCGCTATTTATTAATATAAGATCCAGTTTTCGTCTATTAAAATGAGTGATTGAGATGAGTACAGGTGGGTGGGAGGGGTCACTTTGAATTAAATTAATCTAGTCTTGTTTTTATTTTTACATGTTTGAAACGTCGTGAAAAGTAAAAAATCTGCAGAATCAAGTTTTATAACTTGTCTGAGAAAGTGAACTTGTTTAATGGATGCTTCTTCAGGGGCGAAAGCAATTGTTCATAACAATTTAAAACGTTAAATTAAGGATTAAAAGTAATATTTTCGGAGAGTGGATCTTAAAACTTTTTAATTTTAACGACTCAGGCATAAAAACTTTATTAGCTGATAATTTTATGATAAAATATTAATAAAAGAATGAATTAACTCAAGCAATAATTCGCTGCTAGTAAAAGTGGTAGAGGATTTTTACAACTTTAATTAAGGGATAAATGTAAGGATTTTGTGTAAATCTTTATACCTTAAAAGAATATTTCCCTAAAAAATGAGAATAAAAAAAAATAGTATTTCGTCCATCAAATGGATGACTAAACGACTAGTTCTGTCAATTCGGTTGTCCTCTTTCAACCTGAAACTCAAGGAGAACGAGGTGTCGGCTCAGGAAGGGCGGACCCCTATGGAAGAGGTAGAAACCCCAGGGGGTGAAGCCTCTACCAGTGGGGGCGGGCCCGCCTGAGACATGTGCCTCGTGTCTCCTAGGACAATTATGGGATTTTTGGTTGCAGAGATGGCGCTGCAGCAGATAAATTTCATTCAGATTAACCTGCAGCATTGTCGCATGGCGACGACTGTTTTGTGTCGTCGTCTAGACAAGATGCAGAACACTATAGCAATAATCCAAGAACCATGGATTGTAAAATCCAGGATCGCAGGGTTGAGCAATTTAAATGGCACTGTTGTTTCAGGTACCACAATAGAATCTCCAAGGACATGCGTCTACATTCCGAGGAAAATTAAAGCCGTCCTCCTACCTCAGGTCAGCTCCAGGGATGTGACTGCGGTAAATGTTAAGTGTAACATAGGAAGAGGCGAAGAGCAACTGGTAATAGCATCCGTGTACTTACCACAGGGAGCACAGGAACCATGTCCAACATGGGAAATGGCGAACTTGGTGGAACACTGTGATACCGGAAATATAAACCTCATCATCGGTGCCGATGCGAATGCCCACTGTCTGTTGTGGGGGAGCAAAGACACTAATGATAGAGGAGAAACACTAGCTGAATATCTTTCATCAACAAATCTAGAGATTCTCAACCGAGGCTGCGAACCAACTTTCGTAACATCACGTAGTCAGTCAGTAATAGATATTACACTGGCTACATGGGATATCTCACAATATATAATGGGATGGCACGTCTCCAAAGAGGCGTCAGTGTCAGACCATAGATGGATCATGTATACATCAAAATGTATAGACATGGAGGCAAAGACGTACAGGAACCCTAGGCTGACGAACTGGGCTTTATACAACGAAGAACTGGACGACAGACTGGGGACCTTCGTGCAGTCTATACCAATAGAATACAGATCGACAGAAGACATAGAGAAAACCTTGACCATTATCAACGACTCTCTAATGTCAGCGTATGAGAAAAGTTGCCCCCTAAAGAAGGAAGGTCTGGGCAAAGGTACACCATGGTGGAACCGAAGGCTCAGCCTACTTCAATCGGGGCTAAGAAAACTTTTCAATAGAGCAAAAAACACTAAAAAAAACTGAAGACTGGGAAGCCTATAAAGAGCACCGGAAAGAGTTTAAGAAAGAATTAAGAAAGAGGAAACGGGAAACGTGGAGATCCTTCTGCAGCGACATAACGTCGACTGCTTCGGCCGCAAGGCTGAAGAGAGTTCTCTCGAAGGACCACACACATCAACTAGGTTTCCTAAAGAAAGAAGATGGCACCTTTACAGCCACCTTAGAAGAGTCCGCAGAACTTTTGCTGCAGACCATGTTTCCAGGCAGCACAAGGACTACCTCCCATTCCAAAAGGGATGTAGTCGGTACTCAACCTTCCCCGAAGGACTGGGCGCTGGCTGCAAAGGTAGTCACGGAGGCAAGACTGGAGTGGGCAGTGGACAGCTTTTCCCCATACAAATCTCCAGGAGTTGACGGTATTTATCCCGCCCTCCTGCAGAGGGGAATGAGCAGACTACGCCCTATTTTGTTGCCAATGCTTCGGGCGTGTCTGGCTTTCAGCTACATACCGAATGCATGGCGAAAAGTAAAGGTTATCTTTATACCTAAGCCAGGACGACAAGATTACACCTTGGCTAAATCCTACAGACCAATTAGCTTAACATCATTCTTGCTGAAAACGCTAGAAAGACTAAGCGAAAAAGAGATTCGGGAGACTGCTTTGAGCAAGCAACCTCTACATCCGAACCAACATGCCTACATCCAAGGAAGATCCACCGATACGGCCCTACACACAGTTGTAAACCGTATAGAGTGGGCGATGGAGAACAAACTCTTCACCTTAGGAATGTTTTTGGATATTGAAGGAGCGTTTGATAAAACGACCTTCAAAAGCATAGAGCTAGCCCTACGAGAGCACGACGTGGACCCTACCCTAAGTAGGTGGGTGGCCGGTATGCTGAGGAACAGGGAAGTAATGATTAATGTAGGTGGCACTGAGATCGAGGCTGTTGTAGACAGGGGATGTCCTCAGGGAGGAGTTCTCTCTCCTGTACTGTGGGATACTGTCGTTGACAGCCTGATACGACGCCTCAATGATCTTGGCTACCACACAATTGGATACGCGGACGATCTAGTCATTCTGCTAACAGGAAAAAACGCAGATACATTATGTGAGATAATGCAAGCTGCAGTAAAAATAGTCGAGGAATGGTGCAGCAGACATACCCTCTCCGTTAATGGAGAAAAGACGAAACTAATCCTGTTCACCAGGAAAAGGAAAATTGGTACACTACAGATGCCAAAAATATTTAACACAACGCTCCAACTTTCGGACGAAGTCAAATACCTGGGAGTTGTATTGGACTGGCGACTGAATTGGAAGAAGCATGTAGATGATAAAGTAGAAAAGGCACGCTCGGCTCTTTGGCAATGTCGTAGGGTGGTGGGAAGGTCGTGGGGTTTAAATCCCAAGATCGCCCTCTGGATCTACACGGCAATAGTCAGACCGATGCTGTGCTATGGAGCTTTAGTTTGGTGGCCCAGAGCCAGACAAAAAACAACAGCCCTGCAACTTGAACACGTTCAGAGAATGGCGTGTCTCAGTGTTACAGGAGCAATGAGGACCACTCCCACAGCGGCTCTGGAGACTCTTCTTTGCTTAGCACCTCTTAACCTTTACATAGAGGAAGCGGCAATGACGACGTCTCTAAGACTTCACTCTCTGGGAGTATGGAACAAGCAAGGCCGCACAACGAAGCACACTCGGATCTTAACGGAGGCGTTCAACAGAATACCCTTGTTAAGGATGGGGTGTGACCGAATGGGCACAAAATTAATATATGAGAAGGCATATAGAATATCAATGAATGATAATTCAGAAGGACGAGCCGACATAGAAATCTATGTCGATGGTGCCAAAACAGATAGTGGTTCAGGAGCTGGCATCTACTCCGAACAACTGAACGCACAAATCAGTGTACCTCTCGGCACCCACACGTCTGTCTTACAAACAGAACTGATGGGAATAATGCTGGGAGCTAGAATCATTGCTGAACGTGAAATCGGCAACAAATCAATACGCATACTTACTGACAGCAAGTCTGCACTACTAGCCCTGGACAGCTGTATGGTTCGATCCGGGCTGGTTTGGGAGTGCAGACAAACGCTAAAGTATGTAACGCAGAGGAATAGTGTGGAACTTTGTTGGATCAAAGGACACAGTGGCAACGAAGGAAACGAGAGGGCAGATGAGATGGCGAAGCGAGCCGCGCGCATGCCCTTCTGGGGACCCGAACCGGCAATCACGCCTTCGGTCGCCCTCTCGAACGAACTCGTAAAGCAATATACCCAGAGACGCCATGAGCAGATATGGGTGAAATTGAGCAGCTGTCGGCATAGTAGAGCTTGTATGGCGACACCAGACCGTAAGTTGACGAAATTTTATCTCTCACTTTCAAGGGACAAACTGCGTAAACTGGTAGGATTCCTTACGGGACATTACCAGTTTAACAAACATCTACATACGATAGGGGTGGTAACAGACCCAATCTGTCGTGGATGCAATGAAGAAGAGGAAACAGCTGAGCACATTCTTCGTGAGTGTCCAGCCCTAGCCTCCTACAGGGAATCCATACTAGGGGACATCTGGCCTAGTATGGCAAATATCAGGGAGTTTCCACCCTCTGCATTACTCAAGTACATTCAAGCAGTTGGGTGGCTTGACGAGTAGAGGAGCGGGAAAACACCCTGATATGGACTTGGGGAAGGTACAATGGGCCCAAAGGCGAGGCCTAAGTGCCGGCTGGCTACGGTCAGCCCCCATAATTTAAGAATCCAGAATCCAGAAGCGCACATTCGACCAGTTGACAAAACAAAATTCACTTTGCAGTTTTTTAAGCCTACTTTCGACCAGTTTATCTCACAGCAAATAAATTAAGCCAATGAAATTTAAAAACGGAAGTGGGCGGCGTTAGTTCTACATTTTTTATGCAGATTTCATTACCTATGGAAATAAAATCCACTTTTCGCCCAAAAAATAATGATTGACAAGAAAACGGGTGAGTGGGCGGAGCCACTTTGAAGTTTTTTAAGCCTACTTTCGATAAGTTGACAAAGTAAAGTTCAATCTTCATCTCACAGTAAATAAAATAAACCAATTAAATTCTAGAGGTTAAGGTGGGTGGACTTACTATTGTTTTATGCAGATTTCGCTATTTATTAATATAAGATCCAGTTTTCGTCTATTAAAATGAGTGATTGAGATGAGTACAGGTGGGTGGGAGGGGTCACTTTGAATTAAATTAATCTAGTCTTGTTTTTATTTTTACATGTTTGAAACGTCGTGAAAAGTAAAAAATCTGCAGAATCAAGTTTTATAACTTGTCTGAGAAAGTGAACTTGTTTAATGGATGCTTCTTCAGGGGCGAAAGCAATTGTTCATAACAATTTAAAACGTTAAATTAAGGATTAAAAGTAATATTTTCGGAGAGTGGATCTTAAAACTTTTTAATTTTAACGACTCAGGCATAAAAACTTTATTAGCTGATAATTTTATGATAAAATATTAATAAAAGAATGAATTAACTCAAGCAATAATTCGCTGCTAGTAAAAGTGGTAGAGGATTTTTACAACTTTAATTAAGGGATAAATGTAAGGATTTTGTGTAAATCTTTATACCTTAAAAGAATATTTCCCTAAAAAATGAGAATAAAAAAAAATAGTATTTCGTCCATCAAATGGATGACTAAACGACTAGTTCTGTCAATTCGGTTAATTAATCTTAAAACTTATCCTCGGAGAGTACTCTTTCGTGTTTAACGAGTGTGCTGTTAGTAAAACTTTTATTAAGTGATTTCAGTCTTTATCTATTATTTTACAGGTTAGGAAGACCAGCGTATGGATAATCTTCTATGCCACATTCGTTGTTACCTCTACGAATTTTGAAAAATCCGTTATCGCCCCATCCATTGCCCCAAGAATTTGCCACCAACCAGTAGGGAATTCCATTTTCGTCTCCCCATCCCAAAATTTTGACAGCATGGTATCCAGCATAATCTCCACTTACGTAGTAATAAACACCTGTTAATAATTATCTATCATTATCTTAAATAACAAACCATGGTTTATGATAATGGTGAGCAGAACTTACCAGACTGATAATTGTAAAAATCTTGATATACATTGTAAGTTACAGTGATGGGTCCATTGGTCATAATATCATACTGCATTTGGTCAATCGCATTATTTATGTAGTAATATGTGTTACCATAGTGTTTATCTGCGTCGTAACCAACTGGATAACCATCGTTACAACTTTGAACACAAGCTGGGGTTTGGCCGTAATCGTGGGCATCCGCTGTATACGGTCTACAACCCTGTATATAAAAAAAAATAATAAATAAATAAAATAAGCATGAGAAATAATTATAATTCACCTCATTTGAATTTAAATCACCCCCAGACACAAGACCTGTGTTTATATAATAATCAAAACCTGACGTCACGTAGCCTCCGTCACAGCTTCCGCAGCTTCCACAACATGAGAGAAGATCTTCAGCAGAGAACATGAATTGCGCAGATCCAGAGGAATGGATGCAGATTCTATCCGACATTGATTCAACTGCAGCGAAAGCCTAATGAAAGTAGATATGAGTCTTCGAATAGTATAATTTTCAAAAATTTTTACCCAGCAAGAGCCACAACCGCCTTGGTCTCTAATGCGGTTTAAAGAGTCACAATAGGACCACTGTTGACGGGCATCGAAAAACTGAGGGATATCCTGAAGGTTTACTTGATGCGTTTTTCTAACGGGTTGGTAGTTAGGATCTGGATGGATACCCAAAACGCCATTAAGTTTGTACAAATATTCGTTGGTTGTGTTTTCTGGAAAATTGCGTCCAGCGACCCAGCTGGATTGTTTTTGGTTTATGGATTCGATGAAGTCAAATGAAAGCGTGTTAATTTCTGCTGGGGTAGCAGAAATTGCGCCTACTAAAGTGATGCAAAGCACAAGAATTTTCATGTTTGCCTGAAAAAATAAATTTAGGTGATTGATTTACATTATTAGAGCTGTCTTACCTTTATGGATTAGAGAAACAAGTTGGAAATGTGCTGGGTAATAGCTCTTTTATATTGAAGTTGGTGCCCATTTTTATCATTTTTAAAGATATATACTTATATCTTGACTTTTAAAAAAGTGAGATACAATTGTATAATTTTTCTACATGTGTGATATCAGTATAGTAATTGATTTTATTTTAGATTCTGCAAAGTCAGTTGTGGTAACAACGCATACATATAACATGTTTACAAATTTGTATTTAGACATAAGTGACAGATCTGTTTAAGAGCTTTTTAAAAATGACACATTAAACCCGTTTTTAAAACGAATTGATTTTACTAAACAAATGCAGATATTTCCTTTTTATCCTTAGTCCCTGTGTGAATTTCTAGAAACATTGTAACATTCTGAGTAACAGACACTTTTAGCATGACGTTGTTGGATATTTTGTCACTTATGATTTACTTGTAACTGAGTAACATAATTATATATTTACCACAATGCTATTCGTAACCTACATCTTGCGAAAACTGTCTATTAAGTTTATTTTTGGCAAAAAGCCGATCAGTCATCTGAAAAATTTATTAGATAAATCTTTATAGAAAAACTTATTTAAGACGTATGGAGTCTTGGTGTAATTCCTAAGGGAACGATCTATTTGGGGCAAATATATGGATTACTTCATATAAAAACAAATATATTTTTAGGTGGAATTCTATTTTTGGTGGATGCGCTGGGTTGAAATAGTTGATTAAAAATATCGTGGTTACTAGCTGAAATAATTATAATCGAAACGATAAAACTGCAGCAAAATAAAAAACAAGAACATAATAGGTATCTAAAAAAATTCTTGAATGAATTTTAACGTATCCTTGTTTGGAGTTATGTCCTTTAATATTGGTAGTAATGAAATAATAGTATATTATATAACAAGGGAGTGAAAGTTTATAATTCACCCAAAAGGATTAATTGACACCTGTAGTATCTCGGGAAATATGCAATTTTTTGGGCTTCCAAGGCACGTTTTTACAAAATAATTTCACAAAAGATTTCCATTTGAAAATAATAATTTCTAGGAATGACAAAACATTATCAGTGCCAACAACGCAATTATTGTCATGGTAATTGAATTTATTTCTATTTAATCCCTAGGGATTTTTTTACATTTACTCCCTTGGGAACAAATGGATCACTTTGGTTCCGAAAAATAGCTATCGAAGAAATGATGCCGAAAATAACTTCTAGAGGTCAAAATCTATAAGAAAATGTCTTTACTCAAGTTCAAAACTTGTTGAAAATCGGTTGAATTTTTTTTCTTTTGAAACAATTACCAAAAAATTTCCAAAAAAATTTAGGATGTAGATTTCGTCGTACTGATTCTAAAAACATAGCCTATCTATGGATTTGAAAAATATTTTTTAAAATAAAAAAAAAGTCTAATAATTCCATAGTAGACCAGTTTCTAAATATTTTGTCCAGTTTTTTGGATTCATCTTTCAGAATTATTGTACAAACAATAATGTTGATTATAAGTATATGTAATATATTTTTGTATTTCAGCTGTCAATTAGTATCCACGTTGCCACTTTATCTTCTTAAAAGAAAAAAAAAAAATACTGTAATTGTTGAGTACTTCTTTCACATGTATATATTAATTTAATCAAATTTGTTCTACGTATTTTATCAAAAATACGCAGTTACCTTAAGAGCGAACGTTTAAAGATTTTAATCTTGATAAATTAATTACGATAGCTCACTATAGTTTATTATTTTGACAAAACATGAAGTACAATTAGATCAGATAATATTGTCTACATTTAAAAATCATAAAAATGTGTTGTATCATGTGTCAATGAGTAAAGTGGTTATTTAATGCGTAGATAATTGTTTTATTTAATTTTCTGTTTAAATTTTTGTATTAATATAATTATACCTAATAATAATAATTTTAGTTATGTTTGTTATTTTTAGTATTTGCACATTCCCATCAGATTCTTTTGTGTTTGTTTCTGTTATATACTTACTTTGCTCTGGCACTCGACATTGACTTGAACTTAGTTAAAACTTGGGAGTCAGAAAAAACTCGTCTCTATTTGATGATTTAATTAATTTAAAATAAAGACAATTTTTTTCCGACTCACAGAGTTTTAACTTTTGTCATTTACGTATTTCACTTACCCCAGATAAATTTTGTAGATTGTTTCTGCACAGTTGTGGAGAACATTTGGAAGTAATGGTAGAATTTTGTCAAAAAGGAGAGGTATGCTATTCTGGAAAGGAAAATCACCAATAACTGTCAATCAAATGGTAAGTTCTCCCCTCTCGAGGTTTCGGAAATAAGTCATATTACACTAATTACACTCGTTGAGGCGGAATGTGGCGTCGAATGTAATTTATTTTTGTTTAGACAATTCATCCTGGGTGAAATTATAAAAAAATATAGGTCCCTTTAATTTTAACACATGTTTTCAAATATGATTTTGAAACTATTTTTGATATTTCATACTATTTTTAAAAAATGTACCCAAACGACCAAAAAGTGAGTAGTTTAACTAAGTATGTTTTACTTCATACTTTTGAAGTGAGTAACCCTGTATGTGGAGATCGTGTTTCAGAGGCGTGGGAAGTTCTCTCTAAATCCATTCAGACCAGTTTTTTTTTAATCAAAATTTTGCATTTCTTGTTATATACTTTACTGCACACTTTACAACATACCGTAACATGAAACAATTTTATAATTTTTACAAATGCATCAAACAGTTTAATAACTATCAAAAAATATCCATAACTTTTACAATTTTGGCAAAACAGCATACGGATTATATTCAATACCGCACTCGTTGTATCCACGGCGCATTTTGAAAAATCCGTGGTCTCCCCAATCAGCTCCCCAAGAATTAGCAATCAGCCAGTAAGGAACTCCACTTTCAGTGCCCCATCCGACAATCTTAACCACATGATACCCAACACTGTTTCCGCTTACGTAACTATACACACCTGAAAACATACCATAGCAATCGAGCACAACAAAAATGCGAATAAGTATTACCCGACTTATAGTTGTAAAAATCTTGGAATACCTCAAAATTGACAATTAGAGGTCCATTAGTCATAACTTCATACTGAATTTGGTCAATGTCACTGCTCACGACGTAATCGTCGCTCCCGTAATGTTTATCCGCGCTGTAGCTCGTCGAATAACCACTACGACAACTCGCGCTGCATGCTGGTGTGTCACCGTCACTAAAGGCATCTGAAGTGTACGGTCTGCAACCCTAGTAAAACATACCTCTACCTTATGTTGCAACAGAGTGATTAACAACTTACTTCATTAGAATTTACGTCACCACCGGAAACCAGACCTTGATTAATGTAAAAATCAAGAGCCGCCATCATGTAACCGCCTCCACAGTCTCCGCAACTAGTGCAGCATGAGAGGAGATCTTCAGCCGAAAAGAAGAATTCGGTAGATCCAGAAGAATGGATGCAGATTCTGTCGGACATCGACTCAACAGACGCGAATGCCTTGAAACATCATATTCTAATAAAAACTGCAAATTTTTGGTTGTGGAATATTTACCCAACAAGAACCACACGCTCCTTGGTTTCTTATTCTGTTCAAAGATTCACAGTTGGGCCATTTTGTTCTAGCGTCGAAAGTGTCAGGAATCTCTTGAAGATTTACTTTGTGAACAACTTTCTTGGGTTTGTAGTTAGGGTCCGGGTGGAGACCAAGGAATCCATTTAGTTTGTACAGGTACTCATTAGTTGTGTTTTCGGGGAAATTGCGGCCGGCCACCCAGTTAGACTGTTTTCGGTTGATCAGATCGATGAAGTCTTGTGAAAGTGTATCTGTTTTTATTGTAGACGCAGAAACTGCGGCTATTAGAAGCGCGAAGCTGAAGAAAATCTTCATTGTTGTTTGGTGCGTCTTATAGTCTTTACCTATATGATTAACTTAATAAAACTAATTGACTGCGAAAAAAATCTGCGTGTTGTCCTTTTATAAAAATATTATCTTCGTCAAATTTTATCGATACTTATGTATAATAGATATATCCACTTGTTCTGAGATTGATTTTAGGGTAATTTGAAGATCCTTATGTCGAATAATGTCCACTGATTTATTGTTAAAAATTGAAAATCAGATTATTACATATGTATTTGTACAGCAATAATGATAGTAGAGTCCAGTCAGTCATTTCTGTTTTTAGATACATTTGAAAACTGAAAACAGGTATTTTCTACAGACTGATGATAGTTAAATGATTAATGATTATATTATATCTGAACAAAACACTTGAATTCTTTGCGTCATATGAACAGAATGTAATCTAACATTCAAGTGTACAACAAAAAGAAACATTTATGTTTAGTCTTTTCCAAATCACGCCAACTTAATCAAACTGATGATCTTTTATTGATAAAGAATCTTTGTTATGTCAATAAGTGTTAAAATTAATAAACTTGATCTGAACATAAACCAAAAAATACTTTTTGTGTAACGCTGTAATTTTTGAAAACTATAAATTAGAAGCAATTGTTTGACCGTTCACTCGATTTTCCCGCATAGTGCGTTCGAATCAAAGGCAGTGGCGGAGGATGGGTGATTAAACTACCATACATTAATGAATTCAGAAAACAAGGTCTACAAGATTTCTAAAAAAATTAAACAATCATATACTTCAGGGGTGAGGGAAGTGACGTAGAAATAACCTTCGACCAATTTTTTTACATTAACATTGATAAGAAAATTTAAGCCACCAGATACTACAAAATATGTTTATTTGTGTGAAATTGATAAATTTAAGCTTTGTAGGCCAGCTTATATGGCAATTAAATCAATTTTACTGACATATGTGTACTGACGTATGACTCATTTGTTTTGTTTCAAAAACTGGGAAGAATCTTCCAAATTTTTAACTACCGGGTGACTATTAAGCAAATTTTTGTGTTGGTAATTCTGAATAATTGGCAGCAATGTTAATATGTCAGTCCACAGTTGTCATTTTGACATGAGCACGCGTAAGAAACGTACTGAGTAGATGACAGCAACTAACTTGATGTCATAAATCAAACGAATCGGGAACATTTTTTTAACAGTAAATTTATTTATAGTCATAGCAATATGAAACACAAATCAGTCAAAGCACGCTATCTTAATTAAAGAATCTGGAACGTTAATTAAAATTATGGCTTTCTTTTTCAAGTTGCATTTTTACTGTAAATAATAATAAAACCTTTCGTCACTAATTAATTTTCTTTGATTAAAATAAAGCGAGTAATTCCGGTTAATTCAAAGGTTTGAATGTCCCATTTTCTGCTAAATTGAACGCCGAAGTGGTTTTTTGGTCTTATTACAACGTATTTCAATTTAAGTTTATTACCCCAATAAAAACACAAGTATCTATAAAATCCTGCTTAGGTAGTATATTTTCACCTACTGTGTTCGATCTTACCACTTTTCTACCGACAAACGCGAACCTGCAAATTTTCATCGGGGCAATAGTTGAAATGGATTAGAATTGTAATGAATGAGTTTACAAGGGTGATTGAAAATTTATTTCTTTATTTTTTAATTTATTGTTTGGCAATGTTAAAATTCTTACAGTGCTGGCATGCCAGCTAAAACATGTTCTTCGATGCCACATTCATCGCTTCCTCGTAGTATCTTAAAGAATCCATTGTCACCCCAGTCTTCGTTCCAAGAATTTGCTACCAACCAATAAGGAGTACCTTCTTCTTCACCCCAACCCAAAATTTTGATAGAGTGTCCTCCAACAAGTTCCCCTAAAACGTGTTGATAAACACCTGAAAAACAGTATGAAAAATCTGATCATGCTATAAAATAATGACATTTTTACCACTCTTGTAGGAAAAGAAATCTTCATACACCGAAAAATCAGCTTCCACAGGTCCATAAGTCATAATTTCGGTTTGAATTTGCAGTGTGTTGAGAATGACCGAGTAGGCAGATCCACGTCTTAAGTCTGCATCGTATGTTAATGGGGACGTTTCGTCGCATTCAAATGTGCATTGTGGAGTAGGCTGAATATCTCCACAAGAAGGTAAATCTCCTTCTATGTGGTGTTCACAAGATGAGAATTTATAGGCTTTACATCCCTGAAAAATATCACTGGAACTAATAATAATAATACTCAGTGTTGGGGACAGATACTTTTAAAAGTATCTAGATACAGATATAGATATATGGAAGATAAAAGTATCTAGATACAGATTGTTTTCGATTTTTTCGAAATATATCTAGATATAGATACAAGAAAACATATACTTTTTGAAGCTTTGGCTAATAAAATAACTGAAAACATCTTTATGTATTTTTTTTATGTATTGTTTAATTAATTTTTTAAAATGAACAAAATTTCGAACGTATTGTCACCTAAATTATTTCTTCTTGGTGTCAGAATTTGGTTTCCGCTACTAAACACCCGTTCCACAGGTGCAGAAGAAGGGATTGTGGTATTAAATTTAAAAAATAAACATTTTACTGTAGCATAGTTATTCAAGACTGAAAATGTTTTTCTTTTTTCCTGCAAATAGGCCATCGCTTCGCTGTTTGATGTGTCGCAAATTGTGCAATATTTATTACGTACGCTTAAAAAGAATATTTTTTTTTGTTTTTATTCCCATACTACAGTCTCCAAATTGTGTTTGAGTATATCTAAAACTAATAAATAGTTTACAAGGTTTTATATCCAAAGACAAAAATAGTTGAATCTAAAGGATTTGGGTTCGGGAAATTCAAATCTGAAAGCAGAAAAAATCCACTTTTTGAGATATATATGCCAAAATAAGTCTTATCTTAGTAAGTACTAGCTAATATAAGACTGATTTTGGTAAGCTAAGATAAGAGTGATTTTGGCAAATGAGATATGACTTAAATGACGTATCCTAAAAAAATCTATTTTGTCAAACGATGCCTTTGATATTATTAATATCCGACAGATATGACTCTACTGTCAGTAATTTAAGGTTATCTAAATTAAGCACATTTTACAAGTTATGACGTTAGTAAATGACAACTGCCCAATATTTTATGAATGAAACTGTACTAGCCCCGCCCACCGGCCCCCTATTTTCTCATAGGATATGTCATTTGCCAAAATAAGACCTATCTTAGCAAGGACTAGCCCCTCCACCCGCCTCCTATTTTCTCAGAGGATGTCATTTGCCAAAATAAGACTTATCTTAGTAAATACGAGCTAAGATAAAACTGATTTTAGCAGATGACATACCCTCTAAGAAAAGAGAGGGTGGGTGGGTGGGGCTAGTATCTGCCAAGATAAGACTGATTTTGGCAAATCAAATATCCTCTAAGAAAAGAGGCGGCGCTAGTGCCTGCTAAGAAAACAATGATTTTGGCAAATCACATAGCCTCTAAGACAAGAGAGGGTGGGTGGGCGGGGCTAGTACTCGCTAAGATAACTGATTTTGGCAAATGAGGTATGTCTTAAATGACGTATCCAAAAAAAAAAAAAATAATTAAATTATTATAAGAAAAGAAACTAGAGGCTCCAAAGCACTTTTAAATTCTTTCGAAACAGGAATACCTAGAACCTCAAAATTGTTTTAAATTTCGAAACGCAGTTTTTTTTTCTCTATCTGAAAATGTATCACTTCCTCTTCTACCTCAGTTTTTACAGTTGTATATTGCCAAAATCAGTCTTATCTTAGCAAGTACTAGCCCCACCCACCCACCCCATTTTCTCAAAGGATCAGTCATTTTCCAAAATAAGCCGTATCTTAGTAAATACTAACCCCGCCCACCCGCCCCCTATTTTCTCAGAGAATATGTCTTCCATTGTCTCCTACCTATCCTCATTCTCCATGTTCACCTTCTTTTTTATTTCCGCTTAGTAGTTGCCACTCCCCTGTTGTATTGTGTTAAGTTTCGAAAATAATGAAAAATGAGTCGAAATTTGAAAAAGGACGACAAAGGACGATAAAGGGAGAAAAGGACGAAAATGACGAAAACTGACGAAAAGGACGAGAAGGACGAAAAAGGACGAAACAGGACGAAAAAGGACAATCTTGCAATTAAGCCACGTCCCTTGATCTGACGACGAATGAAAAATTCATCACAATAAAGATAGGGGTGGGCGGGTGGGGCTTAATTGACACGACACTTCTAACTTCAAATTCATAAAAACCAATAAAATTCAAAAACGGTGGTGGGTGGGATTAGTTTTACGTTTTTAGTCTAGATTTTGTTGTTGGTAAAATTCCCCTTTTGTCCAATGGAATGAGTGATCAAGAGGAAAACCGGGTGGGTGGGCTTTGAATTTTTAGAAGCTGATTAGGCCACTCGACAAAATAAAATTCATTTTCCACCTAATCAGATAAGGCAATAAAATTCAAAAGTGGAGGTGGGTGGGGTTAGTTTTACCTTTTCGTTTAGATTCCAATGTTTATCAATATAAAAACCGCATTTTTGTCCAATAAAATGAGTGATCAGAAGGAAAACTGGGCGGGTGGGCGGGGCCACTTTGAATCTTCTCAGACTTTCGCAGATTTTATCAGACTCTTCTACATTCCTATGGATTTTTTCCAAATCTCCCAATTTCTTTAAGATTGCTTCGGATTCTCTCAGATTTTCACAGAATTTTGTAAATCCTCCCAGATACCTTCAGATTCTTTCCGAGTTGCTCGGATTCTATCAGATTCTTTTAAATTCTTTCAAATTCCTTTAGATCTTTCCAGATTCCCTACGACTTTTGTTGATATTCTTAGATTTCCTCAGAATTTTTTAGCAAAGTATTTTTAGATCGTTTCAGATCCTTCCAGATTCTTTAAAATGTTTCCAGGACTCTTCCAGGTTCTTCTGCATTCTTCTAGATCCTTCTAGATTATTCTAGGTTCTTCTAGATTCTTTCCGATTCTCTCAGATCTCTTCAGGTTTCTTCAGATTCTTTCCGATTTTCCCAGGTTCTCTTAGATTCTTTCAAATTCCCTCAGATTCTTTCAAATTCCCTCAAATTTTTCACAGATTGCTTCAAATTCCCTCTGATTTCCTCAAATTGTTTCCGATTCTTAAGCTTTTTGAGATTCTTTCGGATTGTTTCAAAATCTTTGGAATTTTTTCAGATATTTTTAGATCGTTTCAGATCCTTCCAAATGTTTCCAAATCGCTTCCGATCCTTTCTGACACCTGCGGACTCTTCCAGGTTCTTCCAGATGCTTCTAGGTTCTTCCAGATTCTTATTGATTTTTCTAGATTCTTCTAGATTCTTTCCGATTTTCTCAGGTTCTTTTAGATTCTTTCAAATTTTCTCAGATTTTTCTCAGATTGCTTCAAATTCCCTCTGATTTTCTCAAATTGTTTCCGATTCTTAAATTTTTTGGAATTCTTTCGGAGTGTTTCAGAATCTTGAATTTCTTTAGATTTTTTTTAAAAACAGAAATCCTCGAAATCCTTTCAAAATTTTCACTTCCTTTCACTTACTTTCAGATCGTTCCAATTCGTTTCAAATTTTACATATTTATCTAAGTCTTTTAGACTCTCCGTGATTCTTCGAGATCTTCTCAGATTCTGGCAAATTCTTTCAGATTCTTCCAGATCCATATCGATTCTTTCAGATTCTTTCCGAATCTCCCAATTTCTTGAAGATTGCTTCGGATTCTCTTAGATTCTCACAGATTTTTTCAAGTTCTCCCAGATACTTTCAGATTCTTTTCGAGTCTGTCGGATATAAATAGCCATCTTTTCAGAACAAAGAACTTAAAACATGGTTACAATGGCACATTTTTGTAAGGAAATATGGCTTTTGGAATTATGAAGCGGAGCCTAATTGCTAAATGGATATTTCCTTATACAAATTTTCCATTTTAAACATGTTTTAAGTTTCATGTTGCGGAAAGAAGTCTATACATATTAAAACGAAAAAGCAAAATGTAAGTCCGCCCACCCTCCCACCCCATCTCAATTGTAATGATTTTTTGTATTCACCGTGAACCAAGAGGGCGGAGCTTAAGTGGAAAGTACTTAATTCTTTACAAAAAATTAAAAACATGCTTTTGGTTTTATAAAAGTAAAATTGGCAACACTGCACACACCTAATGCGTGAATACCTCCGGCTTTCTTTCTGGTTTCTTAGTAACGATGATGACTGAAATCCACCTTCGCTTTATATCAGGAAAACACAGTTGTCAAATGGAATTTTATCAAATTATTACAAAAGCAACACACCCATATCTTTGTGCATTCTAACGGAAATTGTAATTAAACATGGTCATGGGCGAGAAAAATATTAACTAAAAGTTTTACTACTAGTTATTCTGATAATGAATGAGTTGTTTAGTTGTTAAACGTAGCAAAAGAACCAATTTTAAAATCATTATAACTCCACCAAAATGTGAGAAGGATTTCTTTTTACTATTTTTCCCAGACTCACCAGTTGATTGTTAAGAGCGTAGCGGAGAGTGAATTCGTCATTTTCCAGACACCCGGTATATGGAGCAAATATGTATCATTTTAAAAGATCATTTCCGTAAATAAGTAACATGAGTGTCAATTTTTCAAGCTACTAGATTGTCATCAATGTTTTATTTAAAATTTTTCAAGTACTGATTTTAGAATAATTGGTTGCTTTTGATTTTTCTACGGGAAGTGATAATAAAAATGTGAGGTTGGCCTCACAAAGATATTTTAAAATGATACAAATTTGCTCAAAGAAATACAGGTTTATCTTTAAGAATAAAGAAGTTACAGGGGTTGTATCAAGTAAAAGCAACACCCAGTATATATTATAAACATTATGATTGAAAATTACAAATGATAAACCCTTGCGTTTTATTGGCAGTACTGTCAATTTCCCTTATAATAGACCAACAGTAACACATTTTCGTCCCAAAAACCTTGATATCTTCTTTTTAAGCATATTTCAACAGGTCTTCCCGCTTTAGGTACTATAATTTTACTACAAACATAACAAAACTGATTTGCATTTACTTTGCACGATCTCGAAGACATTTTTTATGCGACAATGGTGCATTAACATGAATCAGTCTAACACCAACGTGAAGGTAAAAGCAAAATTCATTATTTTGGATTTATGAAAAACCCTGACGTGATACGGATTATCCGTTTTTGGATTCGTTGTCAGTAAGTAATTTAGAAGTAAAAAATATTTTTTAATTTTTGGATACGAAAAAAGTTTAAATTTGTAAACTAGTGTAATTATCTCCAGCATTAAAATTAATATTTCAAAAGAATACAGGAAATGATTATTCTGTGCTGAAGGTCTGTTGTCGGCAACCTGTCATAAATTATTATTCGGCAATATCGGCTTACGATGTTTTTATGACCATGTCCGGTAATCGTCTATCCCGGTGCGGCAGGTATATACATTTTAGGAAGAATTGCTGGTTCCGTGTAAGGCAAAATAAGTACAATTCCTTAGAAAGGTATTTAAACCCCTTATAGGATCAAAGGCTGCCTGGCAGGCCGGAATCACCAGAGTGCAACTTTAAATTTTCAGATTTTTGTTGAAACGCATTTTATTTGAATCTCGTTTCACGATTTCTGAGAATATATCACGATAAATTATTCTACTGAGGGTTGTAAAAATATTAATTTTATTGCCCAAGATTTACACTTAAACATAATCGGCACATTCTAGGGCAAAACGGACCTGCCAAGCCCGCCTCGCGTTAGGTCCAACAATGAAAAAGTGAAGAAATGACACATGTGGCAACAGGAAAAGATGCTACATTTGTCTGAAAAATAAAGGTATAAAACAGTAACAAATATGCGATTTATGCGAGAGAAATGTATGTATTGAACATTCGATTAGTCGATTACAGAACTAATTTGTGCTAATTGAAAACATTAATCATTATGTAACACGCAATTCTTATTTTCTAAAAATAATAACATACCTTAAACAAATATTTTTACTATTAAAATTACTCTTATTTAATAACACAAATACAACCAGCGGGCCTACCGGACCCGGGTTGCTCAGGTACATAGATAAAATGGATTGCCCCGATAAGCGTAAAACGCAATGAATAGTGAATTGTGGTTTATGGTTTTTAAAATACAATCTTACCATGGCTTAGATTTATTACCCCTCAGGATTATATTTAAAGATGTATAGTGAACCAAGACCTATAAGGTTATATGGCCATCATAAAAGTAGTTGACCGCAAATAAATACCCCCTTTGTGTGGTTCGCATTAAGCTTACCGGTTGGCAATAAATCAACTTCTAAACATTTCTTGCTCATATTTAACAGGGCCGGCTTTCAAAGCGAGTGGTTATTTCGGAACCCTCAGCGGCTGCAGGTAGTAAAGAAATAGTGGAGTGGTGGATTTTCATATTTAGTGAAAGCCGCCCCTGAACGAAACCACAAGAGCCGGTCGAGCTGCAGTGGACACGTTATTTACGACCCTAAAACCTTTTCTATTGTAAACAACTTAACTTCGACACAATGGGATGATTTTATGATGGCCATATAACCTTATAACTCTTGGTTCACTATATAAGTACTGAAGGCTACAATGTAGGAAATGATGGTATTCAAAATATGAAAATTTCCGTGACAGAAGACTATTAGTGGACCTCTTACCTCTATTTTTGTTTATGTGACCAAAATCACCAACATAAAGTATCAAAAATTACTAACTAGTATAACTCAACTAATAACTACTGAAAAAAAGTGAAATAAAAAAATGTATCTGTATCTGCGCCATTAATTTTGTATCTAGATACAGATATTTTGTGCTTAAATTCGATTTTATCTAGATACAGATACTAGATACCCAAAAAGGTATCTAGATACTTTATTTATATACAAGTATCTAGATACTGCCCAACACTGATAATACTTCATCGTATTCGTTGGAGTGTAATTATTCCTCAACTTACATCTGTACTTCCATAACCTCCACCAGTGATAATACCAGGTATCGTCCAGGCAAGCCAAGCATATTCAGGATACCCACCGTCACACCCCTGTCCACAACTGAAGCAACACTCTACCAGATCTTCAGCCGAAATGCTAATTTTAATTGTTGCATTTGAATGAATGCACGTTCTGTCGCTCATCGCTTCGACTGCACCAAAGGCCTAATATTTATAAACTTTAACAATTACCTGTAAAATATTTACACCATGCCCAACAAGATGTTGCCAATAATGGATGCACATTCTGGCCAAGCTTCTCTTGCATCAAATGTCAGGGGGACATCTTGAGCATCTATCACGTGAGTTCTAACAAGTAATTTTGGAACATTTTTAAGAAGATTTTTGAGTTTGGAAAATGAAGTGTTAGAAGCGAAGTTTCTGCCTGCTTTCCATGTCGTCTTCTTGTTGTTGATCGAATTTATGAAGTCATCTGACAAGGGATATTTTTCTTTGTTGCCAAAAGTTAGAGTCAATGTTGCCAAAGCAATGGCAAGTAGTAACGAACACTTCATTTTAATATTTTTTATTATAGTGGGGGTAGCTACTTATAGCGATTTTGATCTGCTAGACGTATATAAGTGGCTTGTTATAAAGCTGATAAAGCAAAACAATAGCTATTGAGGAATTTTTACGTGAGATCTCAGTGATTGTCGTCAGTGAGAATAATCAAAGTTCGAAACGGTAAATGTTAACTTTAAGTGGATCTCTTAAAAATAAATACATTGATGTACTTTTAATCTGATGGCAACTTTATCTGATTTGTTAAGTCTATGTACACAAAAACTAGTATTATTATTATTTTATTCAACTTTCTCTAATACAATTGTTGATAACTCAATTTACAATTCCGGAATTCCTCCAAGAATGTCGCCTTCAATTCCACACTCGTTCGCACCTCTCAAGATTTTGAAGTATCCATTGTCACCCCAGTCTTCGTTCCAAGAATTAGCTACCAACCAATAAGGAGTATCATCTTCTACACCCCAACCCAAAACTTTAATAGCGTGTCCTCCTACCATATCTCCTGAAACGTGTTGGTACACCCCTAAAAAACATAAGATATAGATGTTGTTTTGCAGATTTAGTGGTACATACCACTCTTGTAGGACAAGAAATCTGCGTATACGCTGTAGTCAGCTTCCACGGGTCCATTGGTCATAATCTCGGTTTGAATTTGTGATACATCACTGCTGATACCGTAGGCTGATCCATGTGTTAGATCACTTTGATATGTGAGCGAAGATCCGCTGTCACATTCTTTTTTGCAAGCTGGCGTTGGCTGAGTATCTCCACACGCTGGTAGATCACCGTCAACATGGTGTTCACATGGGGCAAATGAATAGGCTTTGCAGCCCTAAACAAATATTGTTTCTTGGAATAACAGGACGTTGATTTTGAAACTATACTTACATCTGTTGTTCCGTAATTTCCCCCAGTAACAATACCATCTTCTGACCAATAATACCACGCCATTTCGGGCCATCCTCCGTCGCACCCCATTCCACAAAGACCGCAACAGTCGAGTAAATCTTCAGCTGAAATGCTAACCTTCACCGTTGCGTTAGAATGTATGCAAATTCTGTCGCTCATTGCTTCCACTGCTCCAAAAGCCTGAAATTGGGACAACGATATCAAATCTAGTTTCGATTGAATATTATTAAACATACCCAACAAGAACCGCACTCTGATTGGTCTCTTATATTACCAATAACGGAAGCACATTCTGGCCAAGCTTCTCTTGCATCGAACGACTCCGGAATAGCTTGTAAATCAACTTTGTGGGTCTTGATGGGCAATTTGTAGGGGTTTTCCGTTCTGGGTAGAACACCAAGAAGATTTTTAATTTGAGGCAACGGAGTGTTGGCATCGAAGTTTCTTCCAGCCTTCCATGTCGTTTTTTTGTCGTTGATTGACTTTATAAACTCGTCTGAGAGTGGGTGAAGTTTCTTGTTTCCATAAGTTATGGCAAATGTTGTAAGAACTACAGCACAAAGTAGTACACACTTCATTTTGACGAATACGGTTAACACATATAAGTGTGAAAACTGGGAGAACTGTGAGGAGTTCTAAAGTCACGTCCTTTTTATAATATGTCCGTAAGAGTTACGTGTGCATTAATTGACTTAACAATGTTATCAATAGTTGATCGGTCTTGAAATGTAGACAGAAGTGGTTAATTGATAGGATGTTTTATTGTTTTCTAAAAGTCGAACAAACAAAGTCACTGATTATTGTTAAACAGGATGTAATTATCTTAATTTCAAAGTGCAATGTTAACAAATCAGTGATATACCTACTTGTGGGTACGTCGCCTGAGAACTTGTTCGATCTACAGACCAGAGCGCACTCAGGCCAATATCGACTCTAAGCAATTTATCTATAAGCCGACTTTCGTTAGAGCTGATCTCATACACATTCTCTACGAAGAACTAACCCGTTTCGAGCATCTGGTCGGACTTAACAACGAATAAGTGAACAAAGTGCTTGAACATCTTAACGATTTAAAACATAGTGTTCTCGAATGACAAAATTTACATTTCAAATTGTATTATCAAATGGTAAAACGCTCACCAAAATTTGTCACCAATAATGAAATGACCCAATCTCCAAATTTTACAATAGTAGATGTAATTTAAATTTTAAATCCTCCGCTTATAGTTTATGAATCCGCACTGAGTTTTCAGCTTAGATGTCAAGATTTTTGGAAAATAAATCAACAACATTTTCCAATTTATAGAAGCATGTTAAATCGTTAGTCAAAATTTATCAGTTTTCTGTTGTTTCAATAATACGACTTCTCAATTTTTGTCCTCTTCAATTATCGATTTTTCAATTTTTTAATTTTGACGTTTCTAAATTTTCAGTTTTCCGATTTCTGAAGTAATCTTTTTTTTTATTTTCCCATTTCTCAACTTCCCAAAGTTTCGAGTTTTCACTTCTTCAATTCTTCAATTTTTCGATTATCCAATTTTCCAATTTTTTAATTTCTCAATTTTTTGGATATTTCTTTCATTTTTCAATATTTCAATTTTTTGATTTTTCAATTTTTGGACTCCTGAATTTTTTGATTTCTCGATTTTTTAGTTTTTGGATTTTCAATTTTTCGTTAAACGTTAGATTTTTCAATTTTTCGACTGTTTTAAATTATCAATTTCTAAAATTCTAGGTATTTGATTCAGTTCTTCTCTATTTCAATTTTTCAATTTTCCGAATTGTTAAATTTTCGATTTTCCAATTTTCCTTTTTTAAAATTTTTCAATTTTTCAATTTTTCAATTTTTTGATATCTCGCTTTACCGAATTCAGATGTTTCGATTGTTCAATTTCTCGATTCATCAATTTTTTAATTTTTAACATTTTTTCTCGGCTTTCGGCTCCTCTATTTCTCAATCCTCTGATTTTTCGATTTCTCAATGTCCCAGTTTTTAATTTTTGGGTATTTCGATTTTTGGATTTCTCGGTTTTCCGATTTTTTATTTTTGGGCTTTTCAGTTATGCGATTATTTTGATTTTTCAGTTAACCGATTTTTCAATTTTTTAAATTCTGGAGTTTGAATTTGTCGATTTTTCATTATTGTGTTATTTTATAATTTCAATGTTTTAATTTTAGATTTTCCGATTTCTAGATTTTTTGTTTTTTCATTCTTCAGTATTTTTATTTTTCAATTTTTCAGACTTTGACGTTGCTAAATTTTCAATTTTCCGGTTTCTCAATTAATCTATTTTTGAATTTTCCCATTTCCCGACTTCTCCAAGTTTCGATTTTTCAGTTCTTCAATTGTTCGATTTTTCGACTATTCTTATTTGGTTTTTCGATTTCTCAATTTTCCAATTTTTTAATTGCTCAATTTTTGGATATTTCTTTCAGTTTTGGGATTTTTCAATATTTCGTTTCTTCGACTTTTCAATCTTTCGACTTCTGGATTTTTCGTTTTTTAAATTTAGATTTTTCAATTTTTCGACTGTTTTCGATTTTGACCTATTTTGGTTTCTCATTTTTCGACTTCTCCACTTTTCGACTCGTAGATTTCTCGTTCTTTTGATTTTTCGATGTTTCGGTTTTTGAATTATCCGATTTTTCAATTTTCCAATTTTTGTAATTGTCGAATTTCGATTTATCGATTTGTACATTTTTCAGTTTTTCGATGTTTAAATTTTAGATTGTTGAATTCTTATTTTTTTGATTTTTTGATGTTTAGAATTCTCCATTTTTTTATTTTTCGGTATTTTGATTTTTAGCTTTTTCGACTTTTCGATTTTTCAGTTCTTCAATATTTTTTTAATTTCTCAAATTTTGACGTTTCTGAATTTTCAGTTTTCCGATTTCTCAATTAATCAATTTTTTGATTTTCCCATTTCTTGACTTCTCAAAGTTTCGATCTTTCAGTTCTTCAGTTCTTCAATTTTTTGTTTTTTCAGGTTTTTGATTTTTCAATTTTTCAATTTTTTAAGTTTGCGATTTTTCGACTATGCTTTTTTGACTCTTCGATTTCTCAATTTTTCAATTTTTTAATTTCCTAAATTTTGGATATTTCGTTCAATTTAGTGATTTTACAGATTTTCGATTCTTCATTTTTTTTTGTATTTTTCGTTTTTTAAACTTTAAGATTTTTCAATTTTTCGAATGTTTCATACTTCGATTTCTCAATTTTTCAATTTTTTAATTTCCTAAATTTTGGATATTTCGTTCAATTTAGTGATTTTACAGATTTTCGATTCTTCATTTTTTTTTGTATTTTTCGTTTTTTAAACTTTAAGATTTTTCAATTTTTCGAATGTTTCATACTTCGATTTCTCAATTTTTCAACTTTTGGATATTTTAACTTTTCAGTTTTCAAAATTTTAGGTTTTTCGATTTCTCGAGTTTTCAGTTCTTCTATATTTTAATTTTTCAATTTTCGGAATTTTTAAATTTTCGATTTTTCAATTTTTTTTTAATTCTTCGATTTTTCAATTATCCGATTGTTCAATATCTCGATTTTTAAGTTTTAGATTTTCGAATTTTAATTTTTTTGAATTTTTCATGTTTGGATTTTTCGATTTTACATTTTTCGATATTTGAATTTTTCAATGTTTTAATTTTAGATTTTTCGATTTCTCGATTTTTCAGTTCTTCAATATTTCTATTTTTCAATTTTTCGATTTTTTAATTTTGTCGTCTTAGTTTTTCGATTTTTAAAATTTTTCGACTTTTCAATTTTTGGATTTCCCGATTTCTCAGGTTTTTCAACATTATCAGTTTTGGGAATTTTTCAATTTCTGGTTTTTTTAATATTTTAATAGTTTGATCTTTCTATTTTAAAAATTTTTTCTTCGTCGGTAATTTAGTTTTTCAATTTTTCGAGTTTTCAATCACTCGATCATATCGCGTTTTGCTAAAAGTAAAAGTAAAAAATAGCCACCAAAATTGTGACAAAAATATGTAAAAATGGATAAAAAATAGAACACAAAAAACATAAAAATAACTGCACTTTCCTGAAAAAAATCTATTGCACAATTACGGTTCCACTAGTATTGCTAATTTAGGACGTGGTGTTAGTACCCAAGACAATCAAAGAATTAATTAGTTAACCACAAAATAGTTGCATGTCAAAATCGAGTGAAACATGTGAGATGTGGTATATGTTTGTAAATAAAAGCATCTAAATAATAACTATACAGAAATTCTAAACGCTTAGGGTCGACATTGGCCTAAGCGCGCTCCGGTCTGTGGATCAAACAAGTTCTCAGGCGACGAGTCATTAAAGTAGTAAATAATATTTTTATTAAATTTTAACTAAGTACTGGTATTAACTGCAATATGATAAATATACGTAGGTAGTTAATAATAGTAGTTGTATCAATAACTAATAAGTATATAAATCTAAGTTTCAGTTATTTTTTAAATGAGGTTCCCCTGTTTTTAATTATTTCTTCAAACTACTACTATTTAATGGCGGAAATACGATTGATGTCTTTGTTACTATGATCCTGTACAGCAAAACGAAAAAGTGAGGTTGCATGCTTGTGTAAAAGTTCATTTGTTTAAGGTTGAGTATAAATAGTTGAGTTGAAACAATTTGTATTTTAAATAGGTAATAAATGTAAATTTACATATTTATTACCATAAACCTTCCGTAAAAACTACATTCATTAAATTAAATAAAAAATAAAGGGGTTTTTCGAGGAGTAAGTATAACACACTACATATGTCATAAAGCAATTTTGAAAACTTAGTTTAATTTTGGTATAAGTAATAATAACTCATTGCAAATAACACTTTATTAATTACCAGCACTAACAGTGTTGTTATTACTCTACAAATTTGGTAATCCGCCTATAATATCGGCTTCAATTCCACATTCATTTTCGCCCCGCAAAATTTTGAAATAGCCTCTATCTCCCCAGTCTTCATTCCAGGAGTTCGCAGCCAACCAATAGTCTACACCATCTTCGACACCCCAGCCTATAATTTTAATAGCATGTCCACCTTCGTAGTCGCCTTGGGTATGCTGGTATACGCCTTAAATAAAATAATTCCATAAATGTAAAAAAGACGTGGTTAAACCAAAAATATACCAGAACTGTAACTGGGAAAATCTTCATAAACGTCGTAATCTGCCTCAACAGGTCCATTGGTCATAATTTCAATCTGAATTTGTTTTACCGATTGCATGATGCTATATGCACTTCCAGTTGTTTTATCGTCTGCGTAAACTAGGTCTATTCCATCGTCGCAAGCGCTTTTGCATGTAGGAGTTGACTGAATGTCACCGCAAGCCGGAAGATCACCATCAACATGGTGTTCGCAGGGAGTAATAGAGTATGCTTTACAACCCTAAGGAATTATTCTTTGTTAATACATTTGGTAGTTCTTTTTCTCTTTAATTTTAACTGAGCATTTCCAATGACAAGTTAAAGAAACTTTGTACCAGTTTACTCAGTTCGAAATTATGATGTTGAAGAAACAATAATCTTTTGTAAATAAATTGACACAAAGGAGTAATTACAACGCTTACATCTTTACTGCCATAAAGACCACCCGTGACAATTCCCTTCTGTGACCAGTACAACCATGCTTCATCCGGCCAACCTCCATTGCAACCATCTCCACAATCTGTACAGCAATCGTTCAGATCTTCAGCTGAGATTAGTACTTTAGTTTTTGCGTCGGAATGAATACAGATTCTGTCGCTCATAGCTTCGACGGCTCCAAAGGCCTAAAATCATAATATTAGAAATATAAAAAAAAAATTAGAAACTGTAGTTACCCAACAAGAACCGCAAGAAGCTTGATCCCTGATTGTTCCGATTATGTCTTCACAATCTGGCCAACCTTCTCTTGCATCAAATGTAATTGGTATCTCTATATCGTCTTCTGGGTGAATTTTTAGAGGCAATTTAGGAGCATTTTCTTTCCTGGGAAGGACACCAAGCAGTTGCCTGATTGAAGACATCGGAGTATTCACGTCGAAGTTTCTTCTAGCTTTCCAGGTTGTATGTTTGTTGTTAATGGCATCGATGAATTCATCCGACAGAGGGTGAAGCTTTTCGGCGCCGTGGCTTAGAGCAATTGTTGCAAAAATAGCAACAGAAAGAAGGAGACCCTTCATTGTGGCTGAGAGTACAAGCCTTAGGTTGAAATGGATATAATTTTACAGATGCGATGCTTGCTGAAGTGCAGTCAAACACTACACAGATCTAACTGAAGGTTAAGTGGAAAATTCTGTAAATATAGATTTTTATAACAGGACGTGATTTGGTGATTTAAACAATGTTATCAATGATTGCATCTTCAAGAGAGTCTATTCTATTCAATATTGACGAGACCACTTGTATGGCATCTGTCGATACTGTACGATTAGGTTTTAATTTATTGAAGGTTTGAAAATTTTGAGTAGGTAAGAATAATAATTATCTGTGAATTTAATTCATGAAACTAAATGTCACTGAGAGGTCTTTGCGAAGCCTAGCGATAACAATTTACGTATGAGATAATGTAGTGTGTTACCACTATCTAAAACTTAGCTTAATTTTGGTATAAGTAAATAATTCATTGCATATAACACTTTATTAACTCTCAGAAGTAACAGTACTTTTACTAAATTACAAATCTGGTATTCCGCCTATAATATCAGCTTCAATTCCACATTCATTTTCGCCACGCAAAATTTTGAAGTAGCCATTATCTCCCCAGTCTTCATTCCAGGAGTTCGCAACCAACCAGTAATCTGTACCATCTTCGACTCCCCAGCCTAGAATTTTAACAGCATGTCCACCTTCGTAGTCGCCTTGAGTATGCTGGTATACGCCTTAAATAAAATAATACCATAATTTTAAAAAAAGACGTGGTTAAACCAAAAATATACCAGAACTGTAACTGGGAAAATCTTCATAAACGTCATAATCGGCCTCAACAGGTCCGTTGGTCATAATTTCAATTTGAATTTGTTTTACTGATTGCGCTATGCTGTATGCACTTCCAGTTCTTCTGTCTTGTTTGTAAACTAGATCTACTCCTTCGTCGCAAGTGGACTTGCATGTAGGAGTTCGTTGAATGTCACCGCAAGCCGGAAGATCACCATCAACATGGTGTTCGCAGGGAGTAATAGAATATGCTTTACATCCCTAAAGAATTACTAATGAATAAATTGTGATATGGATTTGATTTTAGATTTTAGATGTAACTGCACCATCATAAAAATGGTCAAAATATTTAAAAATTTTCAATTGTTGATAACAATACTAAATGTGCACTTACATCTGTAGTACCATAAAGTCCTCCCGTGACAATTCCCGTCTGTGACCAGTACCACCATGCTTCATCTGGCCAACCTCCATTGCAACCGTCTCCGCAATCTGAACAGCAATCATTCAGGTCTTCAGCTGAGATTAGTACCTTAGTTTGTGCATCGGAATGAATGCAGATTCTGTCACTCATAGCTTCGACGGCTCCAAATGCCTAAAATTATAATATTGGAAAAAATAAAAAAAAAAAGTTAGAAACAGTAGTTACCCAACAGGACCCGCAAGCAGCTTGATCCCTGATTGTTCCGATTATGTCAGCACAATCTGGCCAAGCTTCTCTAGCATCAAATGTTTCTGGTATATCTGCGTCTTCTGGATGAATTTTCAGAGGCAATTTACGAGCATTTTCTTTCCTGGGAAGGACACCAAGCAGTTGCTTGATCGAAGACATGGGAGTGTTCACGTCGAAGTTTCTTCTAGCTTTCCAGGTTGTATGTTTGTTGTTAATAGCGTCGATGAATTCATCCGACAGAGGGTGAAGCTTCTCGGCGCCGCAGCTTAGAGCAACTGTTGCAAAAATAGCAACAGAAAGAAGGAAACACTTCATTCTGGCTAAGAGTACAAGTCTTGGTTGAAATGGTAAATTGTTACAGATGCGGTGCTTGCTGGAGTGCAGTCAAACACAACACAAATCTAACTGAAGGTTAAGTTGCAGTTCATGTAAATATAGGTTCTCTGGTGAGACGTGATTCGGTGATTTAAACAATGTTATCAAAGATTGCATCTTCAGAAGAGTATCTTCTATTCAATATTGAAGAGACCACTTGTCTGGCATCCTTCGATACTTTGTGATTAGGATTTAATTTTTTCAACGTAGTTTTAATTAATAATGTCTTTTAATTAATCTGTCCAATAACTACCCAGGCAGCAGACTGTCGTCTAATTGACGTCAATTTTTGGTCATAACTCGTCGGCGACGCCATTTGTCCAAATAGTCACGTGATAATGACGAGATTTTTATGACTTACTTCTGACGTCAATTAAAGACGTCAAAAGGCCGTCTTTCCTTCGTCATTTTTTATAGATTATATGATCAATTAAATGTGGATAGTCGTATTCTTTAAAAAGTGGCCTTCATAATGCTTAATTATATTTAGAGCAAAAAATACAACGGCTTTATTAGAAATACACCAAAGACAAATTTTTTCATTCTAATAATTTCTAATAAAATAATTATTTCTGAAAACTTATTTACTCTGGAATGTTATTTTGTAAGTACCTGCTTGGCAAATTATAAATAGAACATCCGGGGTTGAGCGTATAATAATGAAAAGACCCTACGGCACAAACAAAGTCATAAAAATTCTTTGTCCATTGTCCCTAAAACGGGACAAGGTTTTGAAGAATTCCTTCGTCGAATTTTGATTTTATAAAGACGTTTATAAAGTGATGATGGTTACCAAAAAAATTAGAGAGTGATTAGTATTCAGTTTTATTAAATTTATTTCATCTAATGAAAAAATAATGCTCAACTTCCGTATTTACTATACAATACATCAGATGTTTGGGGTGTGCATTCGGACTTGCCCTTTTTTCGGTATTTATGTTTATTGCACTTCACAGTGAAGCATTCCAATATTTGCAGTTGGTTCTCAACCACCGAAACTTTCTCATGTATCCGTTATTACTCACTTCATTTTTAACGCAGTTTTGTGAAAATTTCTGCCATTCAGTGTAGGTTCTACTTATTTATACTAGGTAAGTTAATATCTAATAAACTAATCATTTTAATTTTTACGTGTTTCTGTTATTTTTGATAACTGTACGTAGATAACAAAAGCAGTTTTTTCAGATAAGCTGGAAAGACCACCATTAATCACTGAAGATACTCCCACTGATTATGAAGAACTTACGGTGGTTGTTTTTGAAAATGAGTCGCCATAAAATATTGTAAAGGTATGTTACTGCAATTTTTTATGAACTAAAGCTAATGTAATGAACATAATTTTATTCTAGATTTGAAACAAATACAAAACACATGTGGGAAACGAAAGAAATGCTGAAGGAAACGAGTGAAAAAATCTCCCAACATGGAAACGTCATCAAATCTGACAACTGAAAAAGAAAACAAAAATAGAAGTTATGCCGCCAAGACCACACCTAAACAAATTTTGACGAATTACAAGATTATATTTGCAAATTAGAACAAGCAGATTTCTTTATAAGTTAAAAAAATACAATGAATTCATATATACATATATAACATAATATTGGATATTATATACAGGTAGATGCCTGTAATACTACGATACTTTTTGGTAACTTACTATACATGGCACATTTCGCTTCATTGTAAAAAGTATTGACAACCAGATTTTCCTGATAGGCTGTACGTTTTTGTCAATGCAACCATTTTACGATTATCCGTTAGATTCAAGTAAATTTAGCATTTTTAAAATGCAGAATTTGTTTTCTGCTTTAAGCTGTAGTCCCTTAAATTTAATAATAGCCAAATGCTTGCTATTGCCCATTGACGAAAAAATGATTGCATTTCCATTAATCCATGCACTCTAACGGGTTTTTCTTTTCAGTGCAATAAATTGAGGCAAACTTAAAAAACTTAGGTTATTGATATGATTGTTAAAACAGAATTAATTTTTAACGGTACTTTTTTGTGTGTTGGGGACAGTCAAGTCGTCGTGAATTAGATAGTTTTACATATAATGTGGTTTTAGAGTGCGTTTTCAAATCAAGTAACTTCAACAATGTGATTCAATTGTCTTTTCCCTTTATTCTAGTTTTTTTGTTTTTGTAAATAGATTTGTTTGTGTTTTTAAGACTGATTTATAGTTTATTATAGTTTTCTTTTAATATTCTTTGTAACTAAATAGATCTCTTCGTGTTTTTGAAATTGATTTTTTTTAAATAGCATATTTTATTGCAACGTTTATTTTTGATTATATATTGTACATTATCCTTTTTTTTTTGTTTATACTAATTATTCTCCTAATTATCTGTATGTAGATTTGTTTGTGTTCTTAGGAGTTTTATCTTTAATTTGTTTAATTGACATATTTTTTTATTTGTTTATTGAAGTTCATTGTTGGTTGTACAGAACTGTAGTAAATTTAATTTTTTTACACTAATTTGTTTTAACTTTAATTAATATATATTTTGTTTTGGTATTTACCTGGTGATTATAACGAATTATAATATTTTATTCAAGGTAAACAATATAAAAATATAAAATTATTTCAGCGTTTTATTTATTGCATATTTTTTTCTAAAAATCAAAATATAAAAAACGTCTTAAAATGGACAATAAATGCCCTCTCTAGGACGTCAGTACATCACGTCAACAGTTCGTTACAAAATGACGACTCTAAAACGTCAGTACATCACGTCAATAGTTCGTTAGAAAATGACGTCATCTGGACGAGACATTTGACCGTCATTGGTACGTCAATATCACGTGAAATCTTTGGTCACTATGACGTAAATGATGACCATTTATTCACATGAAAAAGACGACATCATGTTGCCTGGGTATGAGGAACGATTCCAGACAAAAGTTTTAGCTTTGACGTCATGTACTTAATTTTGGCCCAAAATCGGGATACCAAGTAACTGTCAAAAATAACTTTTGTTGTGATATAAATTAATTGCAGAATGAATTTTCCTTTTAGAAATACTTTATTAATGTAATCAGTACCGTGATTATCTTACAAATTTGGTAATCCGGCTACAACATTAGCCTCAATTCCACATTCACTTGTACCACGTTTTATTTTGAAATAACCGTGATCTCCCCATTCTGCGTTCCAGGAGTTCACAATCAACCAGTAATCGGTACCATCTTCTACACCCCAGCCTATAATTTTGATAGCATGTCCACCCACAAAATCGCCTTCTACGTGTTGATAAACACCTTAAATAAAAAGTACTATAAATGCAAAATAAAGATGCATTTAAACCAAAATTATACCAGAACTGTAGCTGAAAAAGTCTTCATAAACGTTGTACACTCCTTCAACAGGTCCATTGGTCAGAATTTCAGTTTGAATTTGTTCTACGTCATTATAGGTTATTGTATATCCACTTCCAGTTGTTAAATCTTCATCGTAAACTATATCTACTCCTTTGTCGCAGACGGTTTTGCATTCAGGAGTTTTCTGATAGGGGCCACATTCAGGAAGTTCACCCTCCATGTGATGTTCGCAGGGAGCAATAGAATATGCTTTACAACCCTACGAAATTAAAGATATAATAATAATGATCAGATTGAATGTGCACTTACGTCTTCGGTACCATACAATCCTCCGGTAACAATTCCTGTTTTTCCCCAGTACGACCATGCATCATCTGGCCAACCCCCATTACAACCTCCACACTCTGTACAACAGTCCATCAAGTCTTCAGCTGAGATAAGTACTTTAACTTTTCCGTTGGAGTGAATGCAGATTCTGTCACTCATAGCTTCGACGGCCCCAAAAGCCTAAAATAAATTAAAAACAATTTAAAAGCTGTATTTACCCAACAAGAACCACAAGCAGCTTGATCTCTAATTGTTCCGATTATGTCGGCACAATCTGGCCACTGTTCTCTAGCATCAAATGTTTCTGGTATTTCTACGTCGTCTTTTAGGTGGATTTTTAGTGGTAGTTTGTCAGCATTTTCTTTCTTAGGGAGAACACCGACCAGTTTCCTGAGGGACGATATAGGGGTATTTACGTCAAAGTTTCTTTTAGCTTTCCAGGTTGTATTTTTGTTGTTAATGGCATTTATGAATTCATCTGATAGAGGATGGAACTTCACTTTGCCGCACGTTAAAGCAACTGCCGCAAAAATGCCAACACAAAGAAGAAGACACCTCATTTTATTCAAAGTAAATGAATACATTTTTACAGATGAAGGACTTATTGAAGTGCAAATAAACACAACACAAATCTGAATGAAGCATATTTTGTGAATCGTGTAAATATAGATATTATAACAGGATGTGATTTACTGATTTAAACAATGCTATCAGTGATCGCATCTGTACAAAATATTTTCAATTCAGTACTGACTGAAGATATCACTTCCTTAAAGATCTGTAGATACTACCTACGTGACCAGTTTTAACTTTTTGACGTAGTTTTAAATCACAGTCAGTACAAATCTACAAATAATATCAATAATGTAGTTGTGACCAACTTCTAAAAACTTGGAAACCATAATATTATAAACTTAGTTATTAAATGTTAAATTATGGTCAAGATAATTTCTGTTCAAGTTTCTAAATTAGTTTATCATTTCACAAACAACAACACCCAATTTATTTAGAATTGACATAACATTTCATGTGCCAACGCTACTACTACTAACACAGACAAAGAAATGGAGAACCTACTTTTTATATACTTATTATTAATCTTGAAGAAAATGTTACAAAAATTGATACTAAAAATAGTTGTGAAAACTATCTCTAGTTATTGTTATTTTTGTAAACGACAAATGTACCTTTTCGACAGTTACAAAACGAAGAAGGATACAATGGGTAATTTATACGATATCGTATAAATTAATTATAGAATATTGCTTTTATATATACTTTATTAATTCCATCAGCACTATAATTATCTTACAAATTTGGTAACCCCGCTACAACATCATACTCAATTCCACATTCACTTGTACCACGCTTTATTTTGAAGTAACCGTTGTCTCCCCATTCCGCATTCCAGGAGTTCACAACCAACCAGTAATCTGTACCATCTTCTACGCCCCAACCTATGATTTTAATAGCATGTCCACCCACGTAATCACCGTCTATATGTTGATATACACCTTCAATATAAAGTTCCATGAATATAAAATGAAGACGCATTTAAACCACAAGTACCCGAACTGTAACTAAAGAAATCTTCATAGACGTCGTAATCCGCTTCAACCGGTCCATTGGTCAGAATTTCAATTTGAATTTGTTCTACATCGTCCATTGCTATTAAGTATACGCTCCCAGTTCTTAAATCTTCATTGTAAACTATATCTACTCGTTCGTCGCAGACGGTTTTGCATTCAGGAGTTTTTTGATAGGGACCACATGTAGGAAGTTCACCCTCCATGTAGTGTTCGCAGGGAGCAATGGAATATGGTTTACAACTCTAAGAAATTACAAATAATGAAATTAGAGTATTAAATAAGTGGTTCATTTTTGGAAGCTAATAATAACACTTACGTCTTTAGTACCATATAATCCTCCCGTAACTATTCCCGTCTTTCCCCAGTACTCCCATGCGTCATATGTCCAACCACCATTGCAACCTCCACACTGTGTACAACAGTCCATCAAGTCTTCAGCTGAGATGAGTACTTTAACTTTTGCGTCGGAATGAATGCAGATTCTGTCGCTCATCGCTTCGACGGCTCCAAAAGCCTAAAGTAACTTTAGAAATGTTATAAGCAATTTAAAAGCTGTATTTACCCAACAAGAACCACAAGCAGCTTGATCTCTGATTGTTCCGATTATGTCGGCACAGTCTGGCCACTGTTCCCTAGCATCAAATGTTTCTGGTATTTCTACGTCGTCTTCTGGGTGAATTTTTAGTGGCAGATTAGTATTTTCTTTCTTAGGAAGAACACCGACCAGTTTTCTGAGTGACGATATTGAGCTTTATTTTGCCGTAGGTTAAAGCAACTGCCGTAAAAATAACAACAGAAAGAAGAAAGTACTTATTCATTGCGGCTTAAAATAGAGCTATTGGCTTGAAGTGAATAAATTTTTACAGGTGCAGACACAAATCGGAATGAAGCATATTTTGCGTCTCGTGTAAATATAAATGTTATAACAGGATGTGATTTATTGATCTAAACAATGCTATCGACGGCTACATCTGTAACAGAAATTTTCCATTCAGAATTCAAGATATCACTTCCCTAAAGATCTATCAGTACTACGTGATAAGTTTTAATTTGAACGTGCTTTTAAATAACAATCAGTATAAATCTAAACATAGCATCAGTAGTGTGGTTCTGACCAAAGTTCTAAAAGACTTCATGATCTATATCTCCATCCTTTTAACTATTACGTCAAAAACAAAACTAGTTATTTTATGTTATGTGATCATGACAATTCGAGTTGTAAAACAAGTTCATAATTTCGCAGCTTCAGTACACATGTTAATTCTACACTAGTTTTCAAGTCGAAATACGATGGATTTATTGTGCATTGTTCTATATATTTACAAAATAATAAGTTAAAAGCATCCGATAAGATGGTCTGTACTTTGTAAAAATATGTCACATTTCTGATAAAACAATTAAGTCATTATAAATATCTATAGTACGAAACGATAAAGAAAAAAAATGACTAGAGATTTTACGCAGACAAAGCAATAATTTTTTTATTATACCTATTGTACTTGATACATAGCGCATATTTCATACGGAATCGTTAAAACGATATGCTACAAGTAATCCAAATTTTATGAAATAGTATATCTACTTGTGATTTATGAATCTACCCTGATTTTGTTTTAATTATCATTTTTTTAATTGTTTAATCCGTTTTGTTTTTTAAGTATATAATACGATCTTCCATTACCACTGCGGTAGTCAAGGGATAACTTCACAGACGAGAGGTTAATATAAATGTTCTTGTTAAAATGTCAATGACGTCATAACAAAATTTTGTTAAGCAAAACTCACTTGAAACAGTTGCTTAGCCGGCTTCTTTTTTGGAATGAAGGAAATCTAGTTTTTAGTTTAATTGTAAAAATGCAAGAAAGAAGAAGAAATTAGGCAAGCAGAAACAACAATTGAATTGTTCGCCGTCTCTCCTTCTTGTTGTTCTGAGTTTATGATATTTTAGAATAAAATCTAGTCCTAGAACCTCTTGCTAGCAGAAAAGCCGTTAACAACCCACTGATAGCTCTGCCCATGCATTTTTTAACATATCTACTTCAAATATTCCAATTTTGCTTTACAAATACCAATCCACAAATAGGATACAATAAACCATATTTTTTCTACACCTATAATCTGTTTTCGGTTTTTCTTATGCATTATTAAAATTAATTAATTAATAATAATTATGAAAATACCGTGTGATAACGGTTGACGTAAGCGTCACGATCAACTGGAGCAAAAATTTAAAATATCACCCAGTATTAAGTATAACTTAATAACTTCTGTATGAGATGGCAATATTCACTAACACTGAGTGGGACTTCAGTCAGCCCCGTACAGCATATCTCTTTATTCATATTATTTAAAAGCAAAATAAAATCAAAATAAAATTTGTAATATGTGAGTAAGATACTGAACACACAAACAAGTAAGGTAACAGTAACAGTTTTTGTGACAAATTATATTAATCTTTTCAAGTTAAACTATCCAACAATCTAAAATGTCGGAAAAGCACCAATTGGTTCAGACTCAATTTCACATTCATTTGATCCACGTAAAATCTTAAAATAGCCGTTCTCGCCCCAGTTCTTGTTCCAAGAATTTGCAGCTAACCAGTAAGGAACACCATCTTCCACTCCCCAACCAATAAGTTTAACAGCTCCCCTAGTAACATGATCGTCCGTAATTCGTTGATACACACCTGAAATGTCCCAGACATTTATTCATCTTCTCTTGAGAAACTAAGAATAATGTACCACTTTTATAAGCCAAGAACTCTTCATAAACCTCAAACGAAGTTGCAATAGGTCCATAAGTCATAATTTCAGTTTGAATTTGAGCTTCAGTCTGGATTACGTAATAAGGTGCACCAGTTCTTAGATCAGATTTGTACTCCAGAGAAGATCCCTCATCACAAACTTTCACGCAGTCGGGGGCGTATATGATCTCTTCACACGAATCTTGAGAAGCATCAGTGTAATGATCACATGGTTCAATGGAGTAAGCCCTACAGCCCTGAATATTTGAGACTGATGAATAAGTTTTCTAGATTAAAACATCTTACGTCATTTGTGCCATATTTTCCACCAGTGACAATACCACTTGTGGACCAATAATACCAGCCTTCAATTGTATCTCCTCCACTGCAGCCGTAATTACAGTCACTACAACAACTGATTAGGTCTTCAGCTGAAATACTTATCTGTATAGTTGCATTTGAGAGAATACAAATTCTGTCGCTTATCGTTTCAACGGTGGCGAATGCCTAGAATTATCGAAAATTATACCCTTCTTTATTGGTTTAAAGCAGTTGTTATTACCCAACCGGCAACACATCCTCCTTCGTCTTTAATATCTCCAATCACTGACGCACATTCTGGCCAAGCTTCTCTGGCATCAAAAGATTCTGGAATTGCTTTAAGATCCACAGAGTGAATTTTGGTTGGCAAGGTGTGCTTGGTTTCTTTTTTTGTATGAGGAACGGTAAACAGTCGTTTAATTAGAGAACCAGAAGTGTTGATATTAATGTTTCTTGCAGCCTTCCAAGTTGTGTTCTTGCTGTTAATAAAGTTTATAAATTCATCTGACAAAAAACGTGGGTTCTCTTCGCCGAAAGTTGCGACAACAACTGTGGCAAGAACTACGATTGTGGTGAATATAAATTTCATGTTTCCTGTGTAAACACAAAGTAGAGAAGATAGAGTGAGATTTTTAACATTTTTGAAACACATACTTACAAATGGAACGTATCAACAACTATAACTTTGACAAACTGAACTTCCACTTTGAAAATAACATTAAAATAATGGAAAGTAGGATATGCACTGTTTTTATTTTGATTTTAACAATGTTATCAGCTAGTGATTTTTTTAATTAGTTCAAGAGGCTAGTTTATAGAGTTAGTAAGTAAGTTAATTTTTAATTGCATCAGCACATATGTTTTTTAAAATCAGAAATAAGTTAAAAGTTAAACATAATATACAGGGTGGTCCACAACCATGAGTAATAAAGAGCCTGAATAAATTTGAAAAGCAACCCAAAATACATTTTCTTTGCTTCCTAGATTCTTGTTTTAAATTTTTTCAAATATAAAAAATAACAATCTGAACTTCAAACTTTAGCTGAAAATTTAAAATTTATCAATTTAATTAATTACTTAAATTTTAATCGAAATTTTCTTCGTTATACGTTACCGATACTCCTCGAAAACATTAATTTGAATCCATCAAAATTTATAGTTCCACCAAGACGGCGCCCCGTCCCATTTTCACAGAATTGTGCGAAATTACCTTGACCAAAATTTTCCTAATAAATGATATGATACCCCTAGATTTCTTTTTGTGGGGCACAGTGAAAGAAACGGTCTAGAATATTCGAATAAATAGTGTCGCTCATTTAGAGAAAAAAATTACAGCAGCAAAAGAACCATTATTCCCGAGACATTAATGCGTGTTAAGACCACCTTCTGGAATAGGATTGATGCATGTGAGAAAAACATACGGGTCAACTTGTTCAGGTGCTCAGATTAAATTGAAATAATCATGACTTCACCTTCATTTCTTGTCTAACAACAGAAAACGAATCTTTTAATTTTTTGTCTTAAACCCAAACCATTTAGCACACGTTGCTCGCTTAGCTCAGCTTAGAAAACCTAACGCATTAAACGTGGTGGAGATCGTTCATTAAGTGCCAAATTGAATTTGCAGCTCTGAAACCCCTCCCTGAAACTTTTTCTAAAGTTTCATCCCATGCGAAAACTTTTCAAACTATATATGGGGTTTTTGATCAATCTTTGATCAAGATATAACCTGCTTTGTCGTTGTTTAAAGGAGACTGGTGAAGATTTTGTACACTATGTTTTACTTTGTGGCAAACTATATTAACATTTTGCACTTAAACATTCTGCAGTTTTCACTATACAATTTATTATCTAAAATTTCGGAAAACCGGCAAGTGGTTCAGACTCAATGGAACATTCATTTGATCCACGTAAAATCCTAAAGTAGCCGTTCTCGCCCCAGTTCTCGTTCAAAGAATTTACAGCTAACCAATAAGGAACACCTTCTTCCACTCCCCAACCAATAAGTTTAGCAGCTTCTCCTTTAAGATATCTGCTACTGAGTCGTTGATATATACCTGAAATATGTCACATTATATTTATTCACCTTTACTTGATCAACTAAGAATAACGAACCGCTTTTATAAGACAAGAAATCATCATAAACATCAAATGAAGCTGCAACAGGTCCATTAATCATAATTTCAGTTTGGATTTGAGCTTCTGATTGTACGACGTAATACGGTGCACCAGTTTTTAAATCAGATTCGTAATTTAAAGAAGACCCTTCATCACAAACTTTTACACAGTCAGGAGTATATATTTGATATTCACATGCACCATCAACATAATGATCACATGGTTCAAAGGAATAAGATCTACAGCCCTAAATATATCAGGTTGGTACAAACATTTTCTAGATAAAACAACTTACGTCATTTGTGCCATATTTTCCACCGGTGACAATACCCTTTATGGACCAATAATACCAACCTTCAACCGAAAGTCCACCTGTACAACCATAATTACAGTCATTGCAGCAACTAATCAGATCTTCAGCCGAAATGTTCGTCTTTATAGTTGCATTTGAGTAAATACAAATTCTGTCATTTATTGTTCCAACGGCGGCAAACGCCTGAAAGTTTTGAAAACCATACTCCTTTTAATCAATTCAAAGTAGTAATTTTTACCCAACCAGCAACACATCCTGCTTGATCTTTAATATCTCCGATTACCGACGCACATTCTGGCCAAGCTTCTCTGGCATCAAACGATTCTGGAATTGCTTTAAGATCCACAGAGTGAATTTTAGTTGGCAAGGTATGCTTGATTTCTTTTTTAGGAGGAGTAGTAAATAGTTGTTTCATTAGAGAGCTAGAAGTGTTGATATTAACATTTCTTCCAGCCTTCCAAGTGGTGTTCTTGCTGTTAATAAAGTTTATAAATTTATCTGATAAAAAATGTGGAATCTCTTCCCCGAAAGTTGCAACAGCAACAGTTGCAAGAACTGCGATTGTGACGAATTTCATATTTCCTATGAACAAAAAATATGGAAGGACCGATATATTTAACATGTTTATTACACTATCAAGTAATACTTACAAATACAACGGATCAACAACTATAACTCTGACAAATTGGACTTCCACTTTGAGAACAACATTAAAAATAGGATATGCACTGTTTTTATTTTGATTTTAACAATGTTATCAGTTAGTGATTATTTGAGTTGGTTCAAGAGGCTAGTTTAGACAGGTTACTTCTAAGACAATTTCTTATGTAATGTGATAAATTTGTTTTGATATTGCATCATCTAATAAAGTTCCTGTTTTAAAAAATCAGAAATAAGTTAATAGATATGCCTACATGAATGAATAAATTCAACAAAATAAATGTTATATCGCAGACGAATGTGAGAATTCTATAACGTGTTGTTCCCCATAAATAATGGGAAACACATGAGGTTTTTTATTTACCTGAGACTCTTTAGCATCATTTATAAAAAAATATTGCTCCCTTGAATCTCGAAATACTGGGATTTTCTTAATTTATAAGAAAAGGTAAAGCACTTGTTCTCATTTTCCTTGTCCATAATCGGTAATTTATTTAATCGAAAAGCACCAGAAAGGAAGAGGTCAACTAGCATTCCATCAAAACCAGAAACTTCGAAAAAGGAATAAAGACATTTTCAAAAACAAATACGTTTTTTGCTAATCGTTTGTCTGGTTTTTCATTTCTGTGAATTAACCTTCAATTCTTGCCTTTAAAATTTTACTAGACAATCTGCCGATCTGCTCGAAACAGTAATTCCCCGACAGTTTGAGCAAGTTCTTTTTAAATATAGTTGGCATATAGCCTTTCCTGAAGTCTTTAGGTTCTTATTCTCATTTTAAGCATCAATGGAATAAGTTGACCAATAATTGAAATAAAACGTCAGTTCCATTTTTGGGAAAATCTATATTTACTTAGTCTGGTCAGGGGGACACGATTTCAAAGTTACTTTCTTTCGTTAAAAGTAATTTCATTTATGTTGTCGTCTTGCGTATTTAAAGGCAATTCGATGTATTCGCTTTGAAAACCGTCCCTGTCTTCTGTCAGGAGTAAATATTCTAATCATTTAAAGGTATAGGTTGTAGACTTGTATTTGATTTTAGATTCTTCAAGAGTTTCCAGAACTCTTTTGTTCAAGTAATTCCTTACTTATCTCGTCTCATTTGTTCTCCCAGTATTGATATTTTTTTTTCTTGACTTCTCTATCCAGAGGTGCGTATTTCGTTCTATCCTATATATATTTTGCGGCCAGTTGCGCTATTGTATTGCATCACCAGTATTCCTTTTTCTTGCAGTTACTTGCATCTGTCTTATCTTAGCTTACATGTACTGCTTAACTTTAACAATATTTCCATGTAGCATATTGTTACGTAGATCGGTGAATAAAATCGGCGTGGGTTAAATTCAATAATTTATTTCTTAGTAACTCGGATTTACACCACTAATTACAGAACGATTATGTACAAAATAAGTCCGGCGCAACATTCACTGGGTTTTCTCGACACACGTTGGACTCGACTTGTTAACTGAATTTAGCTCTCGTTGTCTGGACTACACTAACTGCTCCCGATGGTGGTTCCCATTTAAACATTCGCGCTGTCCTTCTCGAAGTTCTCCGTCACCGCTTCTAGGCTTTTTCTTGAACACCCGTCGCGACATCCGCTTAGAGGCTTTTCTCCGGCCGCCGCCATGGACAATGAGTCATCGTCCGTATATATTAGAACCCATAGGCGTCGTACCGGGGCGGCGCATGGGTTTATTTCGTAACAATATAAAATTGTCGATGTAGAATCTACAGCTTGGCTTAATTTCTGGCACAATCTTAATTTGTATTTCAGTGACTTATATTGTGTATTCTGAATTTGGTCTTTGGGACAAGTTTTGGACTGTATATGCTATGGTAAATAAATTCTCGATTTAAGCAGGTGAATCTCAGAACCTTTCAGAAAAAAGCTCTATTCAAAAATGCATTAATTCTATGTAGCGACTTAAAAAAAATCAATTTGGCTTTGCATCTCAAAAACAAATGAAGAAAATTTTTTTGGCAAACAATTAGAGCACAACTTCTTGTACCTCTATACCAAATTTCAGTTGATTTCTACGATTGGTTCTCAAGATATTTAACCGTTTCCATACATTCTAGCGATCCTGTATAATACAATTTCCAATTTCATCGACGACTCAGCTACACTTATGTTCTGCTTTTCTAATTCCGCAACTATTTCTAACTTATTAGCTCTGAGACCTCAAACATTTCATGGACCAATTTGGAGAATTCGCAGGATTCGAAGGATTCGGAAAATTCAGAAGATTCTGAGGCTTTTATGATCCTCTGAGGATTTTGAGAATTCTGGAGGTTTTGTATATTCTGGAGTTTCTTGGGATTCTAGAGATTTTGTGAATTTGGGAATCTACGCATTTTGGGATTTCTCAAGGTTTTGAAGATTCTGTGGATTCTGAGAACTCTGGGAATTTTGAAGTTTCTGGAAATTCTGGGATTTAGGAGATCATGTGTTTTCTGATGATTCTGAGTATCCTGAGGATTCTGAACATTTTGAACACTGAAAGTTCTGAAGAATTTTGGAATTCGAGAGATGCTCTGGTTTCTGGTGATTTTGGCGATTCTACGGATTTTGTGGTTCCCGGGGTTCCTGGGAATCGTGGAAATTCTAGATTTCTCAAAATTTTTAGGATTCTGAGTATTCGGGGAATTCAAAAGATCCGACGGATTCGAAGGATTCTGAGAATTTTGGGAATTCTGGAGATTCTTGGGATTCTGGAGATTTTGTGAATTTTAGGAATCTACGGATTTTGGGATTTCTCAAGATTTTGAAGATTCTGTGGATTCTAAGGACTCTGGGAATTTTGAAGTTTCTGGAAATTCTGGGATTTAGGAGATCCTGTAGTTTCTGGAGATTCCCGAGATTCTGGGACTTTTTGAGATTCTGAGGCTTCTGGGAATTTTGCAGTTTCTAACGCTTTCAGGGATTCTGACGATTCCACGGAATAATTCTGCGGATTCTGGGAATTTTTGGGACTCGGGGGACTTTCAGGATTCTGGGAATTAAATTCGCTCTTAACATTTTGAAGATTCTGAGGATTCTGAGAATTTTGAGTATTCGGAAAGTTTTGAAGCTTCTGAAAAATTTGAAGATTTCAAGTGATCGGAAAATCCATAGCATACCGAATATTTTTAGAAAATTCTGGGTTTTCTTATTATCGTGTCAATTCTGGTGGTTCTGACAATTTTGGGCATTTTAACACTTCTGGGAATCTACCGAATTTGGGATCTCTGGGGTTTTGGAAGAGGCTCGAGATTTTGAGAATTCTGGGAATTTTGCAGATTCTGAGGATTTCAAGGATTTTGGGGATTTTGAAGATTTTGAATATTTTGACCATTCTACGTATTTTTAGGGTTGCTGGAATTTCTGGGAATTATGAGGATTCTGAACATTTTGAACACTGATCGTTCTGAAGAATTTTGGGATTCTAGAGATGCTCTAAGTTCTGGTAATTTTGGCGATTCTACGGATTTTGTGGATCCCGGGGTTCCTGGGAATTGTGGAAATTCTAGATTTCTCAGAATTTTTGAGATTCTGAGTATTCGGGGAATTCAAAAGATCCGACGGATTCAAACAATATGGAGAATTCGCAGGATTCCAAGGATTCGGAAAATTCGGAGGATTCTAAAAATGTTGATGATCCCCTGAGGATTTTGGGAATTCTGGGGATTTTGTGAATTTTGGGAATCTACGGATTTTGGGATTACTCAAGATTTTGAAGATTCTGTGGTTTCTGAGGACTCTGGGAATTCTGAAGTTTCTGCAAATTCTGGAATTTTGGAGTTCCTGTGGTTTCTGGGAATTTACTATTAAATTTATTTCTTATTTCTGACTTAACGTGACCTGACCTGTTTGGACTGAAATAAATAAATCTTAAACGTTTGTGTGAATATATGCAAACCACAACGTATTTTCTTAAAATAATTGTATGTTGTGAAACAAAAATTAATCAATATGTCCTGTAAAAATTGCTATATTTCAATTAGCACTTTTGGAAAAACGGTAGGTATAGGTATTTACGAAGAAACGAAACTGTAAATGACTTCTGGATATCGAAATCTAAAAGAAAATTTATTCAACTAATTTTCGAAAATAAGTAGTTGAAAAGTGGTCGAAGATATTAAAAGTGCCAAAATCAGTATTATCTTAACAAATGCGTGTATCTTTTCTATTTGTACTGTTGTTTTCTATAAAGTCCATCTGACTTTTCTCTACTTGGAACATAAGCGAATTCAGCAAGTTTTTTTTTATGGGTGGCGGGGTGCCTTGCGTCTCAACCACCATACTTATAGGACCAGATTTTTTCTGTGGAGTTTTATTCCCTTAGTCGATAAGCTCCAGTTTTAAGGCTTCTGAAACTCGCCTTCAAAACTAATATATATTTCTTAATCATATAGTAATAAGAAAAAGTTTCTGACACAAGTAGTTTTCACTAAATAATTACAACTTTATGTGATATTTGGTTTAATCTTTGATGAACATGCAACATGCTTTGCTTAAATCGTTGTTTAAAGAAGACTAGATATGGTTTGACAAACTACGTTTTATTTATCAGTGCAAAACATGACAGTGTTTGTGACAAATGATATTAACGTTATCCACATTAAAATCTGCAGATTTTACAGTAGAGTATATAATCTTAAATTTCGGCAAACCAGCAAGTGATTGTATTAATATGGTCTAGTGAAATATTTGCAGTTTTATTTGGTATTGCATTTTATAATCTAAAGTTTCGGAATTCCAGCGAGTGGTTCAGACTCAATGTCGCAAAAATTAGATCCACGTAAAATCTTAAAGTAACCATTTTCACCCCAGTTGTCGTTCAAAGAATTTGCAGCTAACCAATAAGGAACACCTTCTTCCACTCCCCAACCAATAAGCTTAGCAGCTTCTCGTCTGACAATCCATCCAGTGACTTGTTGATATACACCTGAAATGCGGTATTATTCACTTTCTCTTTACCAACTAAAAATAATGTACCGCTTTTGTAACTCAAAAGATTTTGATACATGTCAAATGAAGCTGCAACAGGTCCATTAGTCATAATTTCGGTTTGTATTTGAGCTTCTGTCTGTACAACGTAATACGGTGCACCAGTTTTTAAATCAGAGTCGTATTCTAAAGAAGACCCCTCATCACAAGCCTTTACGCAGTCAGGAGCATATCCCATAAATTCGCACGAACCATCAACGTAATGATCACATGGTTCAATTGAATAAGCTTTACAGCCCTGAATTTTGAAGTTGGTACAAATTTTTATTTGTATATAACAACTTACGTCATTTGTGCCATATTTTCCCCCAGTGACGACACCAGTTGAAGACCAATAATACCAGCCTTCAACTGGACGTCCTCCAGTGCAGCCATAATTACAATCACTACAGCAAGTAAGCAAATCTAGAGCCGAAATATTCATCTGTATAGTCGCATTTGAGTGGATACAAATTCTATCGTTTATTGTTCCAATGGCGGCGAATGCCTGAAATTGTGGAAAATTGTAGCATTTTTTATTAAGGTGAAGCAGTTATTATTACCCAACCAGCAGCACATCCTCCTTGGTCTTTAATATCTCCAATTACTGACGCACATTGTGGCCAAGCTTCTCTGGCATCAAAAGATTCTGGAATTGCCTTCAGATCCACAGAGTGGATTTTAGTTGGCAAAGAACGCTTGATTTCTTGTCTAAGAGGAATATTAGTTACGTGATTAATTAAAGGGCCAGAAGTGTTAATATTAAAATGTGGACTCTCTTTGCTGAAAGTTGCAACAACTATTACAAGAATTGAGATGATGATAAATATAAATTTCATGTTCCCTACAAATACAAAATATATAAGACATGTATTAGCAACTACAGCTCGTACAAACTGAACTTCTACTTTAAAAATAACTTTTAAAATAAGTAAGATCAGGATATGCACTGTTTTTATTTTGATTTTAAACAATGTTATCAGTTAGTGATTATTTGAAATGGTTCAAGAGGCTAATTTAGACAAGTCTCTTAAGAAAAATTGCTTATGTAATGATGTTACAAAGTAGTTTTTTATTGCATCATTTAATCTTTTAAAAAATCAGAAGAAACTTAAAAGTTAATGACAAAATTTGTTGCATCGAAATGAAATATCACGTCTTTAAGAATAAATTATGAAATTAGGTATTGACATAATGTTTTAACATTTTTCCAGTTCTCATAAGGCAGCTTATAATCTAAAATTTGGGAATTCCAGCAAGTGGTTCAGTTTCAATTTCACATTCATTTGATCCACGTAAAATCCTGAAGTAGCCGTTCTCGCCCCAGTTCTCGTTCCAAGAATTTACAGCTAACCAGTATGGAACACCATTTTCTACTCCCCAACCAATAAGTTTAGCAGCTTCTCGTCTAAAATACCTCCCAGTGACTTGTTGATACACACCTGAAATGCGTCATATGGTTTTAATTTACGTTCCTCCGACAAACTAAAAATAACGTACCGCTTTCATAAAGGAAGAAATCTTCATATACTTTAAATGAAGAGGCAATAGGTCCGTTGGTCATAATTTCAGTTTGCATTTGAACTTCTGACTGTACAACGTAATACGGTGCACCAGTTTTTAAATCAGATTCGTATTCTAAAGAAGACCCTTCATCACAGACCTTTACGCAGTCAGGAGCATATCCAATACCGCACGTTTCACTATCGTAATGATCACATGGTTCAATTGAATAAGGCTTACAACCCTGAATGTTTCAATTGGTACAATTTTTTTTAATATTGATAAAGCAACTTACGTCATTTGTGCCATATTTCCCTCCAGTGACAATACCAACTGTAGACCAATAGTACCAACCTTCGACTAGAAGTCCTCCGGTACAGCCATAATTACACTCATTGCAACAAGTCATCAAATCTATAGCCGAAAGATTCATTTGTATAGTTGCATTTGAGTGAATACAAATTCTGTCGCCTATTGTTCCAACGGCTGCGAACGCCTAAAATTTTGGAGAATCATACATTTTTTTATTGAATTAAAGTAATTTGTTATTACCCAACCAGCAACACATGCTCCTTGGTCTTTAATATCTCCGATTACCGATGCACATTCTGGCCAAGCTTCTCTGGCGTCAAAAAATTCTGGAATTGCTTCAAGATCCACAGAGTGAATTTTAGTTGGCAAGGTGTGCTTGATTTCTTTTCTAGGAAGAATATTAGATATTCGTTTAGTTAAAAAATCAGAAGTGTTGATATTAAAATTTCTTCCGGCCTTCCAGGTTGTGTTCTTGCTGTTTATAAAGTTTATTAAATCATCAGACAAAAAATGTGGAGTTGATTTCCCAAAATTTACAGTAGTAGTTGTTGCAAGGACGACGATTATGAAGAATAATATTTTCATGTTTTCTATAAACACAAAATGTAGACTTAAATTTACACAGAACTTTTACTTTGAGCATAACACCTTAAATAATTAAGAATAGAATATGCACTGTTTTTATTTTGATTTTAAACAATGTTATCAGTTCGTGATTATTTGAATTGGTTCAAGAGGCCGTTTTAGACAGATTTCATGTAAGACAACATTTTTTTGTAATGTTATAAATTAGGTTATAATTGCATCATCAAATAAAGTTCCTATTTTAAAAACAGAGATAAGCTAATGGAATGAATGATGAAACTTAATAAACTATTAAAAATGTTTGATCAGAAAAACAAGAATGTTAATGATTCCAGCTTTCTGTCGTTGTGTTCTTGCTGTGAGTAAGTGTATCAAGTTATCTATTCAAATATGTGTGTACTAGTAGTTATCATTCTGAAAAACTGAACTTCCGCTTTTAGAATATGAAGCAAAATTAATAATTTAGAATAGAATATGTATTGTTTTTATTCCCTTTTTTAACAATATTATCAACTAGTTATTATGAAATGGTCAAAGAAAACATGCTGTTTTTTTGTAATTTCTAAAACAAATTAAGAAGTTGGTACTAAGTTAGTGTTTTGAGGACAGCTTATATAGTTTGTCAACAAAAATAAACATATCTTGTTATTATTGCGAAAAAAAAAAAACAACTTTAATTGCATTGTTACCCGAATGACATTGTTGTAATGTTTTAATATGACAATATTAGATAAGTCCAGTCTAGTCAAGTTGTTCTGGTATCAAAAGATTCTACAGTTGCTGTGATATCCGTTATAAGTGTTTTTGTTTTTGCTTTGCATGTGCTCTTATTGTTAATCTACAATACTTTAAACACGTGTGTTATAAAGGATCTAAGTACAGTGGACGCCGCTTAATGTGATCACTTCGGGACTCAGACAAATTGATCACACTAACCGACTGATAATAATAACCGAAAACCACCATCAAAGACAGTAAAACTTGAAACAAAGCAAAATCATGAACAAGACAGTGTTTATTATGCTGGTAGATGAAGGTACATAAACATTAGAATTTATTTTAAACTTTGGTTATCATTCTGAGAAAGGAACCCCCGATTTCCTTTGGTTGTTTTTAGAAGTTTGTTAAGAAAGGGCTGAGATTTTTTTTTCTCTGGTAAGCTGAAATCTCGTCGTTTCGACGTGATCATTTTTACTTAAGTACCACTCAAATTTAAAACAGCAAAAATTCGTTCAAGACGAAAACGCACCGATTACTAAAGTCTGTCACTGATTGTGGTTGTATAAAGTGAGTAGTATAAGCGAATGCAACTTTTGCGAGCAATGAATGTTCATTAAAACACAATACTAGTTTCGGTCGTCTCGCTTTTCCAAAAAAGCAACTCCCGCTTGTATAAAAATTGCGAGATTGATCACAATAAGCGAAATATTGATCACAATAAACGGAAAAACTGTAATGCATTGGTATTGCATGGGACCGTTCCAAGCCATTTTGATCACACTAAGCGGTTGATAACATTAACCGTGATCATATTAAGCGGCGTCTACTGTATTTAATATCTTCTCAAATTAACGGTACTGTCACAAATAAAACGGAATCTAATACATTTTTCACCCCTTTGCAGGTTTTTTTTCAATTACATATAAATTATTGGTACCGTCACAAATATCCTACATAGAAATGTAAAGTTTCAAATTTAGTGTTGATGATGCGTACTAGTTGATTTCCGACAATCTTATCAGCAATGTTTTTAGATATAGTAAAGTTTGTAAATGTCTCTTTTAAGATGAAGATGGTACTTGAACTAATGTCACAACACATTCACTTATTTCATCATCTAACATGACTTTTTGCAATTAAAAAAAAATGGAGGAACAGCTTTTAAAATAATGGCATATTAGCCATTGATGAGTAGAGCGTAAATATACAGAATATTGGTTTAGGGTATTTAATGTATCCTAGCATCAAAAGATTTAAAAATCACTTCAAAGTAGGTACGCTTTAATAAGTAATTTTGAAATATTTTCACTTAATAAGTATATGAATATGAAGTATGTAGTTGATGTATATCTTCAATCGTTTTTCCACCTCGTCATATGTGGGTTCCATAAAATTAAACTCGAAAATATAAATTACACACGTTTTAGAACACTTGGTAAAGAACTAACTAGAATTTCTAGACCTTGGTTTCTTTTATAACAAAATTGTATTACATGTGTTAAGTAGGTAAATAAACCATTATCTATCCACTTCAACATTATTAGATATTCCTGAATCCAAGGGACATTATCTCACTGTATACAAGCAACGATAGGTTTCAAACAGGATTATTCTTGTCATTCGATCAAGTTCTTTGTCTACAATACATAAAGATAAAACATAATGGAAGTGCCTAGGGATAATGTTGAACTATCCATTAATAATATAAACTTATAAATTAAGATTCTAATCGATCAGTAATTTTGCCTAAAGACTTCATTGGACTTAAAAAAATACATGTTATTGTGAATACAGTTCACTTGTATCTTTTCCTGGTATTCAAAAATATGCATGTTATTTTGATATTTTTTTCTTTTTAAAACGTTGTGTTTTTACTAGTACTTCCTTAAAAATATCTATTATTACATCTAGTATTTTTTGAAAAATTTTGTGACCACTTTTGTTCCTCACTTACTCTGTTTATGGTTTTACCCATGCGTTCTTGTGAATAATTCCAAAATGCCCAATTTTAGTTCAAAAGTTGTCTGTGTCAAAAATATGACTGTTATTGACATTGTTTTCGACCGAACTAAACGTATGATTCCTGAAATATATATATGTTTATAAAAATGTTGGAACACCAAAATATACTTAACCAAAGTTTCGCCACTGAAATATCGGCTGTTGGTTGAAGTTTTGGTAAAAATGTATGCAAGGTTTCTTAACTCGGTGCGGCCCTTTGGTCACGGGTTAAGTAAAATTGCGGCTCTCCGCACAATTCGCTCTTCGCGGAAGGAACTGCCAAGCACAATCCTAAATTTCGAAAATTCCTTTATCTGGGTTTTTAACTAAATTGTAATTGAAAAGAATCTGTAGCTAAATGATGAACAATTTTTAGATTTAAAATGACTATCATAATAGTTTTGTCACCCATTGATCAAAAAGTAAAATCATGTGTTGAGTTGTATATTACATTATTAAACAGGTCAAACGATTTTATAATGTTCGACTTTAATTGTGCTAGTCTTTTCATCTGAACATTTCCTTATCTAACTATATAGCACTGCACCCGTACCACTTCCACGCACAAATTTTTAAACTGATCACGTTCTCCGAATAACCGCGATCTCGCTTCCTATTTTAGACTCTAGTTGGCGCTGCACGTCATTAAGTTTAAAGTGAGCGTGCAACAATATTTGGAAGGGCTGTTCTTGCACGTTAGGGTGGGTGGGACCGAATGTTCAGATGAGAAGACTAGTACAATTAAGTACATAAAATCGTTTAACCTGTTTAATTGTGCAAACGTCTTCTCATCTGACCATTTCTTTTTCTAACTAGGTAGACGTTCAAAGAAATATTGTTGCGCAGAAGTCGCTGGTAAAACCTAGCAAAAGTTTTGAACGTAGATGTCCATCCTGCGGTCTGGCGAATGGTATCTAGGAAAGTGCCTCTGAGAGCGGCAGCGGAAGTGCTGGCATGACGAGTGGAATATGCTTTATATATATTTGTGTTCAGATCAGAAGACGTTTGCACAATTTGTATTTTATTGGTGTGAATATGTTATTTTGTCTTTTATTCTCTGATGAGTGCGAAAATCTGTTAAAAATTAAGGGTTAATATCAGTGACTGACCTTCAGGAACCTATTAAAGTTACATTTTTAAGCACCGGGTGACAATTAATGATTAAAGTAAATTTGAATTTGATCACTGTCATTAATATTGTCACTTGGTATTATTTTATTTTTTAAACAAACGGATTTTTTAAGTCAAAGAATTTGTTTATTTCAGCGCTTAGAGTTACTATATAACTCACTAACCGCTTTTTATATTTAATGCATTCTTTGAGTAATAGTGTAATTTATTTTTTACTATTTTTGTGATTCAATAAGCAACATAAGTTATTTTTCCTTTAGTTCATATAGTAATGTTTGTTACTTTGTGGTCGTTAGATGACACAAATTTAAATCAATTTTAATTTAGATTTAAAAAACCGTTTTTAACTTGTGTGTACTTTTGCTGTAAATGATCAATTAAAGTGTTGCTTTAGACAGTTTTACATACGCCTTGTTTAAACAGATATTTAAAGCGTTGATTACAAGACCCGCTATAAAACTCTTTCTAAATTAAAATATAAATTGGACACATTTCACTAAAAATAAATAACATAATTTAGCTCTATAATTTACATCTGTGACCGTAACTTTTAAAGTTTTCTTTTTGCTTCCCTCTCAGGTGCCCGTTCCAACATCGTTAAACCTTACCTTCCTGTTAACGAAGTCTTTTTTATAAACGTAGATAATTTCTTGACTTCTGCGTCTTTAATTAAAATTCCTGTGTTGATTCGTCGACTGTATAAGAGCTTTATTATTACCCATTTTTAAAAATTATTAATAATAAATGTTAAATATTTATAGAAAAAATAATTTTCTTTTTTATTTTTTTATTTTTATTTTCAATTTCAAATACTTGCTATTAGAAAAAAGACATTTTAATATACTTATTACAATAAATCTCTAGTATAATCGACCAATATTAACAATTTTCATTGATACTTTAAAATTCAGGAGTACCACCAAGAATATCAGATTCGATGTTACATTCGTTTGAGCCACGCAGAATTTTGAAGTAACCTTTATCACCCCAGTCTTCATTCCAAGAGTTAGCAATGAGCCAGTAAGGAGTATCATTTTCGACTCCCCAACCCAAGATTTTCACAGCGTGTCCACCAGCATAATCTCCACTGACGTGTTGGTATACACCTAAAACGTCAAACATTAACATCCCTAAAACCCGCAAAAATAACCAAGGAGCATACCGCTCTTGTACGACAAGAAATCTTCATATACGTCATAGTCAGCTTCAACTGGTCCAAAATGGAAAATTTCCCACTGAATTTGGTGTTCGGTGCTCTTGATGGCATAAGATAACCCAGTTCTTTTGTCAGGTTCATATTCGATATTCGTTCCCTCGTCGCAGGTCGATTTGCAAGTTGGGGTACTCTGAACGTCGCCACATGGTTCTAGGGGACCATCGACGTGGTGGTCGCAGGGGGCGATGGAGTAGGCTTTGCAACCCTAATGTTAAGATACATAAGTTTTTATTTTTTATCATATGAACAATATTGAACAAATAAAGCTACTTTTATCTAAATTGTTATTTATGAAAAATTGAAAAAATTGAAATTGAAAAAAGAAAAAAATATAAAATCGAAATATCGAAAAATTGTAAAAATATAGAAAATAAAAAACGCAACGAAATTTGAAGAAACGAAAAATTAAAGAATCGAAAATCTAAAAACTGAAAAATTTAAAACTCGAACAAATCTAAAAAGACGGGGAAAACAGTGAGATGTAAATGAAGTCAACAACGAGACGAAGACAAAATCATCCCAAATTTAAAAAATAAAATATTTAATTTCTAATAATTGCCTTGATTGTTATAAAAAATAATGAAATGAACATGTCTTTCTGTACAGAATGTTCCACGGATCTATTCGATTTTTTTAGCAATTTTCTAAGCTAATAACAATCGAGAACTAATAAATACTTCACAATGTTCAAATTCTCAAACATGTGTATTAGCAAGGAGCATGTTTTTCAAAAATGGGACAAAATATGTCTTAATAACCAGTGCCCTTGTGTTATAGAAAAACTTACATCACTGGTTCCATATTTGCCACCCGTGACGACACCAATCCTCTGCCAGTAAGACCAAGCTTCATCGGGCCATCCCCCGTTACATCCGTCTCCGCATTCGATACAACAGTCGTTCAAATCTTCAGCTGAAATGCTAACTTTAACGGTGCCGTTGGACTGGATGCAAATTCGGTCGCTGATGGCTTCAACCGCCCCGAATGCCTAGAGTTAATAATTCCGTACAATAACTGTTTAAGCGAATTACGGTATGGTAAATACCCAACAGGAACCGCAGGTCGCTTGGTCCCTAATATCCCCGATTATAGATGCACATTCAGGCCATGCCTCTCTGGCGTCGAAGGATTCTGGAATGTCGTCGCTAATCACGGAATGAACCCTGTAAGACACTTTGCGAGCAGCGTCTGGTTTTTTTGGGAGGACCCCCAGAAGTTTTTTAATGTCGGACAGTGGGGTGCTGATGTCGAAATTTCTTCCGGCTTTCCATGTTGTTTTCTTGCTGTTGATCGATGCTATGAATTCGTCGGAAAGGGGATGCGGTTTTACGCCCCCATAACTCAGAGCAATTGTCGCAAGGACTACAGAGAAAAGTAGAACGTACTTCATTTTATCTACGATCAGTGACGAAGAAAAACTGGTTGGAGGAGCGAGTCCTGTGTTCTTTTATAGGGAAAATGATTTTAATATGAAAGAAGTTTTCACTCTATAAAGTAGACAACAATGTTATCTCTCTACTTCAACTCGATTAGATGCTGCCTTTAACGAACAAGTGGCTACTTGAATCAATATTGATGAGTTCTTGAAAAAGTCACAAGTGATAAGGGGAACTTTGTCCTACATTATCGATAAGTTCGTAAGTTTAGCAACCGGAAACAATCTTAGAGGAACTGGAATCTTTTTTTGTTTGTTTCACAGGATCAAAGAGATAAGCATTTAAGTACATTTCGCATATGTTCACGACAATGTAATATAATAAAAACAATATTAAATACATATCGACTGTGCAAGATTTTGATATAAATACATAGTTTCAGTTCAGTGACAATTTGACCCATATACAAAATATGTACAGACTTAAAAGAATGAAAAAAAATGCATTTGAAAAAATAATATTTTTTATGTCTTAATTTATTTTTACTTAAATGCAGGAAATCTGTTAAACAAAACAAATACAGTATTACATGGTTAAGAACAAACAAACAATGTAGATAATATAAATATGAAGGTAATATGAAAATTTAGTGTTATTGAAAGTTGTAAGTCTTGATAAAAAAATTCCACATCAATCAAAATTACATATTTTTTGTTAATCAACTGAACAATGTGTGTTTGAAGTACAAGTACAAGTTCGGAAATAGTCATTATTTGTCAACACAAAACTATGTGTTATCGTTATCACTTAGTCATCAATGTCATAAGAAAATATTTTTCCAAGGACCGTTTTTGGAAATTAGTTTATCGTGTCGTCAGGTTCATTTATGATTAGTCATAGGTATTTTCAATGAATATAAATTTATTAAAATGTAGTAGTTTTAAAATGTATGTACGTATTAAAAATTCTCTGGGAATAATTTACAAATATCTTGGCAACATATTAATACTTACATTAACTTAAGTGGTAATATTATTTTAATAAAATGTTAGTTTATTTGAAAAAGTCGTTTTTACTTCCCCAGCGTAAGAGAAAGAAGTATTCTAATAGGGTCCATCGGGCGACTGGATACTTTCATGTTTTCTCGACGTTTCATGACCCCCTAGAGTACGAAAAAAGTGGTCTCCCGTTTCAGCTTATCTGTCCTTTGTGTCGATTTTTATTCGACAGAAAATTTCCGAAGTTACTAAACCGATTGTCATCAAATTTGTCTAATCGTCCCTACCAACAATTTGATGACGTCTACGTAGTCAATAACATTTTATAAAATAACAGATTCCTACACTTGTGGTTTATGAATCTAGCCTCACTTTGTTTATTATTATATTACTAGTATTACATTGCGTCTATTCCAACAGATGTAAGTGTAAATTTCTTTTAAACAGAGATAATTGTAAAATTGTGAACAATAAATGTTACTAATTTATAAAACTGCAGTGTGGGTTAATAAAAACTAAATAACATCGGTTAATTCTTATTGGCTAAGGCCAATCGCTACGTTTTCTGAGTGGAATTTTCGGTCTATTTTCAGAATGTAATATCTGCGTTATTAACTGACTTATGGTTTTGAAATTTTAAATATATGTTGTCCATAACTTTCTTTGAATAACGGTGTTAAAAACAGTTTGTGATTATCCTTTTGTTTTAATTTTAATGAAATTTTTGCATAACGTATTTTTAAAAATTAATATCTCTATTGATCTCAGTTATTAAAGAAAATTTCAAAACACAGTTTCAACACTGTTTTCAGCTTACAAATTCCAGAAATCGTACCAGATATATCGTTTTTTGTTAGAAACGATACACAGTAAAAAAAAGCTTGTATCGTAGAAGTTGCTAACTTTTATTTTTATTATATCTCAGTTCCAACAAATAAAGTCAAAATAGACATGGTACGATTTCTAAAGTTATGCAAGCTGAAAACAGTGGTGAAAACGCCGTTCCAAAATTTCCATAAGTAACTGAAATATTGATTCTTTAAAATACGTGATGCAAAAATTGCAACAAAATTTAATAAATATATGATAATAAATTGTTAAAAAAAACTGCCCTCGCAGATAAGTTACATTTAAAATTAACCATATAAGCCAAACGTAGCAACTCCTCTTAATAATTTACTGACTCGACTTTTTTACTAAAAGTTAAAGGTAACCTCAAAAACGAATATCTGACAGTGCAGATTTTGCCAACACAATTTTTACTTCCGCAGAATAAGCTATGGTATTTTATTGTAAGGAAGTCCATTAGACAAATGGCTACTTTCAAATTTTCTCGACATTTCATGACCCATAGAGTGCGAAAGAGTAGGTCTCGCGTTTCCATCCGTCTGTCGTCTATCTATTGTCTGTCTGTCGTCTCTCGGTTGTCCGTCTGTCGTTTCTCTGTGTCCGCCTGTCGACTCCCTGTCATCTGTCTGTGTCAATTTTTATTAGATAGAAGATTTCCGAAACTACTGGATCAACTAACAATGCGAAAACGTCATCTCCAAAAGTTAGAATAGGAGATTTCAATTTTATAAAATAACAGTCTTACAGTTGTGATTTATGAATCCGTGTTGAGTTTTTCACATTTTTGGAAAAAAAAATACATTTGCAATTTAATTTTGAAACTGCAAAACCGTATGCTCTGAAATCTTGCAAAGGTTTTAACGTTATAGTAAGTGTGGTAGATCGTTAACCGAGATTTATCCGCCTATCCATTTCCAGAAAACTAATGACATTTCCAGAAAACTAATGACATTATCTGAAAATTTTGCCAAATACTTGAGTCCTATCTAACATATGCATATGAATCAAACTAGTGGTTTATCTATGCCTTTATATTTTTTAGAGTTACTTATGCAGGGTAACTAAAAAAAATTAATGAATCAGGCAATCTATTTTAATGATCAAATCAAGAATGTTCCAGCTCCTTTTCCACAGGGGCGGCTGGTGCCAGGGGGCACAAGAGCACGTGCCCCCCCAAAATTACAACGTCTACAAACACACTGGACATAACAAAATAGTAATTTTCAATATTTAAAAAATTAGCTGGAAATTTGTGTCATAATTATCAAAACTAATTTTTTTATCTCGCTCCGCTTGTATAAAATGTATCAAAACTTACATCCACTTACATCTAAAGATGTTGTGTCTTGGATACATGGTATGTTATTGCTGATGAAGTGCTGATAAAAGCGGAGACGGAGACCAAATCATGGGTGATTTAGACGTTTTGTTACACCGTTGCCATGGAAACCGTGCGTTTAGTCAGTTGAAAAAAAATTTACGCAAACAACTGAAAATTTTGACAATAAAGTGTTAAATATTTTTGTGAATAACAAAAACAAAAGATTAGACTTTAATTATAAATAAAATTACATTCTAGTGAATGACAGTGTAAAATAAAAACTTTAACATTATTGTGTATGCATTGTGACTTTTATAAATTCTTAAATTCTGTGTAAAAATCAGAGTTTCATCATCACAACATCAACGTAAAATTTTGACCGAAGGCAAAAATGTATGTGAACAGATACTTTTTTACTTCTATTGAATGTATTTTTGTATTTGTTTCCGTCACACAATTTCGTCTATTAATTGGTAATAACAACTTGTTTTATATATATCCTCATATTTAACTCATCAATCAAATTGTGTCCCCCCATTTCAAAAGCCGAGCCTCCACTGCTTTTCTAGAAAATTTTAGTGTACAGTTATTATGTCGATTGATATAACGGGTGTTGTGTGGAAACGCATGTATTTTATTATTCCTCGTTATTAGTTGTCACCGATTAAATTTTAGCTAACTGTAGACATACTCCACAATTTTTACGAACATTCAAGGCCACCTTGATGACTTTTTCAATTGAACACTCGACATCTGTCTTTGCTAAAATATTGACGACGTCATCACAAAATTTTGTTATGGAAAAACTCACTTAAAACATGAGCACAGTATCCTCCTTTACCTGTACTTTAACAGTATGCACATATCTTTATTTTAACTTTTAAGGATTATCACAAAAGAAATAAAACTTGTGAACTTATAATTTAAATAACTTTAACCAGTTTGTTTTTACAATAATTCCATGGCTAACTGGACCAGGTTTTTTTTCATATCATAAGATACTTAAAGTTTGTTGTCGAACGTAAGTTTTTTCGTTCAAAAGTAACACTACAACTTACTTATTAGCTATTAGATTAAATAATATGTCTGAGCCCAAATAATTAATATCTCAGTGGAAGTTAAAAAAGGAAACTTAAGTTTCAACATAAGCGGGAGTTGGTATAATGTTGAAAGTTCACAAGTTTTTTTACACTTCAGCCTTCTACTTTCTTTTTTTTTCTACATATATTAATTTTAAGTATGTATTGAAAATATGTAAATTAAATTTTCTAACCAATTGCTAGTCATAATAGAAAAAAAAGGGCTCCATAATAAATAATAGCATTAGGTCCATAAGAATCTAGATCCGCCCCTGAGTGTCCCCTTGGATTTTGCGCCCCCACGGCGCAGGGGCTGCGAGAGTGTTATTTATGTTGCTCTTTTTAATAACTGTACTTCACTGTTGGGTTTGAGATTTCAGTAGAACCATATTTATTAAAAAAAAAATTTTCTTTTATGTAAAATACTGTGCGAATATTTATAAGATAAAATCTTATCTCATATTATTTTATCTGTGATTACTGATTACCTCTATGGTTTGCATATAAATTATATAATTAGAGATACAGTAATCAACACATATATCTTATTTGTATTTTTGTTTGAGCCTTTCCCATTTTTTAAATAATTTCATTCTCAAATAGCTTTTCTCACACTTCAACTATATTTGATATTTAACAGAAATGTTTACAGATGATGTCTAAAAAATTGATATATGGTTCGATTTATTTCATGAAACTGCCTGAAAGATTAATAGACACTAATACTTTTTATGTATAGTGTTGTAATGTGGACATCTAAATACACAATTCCATTTCTAATCTAAATGTATTAATTAGG